GGAATAAGATATGAGAAAAACAACTTAGGAGGGGAGGAGGAAAGGGACTGGATCGGTTTAGACTAAGGAAATAAGAGGCCATCAGAAAATGGACTATCTCAATACGCAAGATTCTGGATACAAATCTCATGGTCACCACTAAACAAAAAAGCAGAACAGAGACATAAATAATAAATAAGGAGGAAAAAAAGAAGAACAACATAAAAAAAACTACATAATTCAATGGGTAGACCAAAATACAGAGGATGAGAAACAAAGGAAATGCAGGAAAACCCAAAAACGATGATAAAATGACAGCATTAACCCCTCATACATCAATAATCACCCTAAATGTAAATGGATTGAATTCTCCAATAAAAAGACACAGTGTGATGAGATAGATTAAAGAACAAGACCCAACAATTTGCTGCCTCCAGGAAATGCATCTCAGCTCCAATGACAAACACAGGCTCAGAGTGAAGGGGTGGAAGATGATACTCCAAGCTAATGGCAAACAAAAGAAAGCAGGTGTTGTAGTACTCACATCAGACAAAGTAGACTTCAAGATAAGGCAGGTAAAGAGAGACAAAGAGGGGCAGTATATAATGATCAAAGGGACACTCCATCAAGAAGACATAATGTTTATAAATATCTAGGCATCCAACACAGAAGCACCAAAGTTCATAAAGCAACTATTAACAAACCTAAAAGAAGATAATAATAACAACACAATAATAGTAGGGGACTTCAACACCCCACTCACATCAATGGATAGATCATCCAGACAGAAAATGAACAAGGAAACAGTGGAATTAAATGAAAAGCTAAATCAGTTGAATTTAATAGACATATAAAGAACATTCCATCTGAAAACAGCAGAATACACATTCTTCTCAAGTGCACATGGAACATTCTCAAGGATAGACCATACGTTGGGAAACAAGGCAAGCCTCTATAAATTTTAAAAAATTGAAATAATAACAAAAATTTTCTCTGATCATAATTCTATAAAGCTAGAAATTAATTACAAGAAAAAAGCTGAGAAAGAGACAAAGATGTGGAGACTAAACAACATGCTATTGAACAAGCAATGGATCATTGAAGAAATTAAAGGAGAAATCAAAAAATATCTGGAGACAAATGAAAATGATAGCATGCCATACCAACTCATATGGAATGCAGCAAAAGCCATATTAAAAGGGAAATTCATCACAATACAGGCTCACCTTAACAAACAAGAAAAATGCCAAATAAGCAATCTCAAATTACACCTAACTGAATCAGAAAAGAAGAACAAACAAAGCCCAAAGTCAGCAGAAGGAGAAAAATAATAAAAATCAGAACAGAAATAAATGCTATTGAAACAAAAAAGGCAGTAGAAAGGATCAATGAAACAAAGAGCTGGTTCTTTGAGAAGATAAAAAAAATTGAGAAACTCCTAGCCAGACTTACAAAGAAAAAAAGAGAGAAAGCTCAGATAAAGAAAATTAGAAATGAAAGAGGAGAAATAACAACACATTTCACATAAATACAACAGATTATAAGAGAATACTATGAAAAACTATATGCCAACAAAATGGATAATCTACAAGAAATGGATAAGTTCTTAGACTCTTAGAACCTCTCAATCCTGAGTCAAGAAGAAACAGACAATCTGAATAGACCAATCACAAGGAAAGAGATTGAAACAATAATCAGAAGCATTGCAAAGAGTAAAACCCCAGGACCAGATGCTTTTCCTGGGGAATTCTACCAAACTTTCAGAGAGGATTTAATACCTGTCCCTCTCAAGCTATTCCAAAAAATTAGGGAAGATGGAACACTTCCTAACACATTCTATGAGGCCAACATCATGCTGATACCAAAGCCTGACAAGGACAGCACAAAAAAGGAAAACTACAGGCCAATATTGCTGATGAACATAGATGCAAAAATCCTCAACAAAATTTTGGCAACTCGAATTCAGGAATACATCGAAAGGATCATACATCATGATCAAGAGGGATTCATACCAAGGACACAGGGATGGTTCAACATCCGCAAATCAATCAACGTGATACATCACATCAACAAATTGAGGAGTAAAAACCACATGATGGGGGCTGGCCTGGTGACGCAGTGGTTAAGTGTGCACGTTCCGCTTTGGCGGCCTGGGGTTCACTGATTCTGATCCGGGGTGCAGACATGGCACCATTTGGCAAGCCATGCTGTGGTAGTAGGCGTCCCACATATAAAATAGAGGAAGATGGGCATGGCTGTTAGCTTAGGGCCAGTGTTCCTCAGCAAAAAGAGGAGAGTTGGCAGCAGATGTTAGCTCAGGGCTAATCTTCCTCAAAAAACAAAATTATTGGCAATGAGTGAACTCAATAGGTGTGAAAAAAATAAAAATGTTGGCTGAACTTTTTAACAATAATTATGTGTTACGGCATTGATATTTAAGATGACTTCCAAAATCTCTCAGGTACCTTGAAACTTTTGAGTTTTGCTAGGTGAAATTAAGTGATAAAAAGTTTGTTGAATATCTGCGTCATTTTCATATAGGAGAAAATACTGAAACATTGCCAAATATGTCTAAGTTTATCCACTTTTGGCTTCTTATTACAGAGAAACTAAAAGATGTTTGCATCTATTAGTAAATGTCTTGTATTTTGTTAACAATTGTACTATGAACCAGCATGTTTCTAGAAATTATGAAAAGCGTTTAGAATGCTAATGTAAAAGACAGTTCATAATTGCTTACGTTTTAGTTTTCACTAAGGTCTGTAAGGGCTAAAAATTCTAATTAATGTATGTGATTAAAGCTACTAAAAATCAATCAGGAAACATCTATGTGTGGAAGGAAAGTAAGAGTATGTTTTCAGTAAAGAAGTTATAAAGAATGGGACAACTTTTGTTTGTTTTGCTAAGAAAGATAAATTTGTCCTAAAGTACTAGGAGGGAAAAAAGAAGGCATGGGACAAATTCTGAATGTGAAAGCGGAATTATAGAAGGTTTGTGGAAGAGAAACCCTGAGAGAAGAGTGTTGTACCTGGTCAAATTGGCTAAGATTGGGTAAGCTGCTGCAAAATTAGTATTTGGTTTTATCTCTCTTAAAAGGATAATTTCCCTGGACTTTTAGTCTGCTCTTGATAATAAGATTATAAAGATTTTTCCTTACCTTTGAGTAAATCTACCTAAAAGATATAAATTTCCTGTTTTTTCAAAATAATTTCCTCTGTTCTAAAAGGCTAAACTCTCTCAATTAAGAGAACTAAGATTTCTTATTTTTATTTTTATTTTTCTTAACTGTTTGCACATCTGTTGTTACTTTTGTTACTGAAAGTTCAGGCTCTGATCCCAATGCCAGTCCAAATAACAAGAACAGAGTCTTGGATTAAAAAGGAAAGACTTTATTTTGCCAGGCAGAGGGAGCAAAGCAAGGGCTAGTGACTCCCAAATTACTTGCTCCCCGTTAAGAAATGAGTAGGGGTTTTTATTTGGGGTTTTAGGTAGGGGAGGGGGGCCATGGACTTCTTGGTCAGAGTTTTCCCATCGGCCTGTGTCTGGGGCTGCTTGGAGACGAAGGATTTCTCAGATGAGTGTCCTTGGCTGTTTATTTCCATAGTGGAGGTAGACCCCGATGTCGGGAAGCCAAGGAGTTCGGCCTGGGAAGCTTCGGTTTCTTGATATTTTTTGGACATTAGTTTCTCTGTAAAAGGATCTCAAGGTTCTGGGATCAGCCGCAACTTTGGTGGAAGCCCAGTTTGAGGCCATCTGGGCTTTAACAATTTGTAACTTCTATTTTGTTGTAAAGCTCAGGGAGTCAGAGGTTAAAGAAACAAATAATTTACATATGAGTGTAAATAAAGACGGGGGAACTGGGAATGCATACTTTTAGTTTTAACCAATATCAGCGCTGATATTAACTAAGAGCTGGTAACACTTTGGTTAAATGGATAACTAAGTGCTGTTTCACAGGGACCCATGGTATTATGTGGGTAAATGTCATTGATAGAAGTGTTGTAAAAATTATGACCTTGCTAAAATTCTGATCTATCCTGGTTGTCAGCCATGATTCTAGTGTTTATCTTGAAGTGTTGTATATCACAGAAATTGCCAAATTTCTTTGTTAAGTACCCTTTTGAGTCTGTTGTCATTTGCAGACAGTTGCTGTTTTACTCTGATGCTTTTGCAAATATGTTTCACCTTCAGAGAGATTCATGGAAAGGGTTCTGACACTTACTTTAGAATACATGTTTGTGATAAACCTCAGATCGTAAAGCGGACCTGGGTAAGAAATTACAGAAGCCTGCGGAGAAACTGTGACTTCATGAAACTGCTGACAGAGACTCAGATCAAGAATCAATCACACAGGGCTGAATGAACTGATGAGGATGATTATAATTTTTAAGGTCACTTATGGGCACCTGCACCGGTCCGGTTGATGAGTTGGTGGTCTCAACCAGCCTGATCTGGAAAAGGCTGATTGTCCTGAAAAACAGCTCAAACATCCATTACCATGGTGACCCAGGTGCCCGGGAGATGTTATCTATAGGGAGTCAGATAGCTTATTGCTAAGGCAGCACAGTTAATAGTGGGCGGGTGAACAAGTAAAACCTATAACTAGTAGTTGAAAAAGAAGCTTAGTCACTAGCTACCTAATCATCAATGTCTAACTGTTTACCCATTTCAGTTAGACACCCATCCATAAAGTAGGAGTAATTTTGTACCTATCAGAGGGTTGCCACGAGGATTAAATGAGATGAACTATGTCAGGTGATTAGCACCATGCTTGGCACAGGTGAGTTTTCCATAATTTACTATCATCACTGTCATCATCATCTACTATTGCATCAGCTATTTTCAGCTTTTTCCCCACCTTTATGTCAGATTTTATACCATTTCCCTAGATTTTACCTAGATTTTGGTGGCTATTTACACCTTGTTTGCAACAAGAAGGTATGATTGTTTGGCATGTTTCTTTACCCCCAAAATGGATCCTTTACACTGCTTTTACCAGAATGAAGGCAGGTATAGAGACATTTTAATGTCTTTCCGAAGTTTTTATTTTCAGTGGGAGGATAGAGCTATCTTGACACTTTTTACTACAACTACACATGTGAATACACCTTGTCACAAAAGCATAAGAGGTTTCAGAAGGCTAAACATTTACTTTAAGACATGTTTGTAGCTGTCTCTGTTTTGGCCCTGTTCCTTTCCACCCAACTGGCCCACAGATGTCAATGTCCAGTGTTAAAGCTGTGGGCTCTGCGTTGTAAGTCAAAGTTGAGTATGTCTATGCCAACAGGAGCTTTTCATTCAGTCTCAGGGCGGCAAGTGGCTGGGGCGCACTTTGTTTTTGCTGCTTTCCCTCTGAGCATTCTGCTACTTTGCCATCCACTGGCTACACATTGCTGATGCTGGAAGTGCAGTGGCTCCATATACAGCTGTAGGTGTCACTCTGGTAGCATATGCCTATGGATTCAGCCAGCTTGGGTTGTACGTGTGGGGGAACTAGCTTTGCCTGAGACGGAAAGAAGGATCATGTCATGGAAACCACACAGAAACTTGAGTCATAAGGCTGCAGCCACAACCACCAAAACCCTACTAATGAGTGCTCAGAAAATGCTCTCCACCCTTACAGCAACCTGTCATCATCGTCATCAGCAGCAGCATCACCATTGTCACCCACATTCCCACTTAGAGATGAAGAAAGTGTAGCTCAGAGAGGTTGAGCTACTCCTCTACAGAAGTGGCAGGGCTGTGATTCAAGCCCAGATGTCCCTGAAAACAAAGCCTTGACCTAGGACATGCTGTTTGTCTTCTTGTTCCGCTAGTCCGCAAGATTCTCAGAGGCTGGGGCGTGGCTTATCTTGTACATCTCTGTCTCCACCTAGTGTTGCACAAATGAATAATTGGGCCAACTTCTCTGAGCCTCAGTTTCTCTGTCTGTCAAATAGGCTAACAATTTCATGGGGGTTATGGGAATCAGATAAGACAGTGGCTCTCAGTACGGAAAGAGACAGCCCTACATGAGGCAGGGAAGTCCCTCCATCTTCAGCCCTCCTTTCTCCTGTCTCCATCCTTTTCAGAATGGCATTGGACGGAGATATGGGCTCCCTCAGGTGGTCAGTTTGGACTTTGGATTTTCCCACAAAGCTCTGGGGGTCTGTAGCTTTGTATCTTTGGCTCAATCTCTTTTCTCTTAAAAATTTTTGACATAACTCAGATCCCATAACCCTTGCTTAACTCTCATCAATGATTCACCATTGCACCCAGAATAACACCTTTATTTTTGGCCCTGGCCGTGAGGCCCTGTGGTTTGACTCTGGCCTGCCTCTGACCTCATTCCCTAACATTTCTTGCTAATCTCCTTAGCTGCACTGGCTTTCTTTTAGTTTCGTGGATATACCTAGCTTGGTCCCACCTCAGGACCTTTGGTCTCAGCTCAAATATCATTTCCTCTGAGGGGCCTTCCCTGGCACCTCATCTAAATCAGGCTGCCCCTGCCTTACTCTCTCTCCCAGTATCCCCCTGCAGTTCTCCTTCTTGACCCTCACCGGCATTTGTAGTCGTGCGTCTTTTCGTTCACTAAGTTGTTGAATGTCTTCTCCCTCTCAAGCTTCATGAGAGCAGAAGCATTCTCGCTTTGTTCTGCTCACATGGCACAGAGTAGGTGCTTGAAACGTATTTATTGAATGAGTGAGAATGTCTTTCTCCCTAATGATAAAATTCAACGATGTTCACCATAAAAAGTTTGGAAAAAATATTAAGAAGAAAATAAAAATCATCTATAGCCCTACCACTAAAGACTTCTGACAATCACAGCCAGTACTTTGAGTTAATTTTATATATATATTCAAATCTGGGCTCCTGTTCTGAGTAATTTTGTATCCTGACCTTGTTGAGCATTTTCTTTTGATAGCAAATGCTCTTTAAAAGCATTTTAATACATTTAAAAGCATTGAAAGTGATTTTAATGGCTCTGCAACATTTCTTATTAAGAATTTGTCATTAAAAAAAATCCTCTATTGGGCTTCTGGGTTGTTCCCAAATTTTCAGCATGAAACTGATACTATGGCAACCAGTCTTGCCCTTAAATTTTTCCCCGATTCTCCGAGTGTTTCTTTAGGAAGTCCCCCAAAGGTGGGAATTTATCCTATGCATTTCAAAAAAATATGAATAATTTCAGGATTGCTGATCCGTGTGAAATCTGGTTTGCTCTTGCCAACCTCAAGCATTTGGATTTCTTCTGGGGGAAGGTGAAACCAGTGGAATATCTGATTTATAAATTTACTCTGGAAAGGAAAGAAGTTTGAGTCCACGTGACTCTCAAACTCGGTTCTGTTTGTTTTAAGGCATCACCTAGAAGAGCTCTTTGCTCTAGAAACAGAGAAGGCCTATTTCTCCTTAGAGTATATCTTTATGCAAATGGGAAATCTGAAGTCCTTGGCTCCCGCCTCTCCTCTTGTTTCCAGCAATGGTGTGTCTTCAGATGTGAGCAGGGCCTGGATTAGTGGTGATAAGTTCACCCATCCATCTCTTCACCCCTCACTCGTTCATGTATTCCTCAAGTATTCATTAAGCACTTACCATGTACCAGGCACCAGGAATGCATCAGTGAGCCATGGTCTCTCCCTTCATGACTTGTCAGAGAGACAGACACAGAACAAGCAAACAGACCATTCAATAAGGTAACGACAAGTTGTGCTAAGTGCTTTGAAAGAAATGAAGGTTAGATGGGAGTGGTGGAAGGCTTCTCAGATGTGGTAATTTCTAAGTGGACTTAAAGTATGAGCAGAAACTACTCCATGCAGGAATGATTTGTGCGAGCCTGCGGTAGGGTAGATTGTGGTGTGTTTGAGCAACTCGCGGCCAGTGTGACTGGGAGGGATAGAGAGAGAGGAGACTGGAGGGCCGGCCTGGGGCCAGGTCAGGTAGAGCCTGTGGGCTGGGATGAAGACCATGGATTTTCTTCTGAGTTGGATGAGAAGCTGTTGGAGGGTTTTAACCAGGAAGTGACATGATTCGGTTTATGTTTTGAAAAGCCTATTCTGGCTGCTCTGTAAAGTCCAGACGGGGGGCGGTAGAGGGAAGCAGAGAGACTGTTCCCCGCTTTTAGTTATTATCAGCCCTGATATTGGTTCCCCTACAGTGAGCCCAGTATATATGGGTTAAAACTAAAGGCACACATTCCCAGGTCCCTGGTTCTTTAGTGACACTCATATGTAAATGTTTGTTTCTTTAACCTCTGACTCCCTGAGCTGTAGAGCCAAATAGAAGTTATAAATTGTTAAAGTCCAGATGACCTCACGCTGGGCTCCCACTAAAGTTGTGTCTAATCCCAGGACCTTGAAGTTCTTTTACAGAGAAGCTAATGTCCAGAGAATATCAAGAAACCGAAGCTTCCCCACTCCTTGGCTTCCTGATGCCAGAGTCTACCTTCACACAGCCAAGGACACTCATCTGAGAAATCCTTTGTCTCTGCTGGAAGAAGCCCCAGACACAGGCCAATGGGAAAATGCTGACCAAGAAGACCACGGCCCCCCTCCCCTACTTAAAACTAGGGAGAAGGGAGTTGGGATAATCCATGGGAGAGAGGATGGAGGCCTTGTCCAATGTGGTATTGCTGGTGGATCTGAGAGCGATTTAGAAAGTGGGACAACAGGATCAGACCAGGTATTGGACTAGGCATGGAGGAATCAGAGACCTTAGCTCCAGGATGGTGGTGCCTTGTTGGCGGGGGGAAGAGTGAGAGCCTCCCATCTTCCTTCTAGGCCACTTTCTTTCTTCCAGTGAACTTCCCCCCATTCTTTAGGTTATTATCCCAGCTGTCAAAACACCTCTGTCCTGTGTGCACTTCCCTCAGGGATCTGCTCCTTGACTCTCAATGGCTCATGCACTGGGGCCTCCCCCCTGGGTAACTCAATGTTGTAACTCCCAGGAGCATAGAGGTTCCTCAGAGATGCCCACTTTGGGGGTTATAAGGTGGAACCACAGGGGACAGAGCTCCAGCCTCCAGCCTCATTTTAACCAGAGCAGCTCTCTTGTCATCTGTTTTATGTATCAGGTTTCTTTGAAAGTTTTTGTTTGAAGAAATGGGTCATTAGCCTTGAAAAAGTTGAAAACCACTTCTTAAAAGGTGTGTTTCCTTAAGAAGACCTCAGGAGTGATGCCACTGAGGAAGACTTCAGTTCACCAGAGCGGGTAAGTAGGAGAGGCATTTGGGGCTGTTTGCTCCCCAGCTGGGCTTAGAGGCTAGGGGTGAGGGTAGGGGCAGGGAGAGGCCACGTGGGGTGGAGGGGGGGGGGTGGGCTTGGGAGCTGGCGTCCTGACTTCCAGCCTCAGAAGTGGTGTGGTCTGCCCTGCCTGGCAAATGGGGGAAATCAGGGAAGGATGCCCTATGAGGCGCCACCCCCGTTACCGCGAGGATCTCATGGGATATCGGACGTGAGTGCCTGCAGACTGTACAGAGAGATGCATGTGTTAAAGTCATGGGAGGGGAAGGAGGCTTCCGTGGCTGGTGGGAGAGGCTCTCTCATGCCTGGACAGGTCATTCCTGCCCAGCTTTCTGCAAGGTCCTGAGGAAGTCTCCATTCGATCATTTTGTGATTTACCATGTGCCAGGCAACGTGCTCACATAAAGGTGGGAAAATTCTGGGTGTGGGGTAAGGATTTAACTCTCCTCCGGGAGAGTCCCTCCCAGACTCCACCTTATCTCAGTGTGTCTTACACACACCAAGGGTCGGAGACCTTGCAAGGCCAGAGTGCGGGGCCATCCTGCCCTCTTGCCCAAAGACCTCTTTGGAGGCTGCCTGTTGGGAACTTTCTTCCCTCAAGGCTGGGCATGTGGTCCTTATTTGTGAAACAGGTCGGGGAGGCAAGTAAAGAACTCACAGCACAGTTAGCTCTGAGCTCCAACCTTCTACGGGACAGGGACCCTGCACCAGACCCATGAGGCTCCCTCCATGGTTTGGGCTGCATGGTGGAGAGCTGGCCTCCAGGAGGGCCAGCCCGACAACTTCTCCAGCTTCCAGAGCTGGATGGGGTTACCAGGCTGCCGACCTCACCTTCATTCCCGGGACAGACAATTCTGAGCCTCCATCCTGCCCGTGGTGGGGATTTTATCACCAGCCACAGTCTCCTCAAGTGCCTTTTCCTGGGACAAGACCTCACTTGCTGTGGGCTTTGGCAGGTGCCCAGGTGTGTGTGTGTGTGGGGGGGGGCATCTGCCTGCTTTGTCATCTCCCCATCCCTGGCAACCACGGAGCTGTATACATCTCTGACTGCCAAGCCCTCTGGGGCCCAGCCTTTCTCTGCTCACTGCCCCGCCCCACCTGGGCCTCATGGGACTGGGGTGTTGCTGGGCAGGGGGCTCCTGGCTCTCTGCCTCGATGGCATTGCTCTTGGGCACAGAAAAATCACGCTGCTGCTTGCCACACCTTTAGGGGTCAGGGGAGGTCTGAGGGTGGCTGTCTCACAATCATCCACCAGGACCTGGGTCCCTTCTTGGGGGTCTGGCTGCTCCCTTGGCCCCTTTCCTCTGCATTCAGGTCCTCCCAAATATCTCTGGGGTCCTGAGCTCCCCCTTTCTTAGGGACCCCAAAACTGCTCTTTCCTGCTTCCTTCCTCTTCCTGCCTCTTGACCAGGGAAACTTTCGTAGGTGTGCAGGGTCCCCACGTCCTCCCGGCTCCCCGTCCTCTCGGGGCCTGGGCTTTCATCCGTGCGAGGGGTCCCTGCGTCTTCCCCGCTCCTCGTCCTCACGGGGTCCAGGCTTTCGTCCGTGTGCAGGGTCCCCGCATCCTCCCTGCTCCCCGTCCTCTTGGGACCCGGGCTTTTGAAGCTCAAGCCCTTTCTGCACTTTCTGAGGCGTCTCCTTCCCTGGGACACTCAATACCGAATTCAGAATTCCTCTCTGAGGGGCCGAGGGAGAACAGGGACTCCCGGGGAGAAAACTCTCCCTTTAGACACTCCCAGACGGCCCCGCCACCCCCAGAACCCCCCAGCAGACTCAGAACCAGACTCCCTCTCCAGCAAGAATCATCTTTATCGCAGCTGAGATTTTCCACTGTGGCTGCAGCCATTCCTGGACCCCGAGGGTCTGGAGCGCTTGGGGCTGAGGGGAGGGGCTGGCCCGCGGTGAGAAGCAGCTATTCCTCCGGGACGGTCAGCAGCATGTAATCCTGTGGATAGAAGCGCGCCCCATCCATCCGCGCTCACCAAACCGGCTCTCCCTGAGCTGCCTGGCCACACCTGAGAGGGACCGTGTGTCCTGAGGACACACCTTCCCCGTGGCAAGAAGGAAGGGTGGGGGACCCACTGGACAAGGGAATAGAATGGAGGGGGAGGGGGGCCTCGGGAATGTTTGTGAGGGAAGGAACAGACCAGTCTTTAGGGCCCTCCCCCAAAGCCTGTGTATCAAGGGGCTGCTAATGTTTCTGCCGCATTGGGGTTCCTCCTGCTGGGGTTGCTCCCACCCACGATGCCCCAACCTCTGCCAGACCCAGCTACACCCCTGGAATCCATCTGCTCCTGCACCTGTTTTCCCCACCAAAATGGGACCTCCTGGAGTGTTAGGGACTGGGTCTAACTCATCTCTGTCTCAGCATCACCCAGCACAGGGCCAGGCACAGAGCAGCCAGTGACATATACTGACTGAATGAATGAGTGATAGTGAGTGAGTGATCAGGGCAGGCATGTAAGGATGTGCAGACTGTGCACTGCCCAACTCTAGGTGGTGTCATTCATGTAAACTACAGTATAGTGGTGCACCTGGAGTGGTGTAAGATGTAACCGGCACAGCAGTCAGGCACCTAGAAGTGAGTCAGCCAGTGAGCCGGCGAGCCCACCCACCCTCCCTCCCCTTGCCACTGTAGGTCTAGTTATGAGACACTACTGGGGCTGGGCCCTGACTTTGCTCTTTTTGGCATTCAGAGCTATGGGGGCCCCTGCCCTCCTGGGCCCTCCTTGCCAGGGTCTGTGGCATCATTTCTGGAGCAGCCCCAGCCCCTGTACCACCCACAGTGGCTCTCCCAGCCCTGACCTGCTGGGGTCACCCTGGGCTGAATCTAGGGGAGGCCTGAGGGTGGGGGTGGGGGAGGAGCACAGGCCAGACCTTCTGCACAGAAACTCCCGGTTCTTGGAAGCAGATTTCTAGTGTCTCCTGAATGTCAGGACTGGGAACTGGGAACTGGGAGTCCTGGGTCCAGGGCTGGGCGTAGGCTGAGGGTCCTGAAGTTCACACTTTGTGTCCGGGGTGACGGGTCACATTCTGTCAAATGCTGGCGTGGGGCTGGTGGAACCAGCGGTCCTAACAGTCCCTTGTGTTGGTGAGGGGAACCCTCACTTCCAGCTCGGGGGGAGAGCTGTTTTTACGTCCATTTTACAGACAGAGACAACAGGCTGAGAGAGGGGCAGTGGCTTGCCCGAGGTCACCCAGCCAGGAGCTTCTGTGTGATGCTCTCTCCCCACCTCGCCCCTGAAGTCCCTTCTGAGCTGCTGCTTAGGAGTGGGGCTCTTTTAAAGGCAGGGCACGAAGAAATGAAGGGCCTCTCTCAGCTCCGCCCCTTCCCACCGACTCCCGTCAGCCTCTTCTCAGGTCCACTCACAGAGGGGAGGGACAGCGCTGGAGGAGGCAGGGCGGCCCCGGGGACAAATGCAGAGCTGGCAGACTCCCCCGGCAGCCCCTCTGCGAGTCTTCTCTGCTCTCTGGTCTCTGCTGCATCTTTCCTCCCTGGCTTTACCCAGCCTAGGGCTGGCCCTGGTTCCCACCCTCTGGCGGTTCACAGACAGCAGGCGCCGGAGGCAACAGCCCTGTTCTGGGGATCGGGACACCAGATTCTAGAGTGGGGGGTGGAAGTCAGATGAACCCCAGTTGGAATCCTGTCTCGCCTGCCCTGGGCAAGTTTCTCTGCCTCTCTGAGCCTTAGTTCTCTCTTGCGTAAAATGGGAGAAATAATAGTATCCACTTCCTGGGGCTAATTGTGAAGATCACCTGTGTAAGGCACCCACGCTCTGGGCGAGCCTCGTCTGTGGCGCCCTGAGGGATTCATGGAGCCCCTCAGAGCCTCAGTTTTCTCATTGTAAAGGGGCATCACGTCCAGGATGGCTGTGAGATAGGGGTGGTAACGGGCTTGCCACGTGGAGGGCCTCCTCTGCCCGAGCCTCAGCCTCTGCCCTGCAGGGTGGGGACAAGGCACCTTGGGCCCCAAGGCCCTCCCAGCTCTGCCCTCCCACGTGTGTCTCAGGAAGCTCCTTTCTCAGCGCTTACCTCGGAGGGCTCCATTCGGGCCTGGTCGAAGGAGATGCCCTTGATGCTGGGCAGCGGGAGGCCTTGCTCTCTGAGCAGCTCTGCGAGAGGGGCAGGTCGGGGAGCTCAGTGTCCGGGTGGGCGGAGGCGTCTGTGGTGCAGGGCAGGGGCAGCGAGGGCCAGGCCAGCTGAGCCCCGGCTGCTTCACTGCCCACATCAGGGAAGGGACCGGGGGTGCCCCCTCCCACCTCCCCTTCCTGGGGGGGCGCTATCTCCATCCCGCATTGGGCAGCCCCACTCCAGACAGCCGGGTCTCTGAACAGCTGCTCTGCCCATTTACTAAGAACCTATCTGAAGGGAATTTCAGTAACCATGGACACATTCTCATGGAGATGCTCTTCCTGGCAGCATTTTAAGGAATGTTCGATTTGTTGAAGGCTTCTTAGGAATCTATTAATGAATTTTATTCTTCTTGTTGAATTGAGGGAAATGACTGAAAACGCTATGCGTTCCTCAAAATACTAAAATGGTGGCAGAAACAGAAAATGTCTCAGCAAAGGATTAGACAGAAGTCAGCATAAACTGAAAATTACCCTTAAAACACTAGAAATTTGGTTATATTCATTAGAAAATATCCATTAAATATATCAAAGAAAAAATATTCATGAACATACTCATTTATCAAATATATGAAAAATAGTCCTTCAAGTAAGTTTTTGGTAAATTGGTAAATGTACTAAACTTGGAAAATTGGTAATTTTGCAAATTAGGTTTCAAAGAGTTAACCGTTTGACCAGTTGATTTTTGGCAAACTGAGTTTCTGAGATTCGACCTTGAGGCCTGGCCTGGGCCCTCCTGCTCCCTCCTCCGCACTGGCCGGCCCTCTCCCCATGCCCGTCATCGCTCTGGGCTCAGGGGGAGGTCTGCCACCCCTGCTGGTCTGATGCGTTGTCCCGCCCAGTGAGGTGGGGGTGGACAGAGAAGAGGGACAGGTGTCTCTGGTCCTGTCTGTCCTCTGATCTTCAGAGGCCTCCTCACCAGCCTGCCAGCTCCCAGCCTCGGCACCCCCTCGTCTCACTCCTCTCTCTGTGTTGAACCCAGATGACCCTGCGTGTGGCACAGGCTTTCGTCAGTCTCTCCCCTGCCAATTCTCTCACCCTCAGGCCGCTTCTTGCAGGCAGTCCTCCCGCATTTCCTCAGTGGCTTCGGCCCTGCTCTTTTTCTCCTTGTGGGGGAGCTTTGGACAGGACTCTAGTGTGAACAGCACCGCTGGTGCTGTGCATCCCACTGGCCTGTGTTCACAACCTGCAGGACCATATAGGCTTCCCGGGTCAGGCCTAGCCCCTGGGTCATCTCTTGACCCTCGCCATGGCTCTCTGTGGTCCAGGATCTAAGATGCACTTGTTGTGTGAGCTGCCCATGGGAGGCACTGGCATGGGTGGGGCCCTTTCTCCCTGGTTCTTTGCCCCCTGCCAGGTCACTTTGCATCCTTGCCCACCTGGCCTCTCAATCTGGCTGCCTTGCTGGACCTTCCATCACCACTGTCCCCCACTGCCAACTGGTCCCCCTTCTCGAACACAAATCTGCTCACTTCGTGCCCAGAACCTTCCCTGGTTTCCATGAGCCAAACCCTTCAGCCTGGCCAGCATTTGAATCCCAGCCTGCCCTTCTGGCCTCACTCTGCACTCCTAACGTGAGTCCTTGAGTTGGAGAACAGAGAAAAGCCCCTTTTGAGGAAGCAAGAAACCAGAGTTCTGGACTCAGCTCTGCCAGAGACTTGCTGTGTGACTCTGGGTAAGTCACTTAACTTCTCTGGGCCCATTGGAAAGACAAGGAGGCCGAGCCAGATGATTTCTCAGAGGTGAGTAAGGTCTGAGCTGTTTATCCTACATGTACTTCCTGAGTGTCTGCTGGGTGAAGGGAACATGAGGGAAAACAAAGAGAGAGGTACCCGTCCTCAGGTAGTTCACCTTCTGGTTGGGGAGACAGGTGCTGACCCAGTAATCACGTGGGTGGGTGGGCAGTTGTCACTCAGCCCACCTCAGCAGAGGTGTGAGGCCAGGAGGCGGTGAGTTCTGGGGGAGAGGAGCCTGTCCAGGCTCCTCACTCCCGTGGAGCTCACGTCGACGCCCCTCCAGCTTTCTGGGACCACCTCCCCAAACCCCTGCACCCCCTTGTTTCAGGTCTGCTTCTGAGGGAGCCCAACTAGGACGGTGGTGTCCGGAAAAGTTTGATTTGTTGCTGATGTCTAAAGATGGAGGTGGCGCCTCAAAACGTTCAGCGTCCTGCATCCCTCACAGAGGAAACATAGCTGCCCCGCTGGCGACATCGACTGAGCTGAGTGTGGCACCCACTGCAGGTGGGCGCGCTGGCCAGGCCCCCCCGGGCCGCTTCCTTTGGGCTGTGCCCTGCCCGGTCCTGCAAGCCTGGAGTTGCAGCGGTGGCTCCACCACTCCAGGGGCCCTTCCTGTCCTCACTTTCCACGCTGCTCCCCGCCTCCCCCCAGAAGCCCTGCGTGCCCACTGGCCCCGCCTCCGAGCTCCCATCACCACTAGCTGCCTGGGCGAAGGACAGGAGGGCCCCCGTGGCCCCTTCCCCACCCCCTCACACCTCAGACTTCAGCCTCCACCCTGCCTCCTCCTGCCTTGCCCGTGGGCCATCCCTAACCAACCCCGGGGGACAAGGCAGAAGCCAGCCGTCTGTGCAAAGCCCCGGACATGGACGATGCTGCTCCAAGCTGCACGGAAAGTGGCATGAGGAGAAACAGCTCACCGTTGTGATGGGGCAGAAACGTCCTCTTCAGAAGCTCCAAGACCAAGGCCTCCAGACGTTCTTCCTACAACAATGAAAGAGGAACAGGAAGCTTGCCCCAGCTGGGTTGGCAGATTCTGACCACGGGAATGGGGGGCTCCAGTGTATAGGTACCCACAGGAAGTCAGGAGTGTCCTGGGGACTCCACTTTTAAAGGGCAGTGGAGCTGGATGACCAGTTAGTGAGGGGCCTGGGGAAAGTTGAGGGGCCTGAGAAAGAGCCACCCTCACCCCGGGTCTCTGACTATCTTCATGTCTCTGCAGGGCAGCCCAGAGGGGAAATAGGTGGGCACGAGGAACCTGGGGCCAGAGCCTCACAGCACCAACTTTGGGTCAGTCCAGGGAGGAGCTTCCAATGCTGAGAGTTGCCTGCTAATGGGGCAGGAATCTTCTCATTGCCATAGCAAGCCTCCTGTCACTGAGGGTGTTCAAGAGGTCTTGATCGGGGCTGCTCCAACCCATTTGGACAGACTGGAAAAGGACTCCCTTTCTTCAAGACACTGTTTTCCCATCTGTTTGCAGACTGTCATAAGCACATTCGTATCTGTATTGTCTGTGATGTGGGTGGCTTGTACAGTGCACGACCTCTCCAACCATACACGATAGCCCTGGTCTGGATGACGGCCCTCTGATGAATGTCACAGAAAGGATCCCTGACCTGCGAAGATGATCTTTAGGACCTCTTGACCCTGACATTCTATGCAAGTAAGGCTGGAGCAAGGCCTGAGGTAACAGGGAGGATAATTTTGAAGCGTTTCCCAGTACATGTTCTCATCTGACCCTTTTGTTCTGTGGTTTTTCCATCTTGCAGCCTTCCCCCATTAGGGCTGAGGCATGAGGCTCACAGTCCTGTGGATGTGGAGGATTGTGGGATGTCCCAGGGTGGGGACAAAGGGCAGTTACTTTATGGGGCTCCCTCAGTCAAGCAGGCACAGTGAAAGCTCTTCCGGGGTAGGAGTGAGATCAGCCCCTGGGGAAGAGACCTCGTGCTGGTCTGGTGACTTGTTCACAGGGAGCAGGGAGGGCCAGACCAGTCACACCGCAGCAGAGTCCCCGCACCGCCACACGTGGCGCAGGGGCCACAGGTGGCTCAGGACACCATGCTGGGAAGCTGAGGGGGGAGGAAACCCAGAGTGGGGATGCAGGGCCCTGCAGGGGGTGCACACTGGGCGCTCTCCCGGAAGAGGCCGACGAGGCCCTTTCCAGCCTGCAGAGGGGGAGGCGCCTTCCAAAGCCTGGCATCTTCCTGGACGTCTCTCACTGCTCTGCATGTCTAGGAGATCCTGCCAGCTCCACTTCCAGAACACATCCAATCCTCACGGCCACTCCCCCCGGGGCCACTCCCCCCTTGGCCGCCTGCCACCACCTGTCAAGCCTCATGACCCTCTGCATCACTCTGCCAGCTGCCCAGTGGCTCCCTGCCCCCAACACCGTGCCTCTGGTCCTCTGCTCCTCTGCTCGGAACCCGTCATCACTTCTGTCTCACTCGGAAAAGCCAGCCCCCTCTAGGAGGCTCTGCCTCGGCCCCTCTGCCCCAGCCCCCGGTCCTGAACCTCCTGCGCTCCCCTGCCTTGGGGCCCTGGGTCCCCTCTTCCCCACACCCCACAGCTCCCTCCCGCCCCCTCCAGTCTTTGCTCAATTGCCCTGTTTCTCTGAGGCCTTCCTCCACCTTCCTTTATTAATATTTCCCCCTCCCTCCCTCCCCATCCCCCAGCCCCTCCTCTGCTTTTTCCGTAGCCTTATCCCCTGCCTGCTTACTGTGTGATTAACCTTTCTGTGCTTATGTTTATTATCTGGCCTCACCAAGCTAGACCGTGGGTTCCCTAATGGCAGAGACCTTTGTTTTGTTCACTGACACATCCCAGTACCTAAGACGAGGCTAAGTGTACAAAAGAATGACATGCATGTGTTTAAGTGCTGGGGGCTCCCGCTACCCCCCACGGGGGGCACGGGGCTCCAGGGCAGGATGAGATCCGTGATAGAAAGCGAGGGAGTCTTTCAACCCCTACAGCAATGACCCAGGGCCTGCTGGGGGTCCTTCAGGACCGGGGGGCGAGGCTAACGAAACAGACTCACCTGACCTGCAAGGCCAGCGGGGTGGGGACCCAGGGCGACCGTGCTGCTGCCAGAGAAAAGAGGTCACCCTTTCAGGTCGTGGACGCTGCTTGCGGGGTGCAGTGCTCAGGGGCTGCCAGTCACGACACCCTTCCCTCCCTCCTTCCCTCCCTCCTTCCCTCTCCCCCCTCCTTCCTGTAACCACTCCGTGCAGCTGACAGCAGGCATGGAAACCTGCGCCCCTGAACCACACTCTCTCCCCCCATCTCTTTCTCTGTGAGCCGCCTTGTTTTGCTGAACATCCAAAACCAAAAGAAATCACCTGTTTGGAGTGAACTGGAGTTCTAATTCCTGATTTTTTGAGGAAAACATGGCCTTTGAAAGGAGTTTCTATGAGGAATTGAAATTAGGTCAGAAGAGGAGAGGAATTGGCGTTCCAGCAGAGGGACTCCCTTCGCCCCAGCCCCCTGAGTCCTTGTCCAGCGCGGCACCCCCACTGGTCCTCTCCCCGCCCCAGCTGCTGGTCCACGGGTGCTCAGACCATGAAAGTGTGCTGTTGCCACAGGAGAGGGCACGGTGGGTGCTGGAGCTCCTGGGGGCAGGGGAGGCCGGGGCTGGGCACGAGGGGAGGGGGCGCAGCTTGGGGGTGGAAAGGCCTTCTGCATCGAGTCACTTGGCTGTGGAATCACTGTTGTGGAAGCCAGAGGACCCCTTGGTTTTGAGGGATTTGTCTATGGGCCTCCATGTTTCACGCTGTCACCTTATAGACCAGAAACAGGACCTTCACCTGCAGCCAGAGATGACCGCCTTCTTGGCTGCAGACTCATGCCAACGAAGACCCCAGGATCCTGTTGTGCACACTCGATGCTCTTGGACTCACCTAGTCTAGGACGACCCTCCCGCCTCCTCAACTGAGGCCCCTTCAAGGGGGCCAATTTCAAGGTTCGTGGAATGGGAAATAGGAATCCCAAGGGGCTCCGGACAGAGAAGTTGAGACTTTGGGGGCCTGTATGTCCCCAGAATTCCTCCCAGGTCCAGCCAGGTCACCTCTCTCGGGGAAGAGAGAACACACACCCCTGCAGCCCCTCGTGAGCTTCGTTTCTCTGACTTTTCTCCTGGGTTTGTGGACAAGGGCTTTCGATGCAGCCCAGTGCAGGGGGACGGCTGAAAGCCTTAACAGCCCCCCTGCAGGGCCACTGAGAGAGGGTCTCAGACGCAAAGCCCCCTAGTCGCTGAGGCCACCCTTGGGGAGGGCTGGGGCTGCACCTGGGGGAGCGGGTGTCTGAGTAGACGGTTTGAAGCCTGGCGCGCCTCTTTGGGTGTGGACTGATGGAGTGTTAGCGCGGCGTGGTGGGAGGGTTGCTGCTGCCCTGTGCAGCCCGCCCTCAGTCCGCCTGCCCTGGATGGGCCTCAAGTGGACCCAGGACCCCGGGGAACAAAGGACTGCGAGCTTTACTCACCCAGGAAACGGAGACAGAGGAGGTGTTGCTGGGCCCCCGCAGCACCAATGAGCCCGGCTGGAGGGCCATGGCCGTGTGGCCATCCAGGCAGACAGTGGGAGGGTCAGGGGTGCTGACGGTCAGTCCCACGCTCCCTCTGGACTGGGCAGAAGTCTGCATAGGGTTAAAGCAGAAAAGGTGCAGGCAGGGACAATAGAGGTGTTCCTTAGCCCTCAGCTTGGAGGATTGGGAACAAGACCACCTTAGGAGTCAGGCTGTCTGAGTTTCATTCTAGCTCTGCAGCAACTTGCTGTGTGACCTTGGGAAAGTCACTCACCTTCCCTTGGCTGCACTGAGGTGAGATGACATCCTCCTTCTGGGCATGCATACCAGGTAAGAGCATAGATTTTGGAGCCACAGTTCCAGCTCTGCCACTTGCAAGCTGTGTGGCCTGAGACAAGTTTCCCAATCTCTCTGTGTCTCAATTTTCATCTTGTAAAATAGGGATGATAATCATACCTACCCCATAAGGTTGTTATGGAGACTAAATGAGTTAATTTGTGTAAAGTGCTTAGAACAGAACGCGGCACCTAGTGACGCTGTACGCCTGTTAGCTGTTGTGGTTATGGTTATTATTGTTGTTCGTCCATCAGGGGCCATATTCTAAGAGCCTTTGCAGAAAGGCCATTGAGCATGGATTTCAGAGTCCGGGACCGTGTTCAGATCCTGGTTCTGCCGCATACTGAGCAGTGTGAGTGTGGGCCAGTGGAGTCAGCCTGCGGAGCCTTGGCTTGCTCCTGTGTGAGAAGCGGGGAGCGCCCAGGATTGGATCGACCCAGGGGAGGGGCCTGGCACAGCCACTGCTCGCTGTTATCCACCGTGTGCACATCCGTCTGCCTCGGCAGGCTCGGGGTCTCGTTCAGCCGTGGACAATAACGACAGCCAGCGCTGTGGTCGCCCGGGCGGGGCCGTGGGCTGAGCGCCTTACTCGAATCGCCTCCTTCAACCTCACATCGTGCGAAGCACCAGCAGGGATCTTTGGATCCAGCAGGAAACCCTGGCCGACTGAGCATGCGCTGTGGCCCACCCCACCCTGCCCCGCTCCCAGAGTCCCTCCCGAGATCCTGGCCAGGGTGCTGGGGGAGCAGCTGCAACACACCCACCTCGGGCCCGGGCTCCAGCTCTCTCGGTGACAGCAGCTGAATGAGGGCGGCCGCCTGGACAAAGGGCAAAGTGCGTGTTGGCCTTTAGAATCCTGCAGGTCCGTCCTGAGCAGGTCCAGGGGGGCGTCAATGGGTTCAATGAGATGTAACTGTCCCCAGCTGGAGACACCACCTGCACACCTGCCAGTCTCAGTGTGGGAGGACCATTCGCCAGACTTCCCATCATGACCTCTCTGGAAAGTTCTTTTTCTTTGTTTCACTGATTTTCCCCCAACATTTTATTGTGAAAGCTTCCACACTTACAGCAAAGTTGAAAGACTTTTATAGAGAACATTTGTATACTTATCACCTAGATTCTTCTGTTAACCTTTTCCCATCCTTGCTTTATCACATTTCTATCCACCTATCTGTGCTCCATTGATATTTGAAAACCGAAAATCATTATAGAAAGCAAAGCAAAAATATATAAAGCAAAAGTAAATGTAAAAGTCCACCCCAACAGCTCTTCCCCTTTTCCCCTAAATCCTATTCTCAGGGTAACCACAGTTGCCATTTTGGAGCATACTCTGACAGGCTTTTTCTACACACGTATAAACACGGATAGATGGGAACATTCTAAACACACGGTCCCGCACCTTGTTTGCTCCTCTCAACGTCAGCAGGCAGAGAACAACCCCATTCTTTTTAACAGCTGCATAGTATTGTGCATTGTATGAACATAAGCTGACTTATTTTTCCTTATCGATGACACCTAGATTTTTATTTTTCACTCTATAACAAGTGAGGCTGCAAAGACCCCTTGCACGTACATCCTTGCCCACTGCTGTAAGAATCTCTGCAGACGTAGAATTGCAGGGTTTACTTCCAGCTGTCTCAGAGCTGCCAACCTGTGTGGGATGGAGGGAAGGGCAGGGGGAGGCAGGAGACTTGGCTCCAGTCCTGATCCCGCCTGCTGGGGGACCTTGGGAAAGTCACTTTCCCTGTCTGGGCCTTGGTTTCCTCATGTAAAAAATGGAACAACTACATTAGATCTCTTCCAGGTATGGATCTTAGGGTTTCACACTTCACCATTTACTGAGCACCACTGTGTGCCCTTCACAGAGTATACCATCCTTAGTCCCTGCCCTTGAAATGGGGGGATGGGGAACACGCAAAGTTAAATAAATAAACACACACAGTATACATACAGGTGTGTGTATGTGTATATATAACTTTACTCACACACATACGCACAGTGTGCTCAGTGTTCAGAAGGAAAAGAACAGAGAGAGAGGGAAGGCGGGGGTTGGGGGAGAGCTTTCTTTAGACATTTAGATGCGGTGGTCAAGGAGGGGCTCTCTCAGGAGGCGACATTTGCACTGAGACCAACAGAGGAGGGACAGCGTTTCAGGCAGAGAGACCTGCGTGTGCAAAGGCCCTGTGGTGGGGACCAGCCCCGCCTGTGAGGCTGGCGTGTAGTGGGTGAGGACGTGCGGCTGGAGAGGCGGCCAGGGCCAGATCACACAGGGCCCTGGGAGCTGCAGAGGAGACTGGACTTTGTTCCGAGTGCGGTGAGGAGCTGCTGGGGGCTTCTGAGCAGTGATGGGTCTGGGTCCCTCCCTCATCTGATCCCCTCGTCCACCTGGGACTTCCTCTTCTTGCAGACCTCAGTGTGTGCCTCCTTGTCACCAGTCAGGCCACCTCCTCAGAGATGTCTTGACTGACTGCAGCGTCCAGGGTAGCCCTCTCATCTCTGCCAGCCACTTACTGATCCATTGCTCTGCTTATTATAAGATGAATTACCTTATTTATCTGACTGTTTTCTTGTTCAGTTTCTATTCCCCCACTAGACTCTGAGCTCTGCAAGGGCAGGGACCCTGTGTGCACAGGGCCTGGCACACAGTGGGCCTTCAGTAAATACTTGCAGCATAAATGAATGCCAGAATGAATGAAGGAAGACAGGAATAACTGAGGAGACTGGGTGTTCAGGGAAGTCCTCCCAGAGAAGGGAACTTCTACACTGGGTTCTGAAGGCTGACTAGGAGTGCTCCAGGGGAGGGGAAGTGACTTACCTAGGCCCACTCAGAAAGCATGTCTGCCAGCTAGGCCTTGGTTTCTTCATGTGGAAAATAGAACAATAATGTTATGTGTCCCCTCCCGGCATCGCTCCCCTTCCTTGAGCACTCACTGTGGAGTCCTGGAGGTCCACGAGGAGCTCCTTGCTGGTGTAGAGGCAGGACAGGATGTCATTGTACGCTTCCAGCCAAAAGGCCAGGTCCGCCATGCTGCCCTGGGCTAATTTTGGGAGGGGCTGGGGGGCCAGGTGGTCAGGCCTTGGAGCTCTCTGGCCTGGGCCGCAGCGGGTCACGAGCTTCAGAGGAATGAAGGAGAAAGGAGAAAGGCAGTGTGGCCAGCCTCCCTGGCCAGCAGCTGCTTACGGCTGGTACCCCGAGGGTCCACTGTGTGCTAGCACAGTGCTGCCCGATTACGTGCACAGTCTCCTGTCGACCTCACAGCAGCACCAGGAGATGGGAACTGTCGCTGAGGCAACTGAAGCCTGAGGGGTGAAGCGACTTACTCAGGACCCTGCCCGTGGCAGAGGTGGAGCTGCTGTGGAATCCAGAGCCCCGTCTTCTTGCTTCTCCCTCCTTTGACCCCATTCCCCTCTCTGCGCCCTTGTTAATTGCGCCTCCTTCCTACCCGCTCAGAGGCTTCCTGTCCACCATTCCATGGGGACGGGAGTCGGGCAGCCAGCCTCGTCCCTTCTCTGGGCCTCGGTTTCCCCATCTGAGGGGTCCCTGCCCTTTTGTTGGAGCCCCATCTTTGCTCACGGGACACACAGCCCTGTGGCCTCTCCTGCTCTCCAGGGCGGAGGCAGGACTCCTCGGCTCAGCAGGAGCTCCCGAGGGCGGGGCCTGCCGGGTCTCCCCTTTCTTCTCCCTCCTTCTCTCTCCCCTAACACCTCCTCTGCCTGCTCCTCCTCCTCCCCTTTTGGCCTCCTATCCCGAGGAGCTCCCCTCTCAGTCCCCTCTCAGTCTCCTCTTTGCCCGTCCTCCCCCAGACCAGTGGATGTCCCGGGAGGGTCTGTCCCGGCAGGGGGCCGGCTCACCTGGACCTGCATCAGGATGGCCTCCTCCGTGAGCTCTGTGGTGGTGACATGGTACTGGAAGTCTTCTGGGCCCGAGATGGTCGGGGCTACAGTGAGGAAATGAAACTGGGGCTCAGCCTTTCTGGGGGGCGGATGGGGAGGCAGCAAAAGCGGGAGAAAGTCGTTCTCCCTCTCTGCTTAGCTTTAAGCTCCTCGTGGGCTGGGCCTGTGCTTCTTGTAATGATGAACATTTATTGATAATAACTTTTTGCCGGGTTCTATGTATTATCACCGCAGCCCACGTGCAGGCCGACGGCGAATCCCATTCTACAGACTGGGAAACCCAGGCCGAGGGGGGCGGAAATGACTCACCAAGGTCAGAGGGCATATGCCCTTTTCTCCCCCACTAGAAGGCAGGCTCCCTGTGGGCAGGCCCTGTCGGTGTTGTTTCCCGTTGGTCTCCCAGAGCCTAGGAGAGTTCCTGGCTCACAGTCGGGGGACAGCAGCTAAGCTCCCTCCTCAGCCAGGAGCTACGTACCCAGAGTTATGCGCAACACGTCCTCCAGCAGCGAGTTGAGCAGGGTCGTGGCCAGGGGGCACACCTGGAGGGAAGGCATGGGGGTCCTCGTTGGGGTCGGGGTGAGGTCGAGGGGCTCTCCCTCAGGATCACACCCCTCTCCCAGGGGGTGGGGGAGCATGAGCTACTCACCATCTTCTGCAGGAAGAAAGGCAGCGTCTTGTCCAGGACGCCAGTTATCACCTTTAGAGCTTCGTTCACCAGGAAGGGGTTCATCCTAGGGCAGGGGAGCCGTGGGGTCTGAGATGCCACCGAAGGGGAGACTGAGGCCAGAGGAGGGGGTCTCGGGCAGGGCTGAGGAAGGCCCAGACAGGCCTGTGTAACTTGGAAGCTCAGAGGGCCTGCTTCCTTCTCACCTGGTGTCTCTCTCTTCTCTCTCCTCACTTTCCTTTTCTGTTTTTCCCTCCTCCTTGCTTTCTCTCTCCCTGACTTTCTCCTACAATTCTTTATTCCTTCTTGATTCTCCATCTCTGCCTCTCTCCCTTTATTTCTCTCTCTGATAAAGATCTCTGGGATTTTCAAGGAAGGAGAGATCACACCTGGCAGTGGAAGTCATGGCAGGCTTCCTGGAGGAGGTAGCTTTTGTGCTGGGTAAATATAAGCATCATAGATAGTGGCCACCTTGTGCAGCAGGTTCTGTGCTAAGTGGGTCACATGGGTTGGCTCATGTCTTCCCCACAACCACCCCATGTTGGCTGGGTTCTGTGAACAATCCCATTTTACTGGTAAGGAAACGGAGGCTCCTAGACGTCAAATAGCTTGGCCAGGGCCCCAGTGTTGGGAAGCAGTCAAACTGAGATTTGACCTGGGTGGACGCATCATGCTCTTGGCCATGACATTCAGCATGGAGGAAGGAGATGCTGGTGCGTGGTGTGTGCAGCTGTGGCCTGAGCCTGTCCCTGATGCCCTTGGTGACTGTAGACAGCGAGGCTGGGAGAGGCAGCCCCAGCCCTGCATCTCAGCGAGGGGCTGAGCAGCCGCTGTGGGGCAGGAAGGCTGGGCACCTTCCTCTGCCCGGTGGGTGCGCAGGAGTGGGCAGGTACTCACTGCTCCAGGACCTCGATGCTCAGGTTCCCTGGTGGGGTGTGGCAGTCGTTGAGGGCCACGCGGGTCTTGTTCCCTGTCTGTTCCAGCCGTACCCCGATGCGAATGTTCTTGATGATGCTGAACCGCAGGATCCTGCAGGGGCAGCGTGTCTAGGCCGCTCCAAGCCACAGCCCAAGGTCGAGGCCAGAAGCCACAGGCTGGTGGCCTGCGGTGGCACAGAGGGCTCAAGTGAGAAACTAGGGGAGTTCATTAAAAGTAGAGTTCACACTGTGGAAAACCTGAAAAATCTGACAGCACCGGGCCAGTGTCCTCGCAGGTGGCCGTCACCTGGCGCTGACGGTGACCTCGAGATGGGCCACAGGCTCCTCAGTTTGCCACCGTCCTCAACAGGCCAGGAGTCAAGTTGTGTTTTTACTGCACACCATTACAAGGGCGATGGTGTGTTTACCATCCAGCAGAGAAATAGTTCTCTGGGCCCACGTCTCTATCCCAGAGACATTTTCCTGCACTCACTTCTCTGTTAAAAAGGGAAGCTAAACGAAGAAAGCCATACTTTACAAGAAAAACAGGAGTGGACACATTCCTAAAGGGCATTTAAGAATATTTCTGTTTCAGGGGCCGGCTCTGTGGCCGAGTGGTTAAGTTCACGCGCTCTGCTGTGGCGGCCCAGGGTTTCAGCGGTTCGGATCCTGGGCGCGGACATGGCAGCACTCGTCAGGCCACGCTGAGGCGGTGTCCCACATGCCACAACTAGAAGGACCCACAACTAAAAATATACAACTATGTACCGAGGGGCTCTGGGGAGAAAAAGGAAAAATAAAATCTTCAAAAAAAAAAAAAAGAATATTCCCGTTTCACATGCAAACACCACCTGAATCGCTCCCTCTGTTGGCTGTCGAGTTTGCAACCCCGGGTCGGTGTCCTCGTGCTTTGTCTAGTGTCCCGTCTGAACTCTCAGACAGGCAGTGAGCTCCTCTCACAGCAGCCGCGTGTACTTGGGGACTCGATCACACCCATTTTATAGATGAGGAAACTGAGGCCCAGGGAAGAGAGGCCCTTGCTCAAGTCGCCTGGATGGTCAGTGGGATTGGAGTCCAGGTGCGCTGCACTCCAAGGTGAGCCTGGACCAGACCCTCCAGAGATATTCCTGTTAACACGTCTGCCTTTTACTCAGATGGGGCACACGTCCCCAACAGGGAGGTCAGGGGGGTTTATCTCAGCCTCTGCCACTGACTCACTGTGTGATCCTGGGCAGGTCCCTCTCTCACTCTGTGCCGCAGTTTTCCTTCCCTGTCAGTAAAATTGGCTTTGAAACATGCCCAAGTAGAAAGGACTTTTGCGACCCGTATGGTGACCTGGGCAGGAGGCTTTGCCAGCCCTGCATGGCTGTTCTTGAGTTACGGCAATGAAGGCTGGGCTGCCTGGCACTGAGGGGGTGGGGAGGAGGTGCCCAGTGTACCCACCTCTGGAGGGACAGGTACAGTTTAGTCTGCAGTGTGACCTGGAACAGGCTGTCGCTTAGGATTTGCAGGGTGACCTCAGGTCCTTTGGCATCTTCTATGATCAACCTGTGAGAGGTACAGGAGGTGCTGGTGTGGCCTGATGAGGCCGCTATGACTCTGTGGAGTGTGTGTGTCTGGGTTAATGAGAATGGAGGTGACCCCAGGATGGGTGGGGGGCAGCGTTGGAACAACGCCTTCCCTGACTCCTGGCCCAGCTGCAGAACGCTGGGCTCCAGTTCCAGCCCCCAAGCCTTGAAGATCTGTGTGGGTCTCCTCCCTTCTCTAGGCCTCCGGGTCACCTTCTACAGAATGGGGAGAAAACACGGGAGGAGCTGTCTAAGGCCATTTAACCAGTCTGAATTCAAGTACAAGTGCTTTGCAAAAGAGAAGCAAGCAGGCGAGAGCCAGAGAAGGCAAGAAGGTTGGTGATCCCATAGTCATCTGCTCAGGGCCGCCTGCCCTGCTGAGCATCCGGAAGGAGGACGTGAGCCTTCTGCTCCCTCTGGGGGCCTCAGGTCCAGTGTCTCCCTGAGCTGGGAGGAGCCCAGAGTTTTCTGTACTTTTGAACGTTAGCTACGAGCTGGTGACTCATCTGGTACCCACCGGAAGGGGCAGCAGACCACCCAGAGCTAGGGGAGAGGCATCGAGAAGATGCTTTCTCACAGTGCTTAGAAGGAAACAAGCCTGCCGACACCTCCACCTTGGACTTCCAGCCTCCGGAACTGCGACACAAGGCGTTTCTGTGGTTTGGGCCGTCAGTTTGTGGCACTTTGTTATGGCAGTTCTAGCAAACCAATGCAGTCAGAAAACCTAGATTTTGATGGAAACCTTCTTAACTTTAAAATGTCGTCAGTTCGTTTAAAACACTGTGCCAGTTTGCAGTGCCAGGTGCAGGCTGAATGTGGTGGCTGGAGGGCTGCCACGCCGAGGGCCTTTTTAGACTCTGCTTTGTTCCTTGGAAGATTCCAAGTGGCTTAGAGAGGCTGAGGACAATGCAAATGCCCTTGCTGAGCACTTTCTGGGCTGTAGAGAACCTCCAGGGACACCCAGGGCTCCCACCCACAGGGGTTCACCTGCCAGGGAACCCCATGGCTCAGGGACACAGCCGGGCCTGGGGGAGGAAAGGCCGGAGGCGGCACCCGCAGCTCACCCGCCCGCCTGGAACAGCTCCTCCAGCAGTGGGAGGCTCTTTCCGGAGAGCAGGTCCCCGACCAGCGACAGGTCAAGCCTGCTGCTCTTCCTGGAGAGGCCTTCTCGCACGAAGGGCAGGTGGTCCAGGATGGGGACGCCTTCGCCTGCGGCCTCCGTCACAGGAATCCTGGTCACGTGGTCCAGGATGCGCTGTTCCGAGAACAGGTCTGAAATATCTGAGGACACAAGCCCCTCCTCAGTGAGGGGCTCGCCCTTCATTCAGTCACTCAATACACACCCAATAGCATTTGAGTGGCTCTGAGTCAGCAATCTACATGGTCATTTAGCAGCAAGTACTTATTACGTGCTTACTCTCTTCCTGGCCCAGGGAACAGGAGCAGTGTGGCTCCGCCCCCATGGAGGGCACTTCTAGAAAGGGAGATGGGCAACAACCGAATACTCAGATAAGCAAAAGCAAACAAGGCAATATTCAAAGTGATAAGGGCTACAAAGAAAGTAAAATGGGGTTGAGTTGGAGCATGACTGGGGGGGGTGTCTACTTTAGATAGGGTGGTCAGAGAGAGCCTTTCTGAGGAGGAGGCATTTGAGCAGAGACCTGAACAAAGTGAAGGAATCCACTATTACAAGGTCTGGGAGGAGAGGCAGTGGGAACAGCATGTGCAAAATCCCTGAGGTGGTAATGAACCTGGTGAGTTTAGGAAACTGAAAGATCAGTGAGGTTGGGCTGTGGTGAATGGGGTGGGAGGTGGATGGACAACAAGAAACTTGTGGTCAAGAGGGAGAGAGACAAACAGACAGACAGAGGGATAGACAGGAGAAGAACAATACACTTGGATAACGCCATAGATGAGGCTTCACCAAAGGGCTATGGGAGCCTGGAGGAAGGAGACTCCTTCTGGCTGGGGAAGTTGGGAGGGATTCCCACCACAGGGACTGTTAGAGCTTTACCTGAAAGGGTGAGTCAGAATTCACCATGCTGGGAAGGAGGGAGGGAGGGAGAATTGTAGGCGGAAAGGAAGGAGGCTGGGAAGTCCATGGGCGAAGTCAGGGCAGGTGGTGGTGGAAGAGGCTGGAGGTGCAGGGTCTGGAATGCCAGGATGAGGCACTTATGGTAGTGGGGAGCCACAGCAAGTGTTAGAGCAGGGGAAGGGGAGTCAGCACTAGCAAATTCTGCCTCTGGTGAGGGGGAGGCCAGAAGAGGAGCAGTCTTGGGGAGGTGGTGCCGTCTCCCACCCCTGCCCCTCCCTGAGTTCCTGCCTCTCGCATTCCACTCCTTAAATTTTACCTGTCTCCAGCTGATCCTTGCTGACCCGCAGGAAGAGCAGGTGCCGGGCCTGCCCTTGAGCCTGGGGCAGCAGCCCCCAGCATAGCAGTGACCCCCAGAACAGCAGCATCCTCCCTGCCAGGACCTGCAAACACAGAGCTGGGAATCTTGGTGGCCACCTCCGTGTCCCCAGGGGGGACCCACTGCCCAGCATCTCCAGTTCTGCCTCTCCTAGAACCGTCTCCCCAGCCCTCCTTCCCTCTCTTCTCCCCCTGGCTCCAGGTCGCTCATCCTTAAACACAGCCTCCACTTCCCACCACCTCACATGAGTGCTTTCAATTCCCTCTGCCTGGAGTGCCCTCCCCCTTATGTGGGCTGGCTTCAAATCCGGGATCTGCCACTTCCTGACTGCGCGATCCTGAGCAAGTTCCTTGACCTCTCTGTGCCTCAATTTTCTCAGCTTAAAATGGGAGTAAACATAGGTTGTTGTGAGGAATACATTCAACAATAGGCACAAAGCACTTAGCAAGCAGTGTGCCCAACAGCTGCTACTGTGGCTAGTAATGCTGTGAGCTGTTAAAAGATGGAGCACTCCTTTTTAACCGTGGGGGTTTCTGGATCTTGAGGAAGACAGGAGACAGGGGTCCTTGGGGAGGTGCCATAGTATTTCAACCAGTACATTTGTACTGACTCCTACTAGCTGAACTTCAGCCCTGCCCAGCTGGCCAAAAGGGCATAGTTGGGACCCCAGAGCCTGCAAGCAGGGGGCTCTCCGGGTGGGCAAGGGTGTGCCACCAGGACACGTGGCCTCCGGAACTGCAAGGCGGGGACCAGCCGGGATGCAGACCTCTCCAGGCAGACACCAGCATAAGCAGGGCCATCAAGGAGCCACCACGGCACCCCGTCCCCTCAATGCCACATCCATGAAGAAGCCCCCAAGGGCAAATGCTGCCCCTGAGCGAGAAGACCCCTGAGGTGGCTGAGCCCACCCTGGAGCGCCTGAGCCGATCCTGGCATTGCCTCGAATCGGCGACATCTGGTGTTTTGCCGCTTGGTGGCGCAGGAGCTCAGAACAGCGATTCACTAGGTCATAGAAAAAGGAAAGTTTTTGTTTGTTTGCCGATATGAATTTTGGACTGGGAAATCTGGACTCAGGGCCTTAGCGGTTCATATCTTGCTTCCAGGCTATTCTTAAATTCACCCGCTGTTCGTCTCACCAGCGTGTCGTCAGCCCTGGACCAGGGTCTGTTGTCAATCCTTCACCAAAGTCAGGCCTCTCCTCCCTTCCTGCCCTGGGCCCTCACTCTGCCCTCCAGCCCGCTCCATCTCTTGCCTTGAATCATCCACACCAGCCCCACTGCTACTTGAGTCCTCGCTGTGTGAGTCTCAGGCACCACGCTGAGAGCTGTACAAGCTTCGTCACGTCATCGAGTCCTCACAACAACGGTCTGGGATCATTGACAGCAGGCCCGTTTTACGGATGACAAAACTGAAGCTCAGAGAGGAGAAATGAATTGCCCACGGTCACACAGGTAGTAGGTGGCAGAGCCTTGATTGGAACCCAGGTGAGCCTGGTGCTAAGAATCTAGGCACCACTTCACCACGTTATCATGGGTGCTCAAGAGACATTTGGGAGGTGCCCATGTCAGCCTCCTGCTCTCACCTCGCCAAGAATAGGGCTGTCCTGATTGCTCTCTGGCCTCTGTCTCCAGCTTCCCAGAAAGACACGACTTTTATAACCTGAGCTTGAAGCCTGTGTGGGTGGACATGTGGGCAGGAAGCCCAGCCCCGTGGCTGGGGCTTGTGCTCAGGGGAGCTCTTCAGGAGAGGGGAGGTCCTCTTGGCCCTGGGTGGCAAGGAGCTTCTGGCCAAAACTGATCGGGCCCATCACTAAGGCCTGAGGGCTAGGCTCTGGGACCGGGCCAACAGAACCCACAGAGGAAGTGGGTGAGGGCCCTGCGGTTTTGGGGTGGGCCCTTTCCCTTGGGAACAGCAAAGCTGCAGGGCCTGGGGCAGGGCTCCAGCTCTCGGGAGGGGCCTGAGAAGGCTCCTAATACAGGATGTGGCAGTCACAGAACCCAAGGGATAAAGGTGTGTATGGGGGCAGGGGGGAGGAGAGCAGTTGAGGGGGAGAGGCACGGCTGGGAGGGGCCTAGTGACCAGGGACCAGGAAGGTGGTGGAGTCTTGGAGTTCCCCCCCGGGGCTCCTGCCTTAGGGGTGCATGGGTGGCAGTTGTGTTTCAAGGCCCAAATGGAAGGAGGCCAGCACAGAAGACAACCCCTTTCCTTTATGGGACATGGAGACCCAAGGGGGAGTGATGAAGGAGCAGAGTAGAGGGAGGCAGTGTAGGGTAGTGGTTAGGGGCTGCTTGGTAGTCGTGTTGAGTTGTCAGAGCCTCGGTTTCTTCATTTGCGCAGTGGGGGTCCAGGGGCTGTGGGGAAGGATGGGTGAGTGAACTCTCAGCCCGGCACCTGCACAGAGCAAATGCTTGTCTTGGTTTGGGTCCCCAGAAGCAGACCCTGAGACCAGGATTTGAGATCAGGGAGCTGATTTGGGCACTGAACCTGGGAGATGCTGGTAAGGGAGGGAAAGTGAGGCGGGGAAGGAGGAACCCATAAAGGTGTGTCATCAAGCAAGTGGTCCCGCGGGCATCTTGGGCTCAGGCCCGCTGGGGCGCTGTGGGAGCCAGTGTGGTGCTGTTCCCTGCCCCCGAGGGGGGAGGAGGCGGGGTTGTTTATTCAGCAACCTCCAGGAAGCCCCAGGACTTGGAAGCCATGACCGTAGCTGTTTTGGAGAAGAGCCCAGCTTGGCTGGTGTCGGAGCCACTTGCCTCTGACAGCATTGTGTGGGCTGGGACAGAGATCCCTTCACTGGGGCAGGTGGGACCCAAGACCAGAGCCCCTGCCCCATCCTCCAGGCTCCTCGGAAGACCCCCAGCCCCCAGCAGACCCTATATGACACTAGGGAGCCAGAAGAGACCTCCCCAGACAAGATGGAGCTCGACGTTCTCATCTCCCTTGTGAGTGGGGGTCAAACCCAGGTTTAATATGATTTAGAAAAGAAAAGGACTGCGATGTGTGGGACGCAGCCCACAGAGTGCGGCTGGGAGTCGAGGATACGTGGCCTGCACTGAGCAACTGCCCAGCAAGTGTTCGCAGGCCCTGGTGTAGGTGCCTCGCACAGGCTCCTGTCCTGGACCCTCCGCGTCCCTCTTGGCCCAGCCCGTGTCCTGTAGATTGGAGAAGCTCATCCCACTGCCTTCCCAGGCCGCCAGCCGTTCTGATGCCTGTTTTTGCCCTGAAGTTGGGGAATGCCTTTTCCTGAAATGCCCACCCGCCCCTTCCTGCAGGGCCCCTCGTGTAACTGAAGGGCTCTGTGTGCTGGGGCCGGCCCAGAGGCTGGAGAACAGGGGCCCTGTTGTCTGTCCTGAACCTGCTGGCATCAGAGAGGCCAGGGAGACAATGGCAGTCACGCACTGTCCAAGTGGGAAGGGCCTTCAGTGATAAGGCCCAGCATCCCGGAGGCCAGGTAACAGCAGTGATGATGACGTCACCCACAGAGGACGTTGTTTGAGCACCTTCCATGTGCCGGGAGCCCTTCTCTCTCATTTCATCTTCACTGCAGCTGTCCAAGGTGGGGACATGATTCTCTCCATTTATAGAGAAGGAAACTGAGGCCCACAGAGGGGAAGCCACATCTCAGGGTCAACCAGCCATTGAGGGGCCAGGCCAGAACTCCAAGCCTGCCTCCAGAGTCACGCTGTTCAGAGCCCTCGACCCCCGACACCGCCAAGATGAACACAACATGCATCCCCGCCAACGAGGTTGTCCCACCATACGTGGTCTTGAGGCCAACAGGGAGGGCACTACAGGCTTTCTTATTCCTGAAGCCCAGGGAGGTGGCCGAGACCCTGGACATTATCCACATGTGGTCTGATGTGGCCCACACAGAGCTCAGACATGGCCCCGACTGGCTCAGAGGGGCCTGAATGACACAGATGTGGCTTGGATGTCCAGCCCCCAAGGCTGCTGGGGCAAAAAGACTCCTGAGCTGGGACAAGGATGCACTCCAGACTACAGGAGTCACAGGCAAGTGTTTATTTTCCGCAGAGGGGCAGTCTACAGAGTTGGCTCCCACGCTCCCACTGGGACCCAGCCCGCCCTGGATGGCCACCGTCCAAGTCTTCACTGGGAGAGAGGAGAGTGGTCCGGGGTTCTACGAGGAGGCCGGGGTGACCACGAGGGCATCCTGGAATCGGAGGAGAGAAGTCATTTGGGGATTTTCCCTCCTGCCTTGTGGTTTATGCCCGTTGGTCTTCCACAAGGTGACCGCCGGCACTGGGGGTCATGATCCTGAACTCCCGCACACAGAACTCTGGGAAGGGTCAGAGGAGCAGGGTCTGCGTGTGAGCAGTGACGCTCTGCCTGGGTAGGGGCACAGGCAGAGCGCCTGCACGCAGAGAGCGGGATTGTGCAGGGCTGTTGTCCCCAAGCCCGGCTGACCCCCAAACTCCTCGAGAAGTTGTGTAGAATGCAGACTCCTGGGGGTCCCCTGGGACCCAGCAGCTAAAATGTTGACAACGGTCTGCCTTTTTTTTTTGAAACTGAGTGTTATACAAGGAACTTAATCTATTAGATTTCCCCCAAAGTTTTATTATAATTTCCAAACATACAGTACAGCTGAAAGAATTTACAGTGAACACTTGCATACCCACCGCCTAGATTCCGTTAACTTTTTAAACCACGCTTGCCTTATCTCCTGTCTATCCATTTATTCAGCCCTTTGACTCAATTTTAAAATATCATATTATAAAACTATAGAAAGGAAATCAATATGCTGATAGCCCAAAACAAATGAAGAGAGCAAAACAGGAAATTTGGAAACAGATCCAAAGAGTGAAATGATACCTTCCCAACACAAACTGCACGTGATGGATTTTGTTACGCAAGTTGATTTTAAAAAGAGGAAAGTTGCGAAATGCCCCCCAAGGAGAGCTACAAGAAATGAACCAAGCTCCAGCCATCCAGTTTTGTGGACGCCACTTGTCCATCCAACAGGAATCCAGTGCAGTACGAGTCTGAGATAAACTGCTTACGTTATAATGGGACTATTGTAATGTCGTCCATTAGTGCATGACTGTGTTTTCGGACATCTGCTGGGTCTTATGGATGAGGAAACTGGGCTCAGAGAGGCCAAAGGACCAGCCTGAGGTCCATGGCTAGAGAGAGGCAAGGCTGGGATTTGAACCAGCCCTCTGGTCCCTGAGTCTAGACTCTCAGCCTGTGTACCATCCACAGTACCGTTCTCATTATTCTCCATCACACCCAGCTGAATGGTGGACACAGTTTTTGAGGGTGGGCAGCTGATAATAAGTCAAATGTCAAGTTGCCTTTGAAGTTAGTTAACAAAACTTCCTACCCTCCCCCCAAATGTGACCCCATTGGGGGCATTTTTGAGACTTCCTTTCCTCTGTGGATTTCTCCAGAACTAAACAGCTCAGGGATTCAGTGGTACCAATCCACAGCTTTGGGGAAATCAGGAGTAATAAGAGTCAAAGGTTTGGTCCCAAGTCCTCCTTGGCCTTGGGTTGGACACCTTGACCATGGAAGGGTGGGCAGTCACCTATGGATTTTCGTAATTGTTGACGAATACAAACTCCAAGAGGGCCGGGGTTTCGTCTGTTTTGTTCGCTGCTGTGATCACTGCCTGGCACACAGTAGGTGCTTAGTAAATGTCTGCTGGCTGGCTGACTGAGATGGCCTATCTCACCGTCATTGGCTCTTGCAGAGGTTGGGGCTCAAAGCAGGGGGTTCTCAGGACAGGTGCTGGGTGCCTGTCCCACTCTGCCACCTACTGGGAGTGTGACCTTGGAGATGGACTTGCCATCCTTGAGCCCCGGTTTGCCCATCTGTAAAATGGGGATTGTAACGGGATCTACCGCATAGGGTGGGTGTGAAGACTGTGTGAGATGCTGCCTATACCCCAGTGCCTGGTACAAAGTTACGGGCTGCTAATATTATTCTTGATAATACCCGGGGGTCGGGGTGATGCTGCTACAGCTCCCCTCTCAGCAGCTGCCACGGAGAGTCATTTGCTCAGTAAGCATTTATTGAGCATCTACTGCATGCCAGGCCTTACTGAATGAATGAATGAATGAATGACAGGTAGGGTGGAAAAAGCTGGAGGTATATTGACCCCAGGCCAGGACAGTCGCACCCTTACACTTCCAGATGAGGAAGTGAGGCCCTGAGAGGAGAAAGGGACTTGCCCAAGGTCCCCCAGGAGTGACTTGCAGGGCCAGGATTGCAACGCAGGCCCCACCTCCCAGCCCAGGGCTCTCCCAGCGACTGTGCCCTTCCTGGGGCAGGACATGGCTCTACTCACATTGGTCAGAGAACATGAGGCTGCCTCGAATCCCAAGGCCTTCACCATTGACACTGGGATCCCAGAACTTAATTTGCCTGAAATAACAAATGTGGTCAGACACTGGTGGCCGGCGGTGGCATTGGGCAGCCACGGGCAGGCTCACAGTTCCGAGAGGAGGTTTGGGACCTGGCACGCCTGATTCAGACCATGCCTTCTGCCTCTGCTCACACATTCTCTGGCCCCAGCATCCCCCAGCCTCATCTCCCCACCCTTTGCCTCCAGCACGGCTTCTGGCTGACTCCTCACATCCTCTCACACTTCTGCTCCAGAGCCGTCAGGAGCTCCCATTATCCACAGCAGAGGGATCTATGTTTGACATTTCCCACTCAAATCAAATAAAGAAATGAAAAAGGCAGGGTTGGCCTAGGTTCCCAGTTCTCCCCACCCCCATGACCGGGGGCTTAATGAGAGTAATCCCACCTTTTCTCTTGGCTTCCACCCTAGTGACACAGATAACAATGCCAACATCAGCTGTGGCTAAGAAACGTTTAGCACCGACTGCCTGGCACCCCTTTCTGCTCCCTGAAAAGTCATCTTCTTTATGCCTCTGAGGAAGATACTCTTATTTCCCATTTTACAGATGGAGCAAGCAAGGCTCAGGATGACAGGGCCACTTGTCCAAGGCCAGGCAGCCAGCAGGAGGGGCGTCAGGACTTGAACCCAGGCCTACCTGAGGCACACAGAGTGTGCCGTGGTTGGCTCTTGATACTCTGTCTTCTCCTACTGTTGGCCTGTGAGGCCAGGCATTGCCTGATGATCGTGGCATGCCTGGGCTCCACCATGAGTAAAGGAGTGGGGCTGGGGTGTTGGAGATGGGAGAGGTCATTTCCAGTTGGGTGACTGGGAAGGCTTCCTGGACGAGATGGGATTTGAACTAGGCTCTGAGGCTGGATAGAAATTAATGCAAGGGGCCCCACATGGAGAGGAGGGCAGCAGAAGGAAAGCATTGCCCGCGAAGCCCTGGGGAGCATGGGGTCGGACGGTAAAGGACGCACCGTTTTCATTCGGCAGCAGGGCGGAGGTGAGCATCTCAGCGGTGATGTCTTTCAGAAGTTCAGGCTGTGAGAGAAAGAGCACCATCACCCTGACTGAATCTGGCGTCCTCCCAGCCATTCCATCTCGAGGGCACTTGGGGGAAGATGCTGGGTCCCAGGTCCCCTGCTGGTCAGAGCTGCGAGGGCTTCCAGGGGACTGGACAGGCTGAGGGCGGCACAAATTCAGCGGGCCCTGGGCCTGGGGGTGGGAGCTTGGGGTGCATTACAGGGTTGCCCCCACTGCCCCACACTCAGTGGCTCCACTGCTCTGCTCTGTTCTGTTCCAGTGCTCTGTTAGGCGCTCAGTGAACGCCTGAGCCAGGAGGCTGGACTTTTTGGCTGATAATGGGGAAGCCAGCAAACCCACCACGGGGCTGCCTGTGGGGGCCTCGTTCAAAGCAGGTCCTGAGCAATATATCTTTTCGAAATGGCCCATCCTGGGCTATCCTCCGTGTCTCCAGGGACCATCTGTTTATACTCACGTCGAACAGGCCAATGCCGGAGTTCATTAGGTGGATTCGATTGGCGCTGCAACAGAAGACGCCCATGAGAATGGCCCCTCAGAGCCCATTTGTTTATTCAGTCCACAACTATGATTTGGGCACCTACTGCCCCAGGCACGGTGCAGGCTCTGGAAATATGGCCGTGGACCAAATAAAATCTTTGCCTCATGGAGGTTACAATGTAGTGGGGTGGCAGGGCAGAGAGAGGAAACAAATAGTGGCTAAAAGAGCAGAAAAATCACCCCCAGGAGTGAGGACCAAGGTGAACTGGGGAGCTCAGGCTCCTTCTAAGGGGGCACCTTGTTCCCAGCTCAACTATTTGCTGCCAGGTAGGAATGCAGGCCCACGGTGGCTAGATATTCTGATTTTCATAAGTTGTCTACTAGCTTATATTAAAAAAACCTAACCCTATGCGGGCTGATCAAAACATATCTGCAGGCTCGATTGGTCCCAGGAGGCTCCAGTTTGCAGCCCCTGAACTCCCTCTGGGGCGGCAGGGGGAGAGTGGGGCAGGGGAGAAGGTGGGCAGGCAGCTGGAGCCCTGCGCTGCTGGCCTGGGCTCCATGGGGCCTCAGTGTCCGGGCATGACTGTAGCTGCCTCTATCTTGGAGGCATCCAGAATGGGCGCCCAAGTCCAAGAAGATGGTGCTGGGCAGGCCGTTCCCATGGTCGGGGTCAGCCTGCCCCATGGCTGCTGCAAGGCCGCCTCCCTTTCCTTCCCTTTCTCTCATTCAGTGCCCGACAGCGGGACAGTCCAGGAGGGGCCGCCTCCCTGCCCGTCCTGGAGCAGCCTTCACTGGAGGCCCACAGCCCAGAGGCTCGAAGCACCGGGCGTTTAAAGAAAAGCAACGGTCGTGAGGTGAGACTCGTTTTCATCCCCAGAATCTTCATAATGATTCACATGTTTACCTGATTTCATTAAGGTTGAGCACAAGTTGGTCACCTTTGGTGTAAAACTGCGCTTCCGAGCTGGCTTCCTGCAACAAGAGAAGCCCAGGCCCCTTTCTTTTAAGAATATGCTGCAAGAGTGGGGTGCAGGGTTCTGCAAGGAGGCTCTGGGGTCAAGTTGACACGTCTGAATCTCAGCTACTGGCTCTGTGCCCTTGGGAAAGGGCTGGACCTCTCTGGGCCTCACTCTCCTCATCTGTTAAATGGGACAGTACCTCCACCCTCTCCCCATTGACAGATGACCGCATAGGACTGTTGTGAGGAACGAGGATGAAGATGATGACGACAGCAGGCAATATGCATGGAGCCCTCACTGTGTGTCGGGCAGGGTTTTAAGAGCTTTATATGGTCATCTCCTTTGATCCTCACAACCTATGCAGTGGCTCCTATTATTACCCCATTGTAGAGGTGGGGAAACTGAGGGACAAAGATCAGTAAGCCTCTAGTAAATGTTAACCATTATTATCATGGGAAAGGTCAGAAGCTAAGCCAGGTCTCAAATGCGGGTGCCAAAGATAGACATCAACTTGGCCTGGGGCTGCAGTGAGCCTGAGGGCAGAGGGCCAGGCTCCAGCTCCAGGCCAGCTGCACGCAGAGAACAAAATTGTTGTGCAGGCTGCCCTGGGTGGCCTTTTGAAAAGAGCCTGCCGGTGGCCACAGAAGGGCCAGGTCACCAGGGAGTGGGGCTGGCCCGGCAGTCCACTCCCACTGCTGGTCCGGCGATAGGAGTATCCTTCAAAGCAGGAAGCCAGGGCATCGAGCATCCTGTAGTCTTGGGAGTGGCACCCCTGAAATTGTGTGTGGACAACCCGCACAGCTGTACACGGTAACCCTGCTGTAAGGAGAGTGTCAACATGAGCCTCCTTCTGCCCACCAGGTGCCACCCAGACTCCTTGGTTAGGCACAGTTCTGGCACCCAGCCATGAACCCTGCCTCGTCTCTCTCTCCCCTTCGCTCTCAGTAGTGGATACAGTGGGTGCCCCGCTCAGACCCCCTCCATAGGATGGGGCATCCATTGCTCAGCTGCTGAGTGCTGCTGCTAACAGCTCACTGCTGTCCCTTCCCTGGAGAGCGGCCCTCACTACATGGAGCTGCCCTGCTGGGAGGTCAAGTTCCTCCTACCCCGGGGCTGTTGGTGGCCAATGACTGACTCAGAAGGTGGGTACACAAGGCCCAGCTAATAAGTCACAGGGTCAGAGTCGGGCCCCCAAAGCTCCTGATTCTTGGTTGAGAGCTCCCCCACTCCCTCTCTGCTGGGTGACAAGAGTGCTGGAAACGTTTAGCAAAGCAAGAGGGCTGGAGAGGAGTAGTGGACAGGAGGCTCCCCAGGATGCTCCTGGCATCTCAGACAACTGAACTCACGATGCCCAGGGTGAAGAAGGGGCGGCGGACTTCACTGGTGGCAAACACTTCCAGCACAATCAACTGGGCCACCTTGGCTCTGCCCTGGTCCAGAAGGAGCTCTGGGGTCTCCTGAGTTACGATCTTCACGATCTGTGTGGGTCCAAGCTGATCTGCAGCCTGGAAGGACATCACACCCATCTGTGGCCTCCCACATGCCTCACCATGGTTCACAGGCCCCGGGGGGCCCGACCTGCGCCCACCTTCCCGGGCTTCCTGCTACTTCTCTGCTCTCCAGCCAGACTGTCCTTCTCTCAGATCCTGGAAGGGATTGTTGCTGCCCTCTCTGTCTGGAATACCCTTCCCTCCAGGGAGGCCCTCTCTAGTCTTCCAGACTGTGTCCGGCGCCCCAGTAACACTCTCATAACCCCTAGAAGCTGCCCTGTTTTCACTACACTTGCAACCGAACTATTATCTGTGTGATTATTTGATACGGGTCAAACTGTTCTGTTAGACTGAAATCTCTGTGAGGACAGGGACCTGGTCTGTCAAAGTCACCAGTACTGGAAGGAAGGAGAGTGGGCCTACATGTATTTTATTCCCTAGAGGCCAGTGGAGAGACCCCAGCAAACGCCCATCAAGCTGCAGATGGGAACAGACCTACCTTTTCATTGATCACCTTAATGCTCGACTTTAGCCGGAGGGCCAGCTCAGGAAGCTGCGGATGAGAGGAGGCCAGAGCAGGTCAGCGGGCAGAGAGGCGAGACACACCTCCAGCAGCCCCACTGCTGGGAGCCCTGGAAAAGCTGGGTGGGCCTGGTGGTCCAGGCCACCTGTCTGTCACTGGTGGAAAACAGCCCTGTGTCAGCTGCTGTGGGGCATGGGGTCCCCGCTGGCCTGGACTTTCACTGTGGGTTGGTGGTGGTTGGGGTCTGTGGGCAGCTCTCTGCTCACAGAGGACATAGAGAAGTGACCCAGATCTTACTGTGCTCATGAAGGTGGTTGCTGGTGACCACTCCTCCTTTCTCATCACCCCGGCCCCCTACCCTGAGTTCTAATCCTCAAGAGCTTGGTCACCTGTTGTCTATCAGTTGACCTGAAGTCCTGATGCCCTCACATAACTTTGGGCCAACCCTTCCCTCTCTGTGCCTCAGTTTCCTCATCAGTCACCCTGGAGGAGTGGCACACTCTGGTTGACATGAGGTACTGCTTGCTGTGCTGTGTTGATAAGGATTCTAAGGCTGTGCTGGCATCTAGGCTCCGTGGAAAGGAGGGCCCTGATCAATTAGCGATGTCTGCCGTGGGCCCCATAGTGAAGGGCAGGGGCACAACTGCCATGCCTGGACCACTCAGTATCTGACGCCTTTGGCTTGACAGGACTGTACTTGATAGAGAAAGCAGGTGTATCAGGTTCCAGGGGGCAGAACTGGGACTGGGGATGGATGTCCCCAGGGAAATTTTCAGCTTTAGATGTCTATGTCAGAGGCAAGGTCTGTTAGAGGAGGGGGTGAGCTCTCCATTACTGGAGGTATTTAAACTGAGCCTGACAGGGGATTCCTGCTCAGGGGCTTAGGGGGTTCCTGTGCCCTGACTGATTCAGGATATTCCCATGATACAGCAGAGGTGGCCCCCATCCTCTGTCCACGCTGAGGCTTACCACATAGTCCAACAGGACCATGAGTTCTTCCGGAGGGACCAAGGCAGCGACTGCAGCATTCACCACATCCTGCCTTATGGTGAGGCTGAAAGGTTCGCCTTCCAGGGTGGGCATCGTCAGGGAGACTGCAGACTCATTGAACCACTTGGTCACTTTTCCCTGTGAGTCCGACAACTTGGCCTAAGGAGACACAGAGCAGAGAGTTGGCTGGGAACTTTAACTCCACAACTTACCCAGTAACAACCTAGAAGGAAAAGACACCATTCAGTCTGTTTCCCTTTTTGCGTTTGCTGCCAGGAAGCTTAGCCTGGAATTCAACGCCTTGCCACAGGTGATGAGTTATCTCAGGTGCCAAGCAACATCTACTCCACCTGACCCCTCAGATAACCTCTGACTTTTTTAAGCCTAGATGTCTTATTTGGCATTTAGATTTCAACTTAGATACCACACAAACCCTTTGGATGAAGGGAAAACTCAAACTTGCAACAAACTGGATGGAAGTGTTTGATGCTGCAGTTGTCCATGGGATCCTCGGAAGCTGGTCTGTGATTCTCGCTGCCCAGCTTGACCTGCTCCGTCAGGGAGGCTAGCTCCAGTGAGGGTGCAGCCCCACAGTTTGCAGGGAGCTGAGTTACCAGGCTCCCGTGCAGTCTCATTTCATCCTCTCCTTGGTCACTATTATTATCTACATTCTACAGATGAGGAAACTGAGGCTCAGAAAGGTGACGAAAGTTGCCCAAAGCCACACAGCCAGGGAGCTGTGGAGCTGGGAGAGAACTTAGGTCTGCGTGATCCACAATGTCTTGAGTGATCTGTCTCGATCCTGGGCTCTTGGTTCAAGGTGACCAGATATTTGGGGATTGGCAAGGGGCTCGCCCAGGAGAAAGACCAAGAGCCCAGAGCACACACTCCGGCCCCTGCCTGGGAAAATCAGGGTGGGGGGACAGATCATCGGGGTTGAGATCTGTGTGTGGCCCTTGGATTCCACCTGCCGCTTCCTCCGTCAGAATGGTTTACACGGCACACGTTCAGCCTGTGAGATTTTCTAAATCAGCCTGTGTGTCCTTACTGTGAGTGGCGTTTTCGCCCCTGAAACAGACCCATGGCGTCTGACCCTTGGCGCTCAGAGAAGGGCAGTGAGGTCCCCACTTTACCCTCGAGGTCCCATGACACTCACCTGCAGGTGGAGCTGGATGACATCATGCTTGATGGCAGGAGACAGAAGGTCAAACTGCAGGTGGTCAGAGCTGAGGGAAACGGGCACTGCTTGGGACAGGAGAAAGTTCTGTTAGGGCGGAGGGCAGTATCAGACAGGGCTGTTTGGGGGCTGCTTTCGACTGGGCTGCATCATTGCCCCGGGGGGTGGGGGATAAGTAGGGAGACGCAGGGGGAATGATGACACTGATGATGATCACGATGACATTCATGGAGCAGACGTGGAGTGCCAGGTACCGGGCTGAAGCTCTACATGTGTTAGCTCGTAACCCTCACAGTAACCTCAGGAGGTGGGTCTCATCATTACCCCAATTTCACAGATGCGGAAACCGAGGCTCAGGAAAGTGAAATGACTTGCTCCACGTCACACTGTGAAAGGATCTTAACCTCGTCGGTCCTACGCCGAAGTCATGGTTTGGAACAAACTGACCTGTTGCTTATAACTCTCTGCCTCCCCCATCAGACTGATTTGCAGCCCCACCTGGGCGGGGTCTGGGTCTGTCCATCACATCCCTTGCGGTGGCCTTGGCATTCCCTCCTCAGGCTCCAGGTGGCGGCAGCATCTCATCTGCCCGGCTGTTCTGCGGGGAACCCAGAAGTCCACTGAGGGGCCCATGGCCCCCAACACCTCCTCTCCCTCCCCAGAACTCCAGCCCTGCCCCTGGGGGACAGAGGAGCCAGATAGCCTTCCGTTTGACCCCAGTGGCCTTGGCTAGTCTCTTCTCGCCCCTGAAACTGTTTCCTCATCTTACAATGGGGGTAAAATAATAAAACCCGCCTCAGGTTGTGCAGGACTGGTGCCCAGTAAAGCGGCTCAGATCGGAATGACACCAGACTTGGAACTTGAAGAGTTGAGTTTAAGCTTTCTCCTGTCACTAATTTCCTCTGTGAACCTGGACAAATGACTTAATTTCCCTGAGCCTCCATTTCCTTCTCTGTGAAGTGGGTCGTGATCACGAGCTCTTGGAGCTGTCTGCAGAGTCAGCCAGTGTCCATGAGATACCCAGCCCAGCGGGGCTCCGCGGGGGCTCCATGCATATCGATTCCGTCTCCTCTGCCCCTCCTCTCCGTCGCCCTTTACATGAGCTTCTTCAGATCCCAAGAGGAGACAGTAGAATTGTCTTCTTCCCACCAATTCTCTCTGAGGAGTCCGAGCGCGGCAGAATTCCGAGGTGGGGGCAGAAGCCTGCGTCGTCCCATCTCTGCTACTCTTGGGGAGGGAGAAGTGACCTCCTTCCTGAGCACACATCTTGTCTCCTCCCTGGTTCCTTCTACAGTGCTGGCTGTATCATTCACTCATTCACTCATTCATTCATTCATCCACTCAGCACACACTTGTAAGCACTTCTCCATGCCCGGCAGAGCACCTGCTGTGTGCCTGGAACTTTCCCGTAATCTTTTCATCCTCGCTAACAATCTTGTGAGGTAGGGAGTTTAGGCCCATTTTACGGATGAGGGAACTGAGGATAAGGAAGTGGAGCTGGCTTTCCCAAAGTCACGGAGCGCGTCCATGGCAGAGTTTGCATTTGAGCTTGGGTTCAGCTGCTGCCCCCGCTGGCTCACATAGAAACCTGCACATAGTAGGCGCTCATGAAGCCACAGTCGTGAATTCCCGTCTGCTCCTCCAACCTGCTGCTCAGGACTGCCTGGGGAGGCCCGCCCTGGGCAGAGGCAGGGCCGGGGGGCCGGCTCAGCAGCAACGTAAAAGAGACGGGAGAGAGTGGTGCACTCACCCCTCACCAGGTGCAGGAGGTCCTCACGCATGTCCTCAAAGGCTGCCTCGATCACGGGACACAGCTGCAACAGCACAAACGCAGGGCCTCCATCAGCGAGGGGCCAGAACACAGCCCCACAGTGACCCGTGCCCAGCCCACCAGGCCTGAGTCCTGCCATTGTGCCCATGGCCAGCCAAGTTTTCATCCTTGGGGTTGAGGAGTCAGTGGTTCATCCCCCAGAGCCATCCCTACTGCTCAGAGCCCACCCTGGCCCCCAGTGTCACCTGGGACTTTTTGCAATGGTTTGTCCCTTGCCCTATGTCCAGGGTGTGCCCGGCTTGCCAGCTGCCCTTGACATCAGACTCCTTGTCTTGTTCATGAGATCCCGTGTTTTCCGTGAGAGGAAAATGGAGAATTCATTCCTTCATTCACTTACTCATTCAACAAATCGTTGCTGAGTTCTTTCTGCATGTTAGACTCTAGCACAGAAGCCAGCAAGACACACCCGGCCAGACTCACGGACTACCTCTTTGTGCCCATTGAGGGTTTCGAGCCCCAACACGTCCCTTTGCCCACTGAACTCTTCTCCCCTCAAAACTGCCAGCAGTTCTCAGCAGGGGAGGGTTTTGCTCCCCAGGAGACAGTTGGAAGTTTCTGGAGACAGAACTAAAAGTTGTCACAACTGGAGGGAGAGGGTGTGTTACTGGCATCTGGTGGGGAGAGGCCAGGGATGCTGCTAAACATCCCACAACGCACAGGACAGCACCCCCCAACAAAGAATTATCCCGCCCAAATGTCAGCAGTGCCGAGGGTGAGAAACGCTGGCCTAACCTAACTCTGGTCGCACCTGTTCTGCTTAAGGAGGGGCTTGCGCATTTGACTCACTTGCCCTTGGGGCCCAAGGGCCTCGTCCTCTGGTCTAGGCAGCCCATTTTCCAGGGCAGTGCTCTGAGACTTTGTCATTTTGTCTTGGGTACAATTTCCCTAGTGGAAGAACTTACTCTCAGGAAAGGACAATGCCCTTTGAGAAATGTTAACTTTTTCTCTGAAAACCCGTTCCCTGCTCCAGGCTGCTCTGCCACCCAGAACCCAGGGAGGGTGGAGGAGTTGGGCTCAGAGGCTCCCCGCATCCACTGCTGAGGGACCGCCTGCTCCCCGGGGGCAAGTCGTCCCTGGCCACCTCAGCACCTTCTCCCACAATTCCCCGTCCCTCACTTGCACCAGCGGGTCTCAGCTCTCCTGCACATCAGGATCTCCAGGGAGCTAGAACCCTGCGGGACACTAGGGCCTCACCCAGACCACTTACATAGGCGTCTCTGGGGTGTAGCCCAGATATCTGCGTTTTTAAAAGACTTCCCAGGAGGTTCTGATGCGCAGCTGGAGTTGGGACCCACATAATTGCACTGAAAGGGGCTTCAGCATTTTCTAGATGGGCTCCTGCCAGATTTAAACATGGGGCGCCTGTTCCCTTCATGCCAGATGAAATATTCATATGACCGTCATATCAAATCCAGTGAATCATGCTGGGAAACCATGATCATTAACGGAATGCCAGTTTTCTCATGTTGTTCAATATATTCGGCTTTTCACCCTTGAAAACAGATATTAGGCAAAGAACATTTTATAATCCCAAGTTCTTGCCATCTTTTTAGTAGGAAATACATTTTTAGCTATTAAAGTATGATGCCAGTTAAACTATAATTTTGCTGGAGGCTGGGAAAAAATTTCCTGCTGTGACAACGACGTCAGAATCTCCCACCATTAAATAGAAAAAGTGATTTGTTAAAAGGAAAAATACCTCACATAACAGAAGTCCAATTTTACAAAGTTACTTACTTTCAGATGCTATTATAAAGGCTCTCTAGAATGGCTTAGTAACGTATTAAACATGCTACAGTTATGACAATATTATGACTGTCGTACAATGGCATAGAAACTAGATATGACTTAAGGAATACCCAATAGTATTGATCCCAAGTGCAGCCACGTAAAAGTTTGCGTGCTTGTGGATGAGGATTGGAAGGCAAAATGCAAAAGGGAAAATAGCAGCCAAGTTACAGTGGAAGAATTCCACGTACTTTCCCCCCAAAGTTGTTTTAGTTATCACATTGTCTTTTCAATTCAAAATAGTCTTAGTGTAATAAACTTATCAATTATCTGAGAAGGTGTTTTGAACCCCAGGAGGCCCACTGCTGTGACTGCATCTTGGAATTTACAGTGGGAATCAATGGTCAAAGTGGGTGAATCCAACTTAAAGAGTTTTAGTTCACCTGTGACATAGAAGGGCCCTTGTGAAGTGAGACTGACTTGTGTTTACTGACTCAGAAAAATAACCCAGCAGGACTTGGTGGGCGACAGACCCCTGAAGACCACAGATTGGTGCGAGACACTGACTGGTATGCTCAAACCAGCTTGTACCAGTTTGCAAGGGCCAATGGCTACCTTTTGGGGAATTTCTGAGCTGGGTGCTAAATCCAGACATTACTAAAAATTAAATTATGTAAACTTACAACTAAATTAGTTATGCTAAAAGTAGAGTTAATGAAAACTCAAAACTTATTCGTTCCTAATTTTTGTTACATTTTCCTATTATCTATTGCTCTTGAGGATATTTATGTCTATCGCATCTGTATGGTGGAAATACCATAAAGTAGCATGCTGCTACGCACTTCTTCCCAACTCTGCTCAATGGCATCATGCTAGTAGCTTGAACTGGCCGTGGAGGTTTATACCAGAGAAATCCTCAAATGCTACCAGCAGGGCTCCCTGCCCTCCAGAGTCAGCTGTTAACAATTTGTCAGCACATCGCTGATCAAGGTCTCCTGGTGGACTTCTGGCAGCTCCGTTACCTGGACCTCAATGATCCATTGCTGAAAGAATGATCCAGGCGCAGAAGTCCCCCCTCCAGGAGACACAGGTCCCTAAGCACCAGCTTGCAGTTCCACCCCAGGCCCGCGGGGGGAGCAATCTTTGCGGGCCAGAGGGGCCCTGACTCCACTCACCTGGCTTTTCACCAGCGTGGGCAGGGTTGGCAGCAGGAAGCTCATGACCTTGTCGGCTAAGGAGTTGACCAGGAAGGAGAAGCTTCCGGAGGGGAGAAGGGGAGAGAGATTAGGAAGGGTCAGAGATGGTCATCTCTCCCCCGTTTCACAGAAGGGGAGACAGAGTCCAGGGCAGGAAGGAACCTGCCCAAGGTCACACAACCTGTCAGAGACGGGCTGGGAGTAGAGTCTACACCCTGGGCCAGGTGTAGACGGTGGCAGCGTTCTCAGGGAGCAGGGGCTGGGCGTTGTCTCTAGAAGTTTGTGCCGCACACTGGGATGCTGGCAGCGGTGTTCTCCCCATGCTCCTGCTAAGGAGGAGGGGAAAGCACCTGCCGTGTGCCCCGCCTGTGCTGAGTGCTTCACGGCTGTGGCCTGATCTGATCCTCTGCCTCTGCTCTGGACGGGGAGGCACAGGGAGGCGGCTTGCCCAGCGTCAACCAGACAGGACATGAAGGAGATGCGTCTGCCTGACCCCTAGGCATGTTTTTTCCCGTGGCCCCACCCAAGCTGGCCTGCGGTGCTTTGAGGGGCCCTAGGAAGCCCCTCTCCACGTCCTCTCCACGTTTAAATGTTTGCCCCACTTCCCCGCATGATGCCTGAAGTCCCACCATTATGACTTTCATCCTTGATGTCTTGAACTTTCTTTGGCATCACACATTCCCTGGAAGGAGCCCCAGATCAAGAGTCGAGAGGCCCTTTCTTTCTCTAGGCCTCAGTGTTCTCCATCTGTAAAATGGGTATGACCACCACCTGGCTTCCCTCCCAGGCGTGGAGGGAGCCGGGCGGGAGGTGCCGGCACTCACCGACGGAGCAGGCTGAGGCGCAGGCTCCCCTGACTGTTGGAGCAGTTGCGGAGGACGAGAGTGCCGCCCCTCTCGCTGGTCTCCACTCGGATGATGGCCTGGGCCTCCGTCTCCATGTGCATCTCCACAATACTCTTGACCAGGGGCCTGGGGGTGGAGGTGCCCGATGCCGTGAGCACCATCCCAGCGCCAGGCTGGAGCAAAGCTGGTGTCCATCTCTGTCTTCCAGCTCTCTCACCGTCCTTCTCAAGCTCCTTTGCTGGGTTCTCCTCATCTCCCCAATTTTTTTTATCCCAGGCTGTTTTTCACTCTTCTCCTGGTTTAAATCCTCTGCATTTTCCAACAGATTCCAAACTTATACCCTACTCCTTACTCAGGCGTCTCAAATTTAACGTGTACAAAACGGAACCGCGATCCTTCCCAAACTGCTCCTCTCACGGCCTTCCCCATCTCGGTAGCTGGCCACTCCGTCCTGCCAGCTGCACAGGCAAAAGCCTTGGCGTCAGCCTTGGCTCCCCAGTCTTTCTCTCTCTCCCCCCTCATTCAATCATCTTGAATCCTGTTGTCTTTACCTACCTCCAAACCAGAATCTGACCACTTCTCACCGCCTTCCTGCCCCTAAACCCTGGGCCGACCTGTCACTGTCTCCCCCTGAATTATTGCGGTGGTCTCTGGATGGCCTCCCTGCCTCCACTCTTGCCCCGTACACAGCAGCCAGATGGATTCTTTAAAAATGTTACATCATGTCATGTCCTTCCTCTATTGAAAACCCTCCATGGCTCCCACCCTACTTGGTAAAACCACTCCTCACCTTGGCCCACAAGGCCCTGTAAGATCTGGCCCTGGCTGCCTGCTGGCTTCACCTCCCACTTCTCTCCCCCTCCCCCCTGCTTTGCCATTCTTTGAACAAGGCAAGCTGACTCATGCCTCAGGGCCTTTGCACTTGCTATTCCCTCTGCTTGGAACTCTCTTTTCCAGATACCTCCATGGAGGAAAGGGAGGAATGAGTGGATGAACCTACCAGGCCCACTGTGCCTGACCAAGGGGACACTCACATGTTGAATCCAGCTGCCATGTCTAGGGGGACCTTGACCACCAGCTCCTGGCCGTCGGCTGAAGGTTGTATCTGCAGCTGGAGGATGTTGGCTGAGGTGACTTTCAGCCTGGATGGGATGCAGAGAGATGAGATTCACGCCTCATGCTCAATTATCACCCCCAAACCTGCTCTCCTCCATCTTTCCTGTCTCCCTGGTGCCCAGTCAGCAGCTGGACCCAAGTCCTGTCCACTGACTCCTCCCCAGCATGGTCTTTCCATCCCTCCCCTCCACTCCTGCTCACAGCACCCCTTGGCTCCCTCCACCCTACTTAGGAGAGGAATCCCTGCTCCTTGGGCTGACCTGTAAGACCCTCTGGGATCTGGCCCTGCTGACCTCTCAGTCCTCACCTTGGGGTTGGAGCTCCAGCCATCTGACCAACTCTCCCCCTCTCCCTTTGCCCAGGCTGGTCCCTCTGCCTGGAGCGCCATTGTCTTGTTGTCTCCTGGTGAGCATGGAGTCATTGGCTCACCTGTGACCTCCATCCACTAGGAAGTGTCACCTTATCTCTTCACCCTCCCACCCCAGGCGACCCTCATCTGGGGTCCCCCGTTAGGGTTCCTGTGTCAGTCTCTAATGGTTTGTTAACTCCTCTGGGAGCTTCTCAGGGAGGGACTTCGTTGCTCCGTTCCTCCCGGTCAGGCGCAGGGCTGACACTAGTTGATGCTTGTGGACTGATCGATTGAGCAGGCAAAGCGTGTCCTGGGCAGGGGTGTGGGGAAGGAGCCAGCTCCCAACGTGGTTCCGCTCCACCTACCAGATGATATACTTCATGAGGAAGGTCACCAGGCTGCCTAGAATGGGGTTGCCCCCAGCCGGCTTCTCCCGCATGGTGCTGAGCAGCGGCAGCCGCCAGAGGATGTCGACAGCATCGTGGTCCTTCAGCTTCTGTGTCAGCTCTGGAGGCAGAGCCCAGGGATTAGGGCCCAGCAGGTGGGGCAGGAAGGATGGCTTGGCAGGGGCTCAGGCTGGGAGGGGGCATCACTCAGGGCTACTCAGACTTGGGCAGAAGGCGAGGGTATGGATGGCTCCATCCTGACCATCCCCACTGTGTACCTGTGGCCTCTAGGATGATGGCCCAGATGGGTCATTTTCACGTGAGGACTGAGGCTGGGGCACTGGGGGGACCGTTCATGCCCCTGAGCATTGCGAGCATCGGGCTGGCTCATTGGCCAGTACACCCAGGACACGGACCTGCATCCCTCCCACCTGCCAGCGGCAAACACTTCCGGAGTCAAGAGGTGGAGGATCCATGAAGCCCTTTTGGGGACCGTTTTGCCACCAAAACACGCTTGCTAACAATATTCTGCATCCACATCCTATGGGCCCGTTGGCCAAAGAGCCTCAGGTGCTGAGCAGAGAGAGGTCGAAATAGGAGCCCTGGGGTCTGATCCCTTCGGGGCTTTTCTCCTGGCAGCCAGACCCCATTTGGCTTGTGTGCAAAGCAGGTCAGAAGCCTGGAGAGGTGATGCTCCGAAACAGCCTTCAGCCACTGACTGATGGGAACTGGTCATAAACACCCAGCTCTCCGAGCTCTCGGGCAGGATGACTCAGATGTGTGTGCCCCGCTGTGCCCAGAGTCCCTGTGTGTTTTTACTTCTCAGCAACAAAGCCACACTTTTTGCCTGCCTCTTGACAATGACACTGGGCCCTGTCAATAGTCCTCCTTGGCCAGCTGGCACAGTGTTAAGCTGTGTCACTAGAGGCTCTGGAAGGACAGGAAGGAGGAAGGAGCTTGCCCTCCTGGCCCTGGGGTGCTCCTGTCCCCAGGCTGCTGTGGTGTCACTGCCCAGGGCTGCGTGCTCTGCAGCTCTCCTGAGGGCAGCTTGTGACTCCTGCGGGCACCCAGCTCCCCCAGGCAGCTTCACAGAGAGCTTCCCAGGGAGCCGACGGCAGCCCCTTTCCTCGGGGCAGCTTCCCAGAGAAGCCGGTCAGCGCCCTGGCAGGCAGTTCTCCCGCTAGCCTCAGCCCGCCCCCTGTGGGCCAGCTCTGACCTGGGACGGCTCAGGGCGTTTCTCCACCATCAGTGGGCTTCAACCACACTCTCCCCCTGAGGCTGGGGAGGGTTCTGCCCTCCAGCTTTCTTCTGTCCTTGGATTAGACCCCATCCCCCATCCCTAGGGTATCCTTTGGACCCTTTTTCCCTTCTCAGCCAATTCCCCATTACTCCATCTCCTGCTCATAATTCTTTGTACAAACTTATCTGTTGGGCTTACTGTGTGGGTCCTGCCTCCTGACGACCCCAACTCACTCATCGCCCAGACTTCCAGCTCCCGGTGGCACGTGGCTTGCTCTCACCTGCCTTGCTTCCCACTCTCCTGCAGGGTTTCCTGGAGTCACTTCCTAAGCCACCCCCTTGTCCACAGCTCCTCAACGCAGATTCTGCTGCTGGGGAAACCTAACCCACGGCTGCTCATCTCCAGGCTGCTTCTGCCTGAAGTTCCCTGTGCTTGTGATTCGCAGCATGGGCCCAGGGCACCCCTGCCTCTTTGCTCCCCGTCCCTGCTCAGGGATCCCTCCTCTGGGGGCAGCGCCTGTGTGGCCCTAAAGGACCGGGCCCTGCCCCTGCCCATCCAGCCCAGGCCTGGCCCACTGCATGCAGAGGACTGGTCTCTGAGTGCTTTACATGGACCTCCAGGGCCGACTGATTGTCATCCTCCCGGGGGACAACGTTCTGGAGCAGAGGTTCTCAACTGAGGCGATTCCATGCCCTAGGAGACATTTGACAACGTCTGGAGACATTTCTGGTTCTCAAGACTGGGCAAAAGGATGGTGCTAAACATCCTAGAAGGCACAGGACAGCCCCTGCCCACTGCAGAGCTATTTGACCCACAGGGTCAGAACCGCTGGGGTAGAGAAGCCCAGCCTTAGAGTTCACAAAAGCTTTTGTCACTTCCTATCCTATTGGATGATCCCAACAACTGGTGATGCAGCCCCTCTTATTTGTTTCCAGAGGAGGAAACCGAGGTTCGGGGAGTTGTCCAGGGCCACAGAGCTGGAGGGCGGCAGAGCTGCGCCTGGGCTGCAGACCACCAGAGTCCTAGCTGAGGGTCTGCGCTCCGGGACTGCTTGCACACTGGGTCCCCCTCTGAGGGGGTGTGCTGGCGGTGGGCTTAGACAACAGCAGTAGAGGGACAGCTGCACCGTCGCACGCAGCGCCACACATCCCTTCTGCAGGCCACGGAAGCTCACAGTGGCTGGGTTTGGAATCATGGAATTTAAGAAGGGATCTTGGAATTGTGGACTCTTGAGACCATAGACACCCCCAACCTTTATAACTCCTCCACTCGAGTCTCACTGTGGACCTGGGAACCCAGCTGTGCCTTGCATACCCCCAGCGATGGGGAACTCCCTCCTTCCTTTGGAGGGCTGCTCCACCTGCCTCTTGCCTTATGGTGCTGAGGACTGGGTGACCAAGACTTACTTCCTTCAATGACTTCTGGGCTGAGGCTGAGAACCGCAGCGGGGCTGAGGGTGGCTCGGACCAAGGTGGCTGCCAGCAAACCACAGAGGGCGAAGGTCCACGGACCGGCCATCTTCCTGGGGTCAGTAGTAGCAGGTGGCAGGCATCGGAACCTGGGGTGAGCACAGAGGGCCCTGTTGGACAGCACAGAGGCCAAGGGCAGGCCCACCACGCCTGGTGACGTGGGGCACGGAGTCCAGGAGAGGCTGTCTGTTGAAGTGGTTAGGAGAGTGGGCTCTGGAGCCCAACTCTTTGGGTCTGTGTCCTGCCTCTGCTGCCAGGTGCTCTTTGTGTGGCCTTAGACAATCAGCTTAACCTCTCTGTGCCTCAGTTTTCTCATCTGGCAAGTGGGCATAATGAAGTAGTGCCCTTCGTCATGGCGTTTGGACGTAAACCCTCCCTGGCCCAACCTCGGCCAACCTCACCTCCTGCTTATTCCCCTCTTGCTCTCTGAAGTCCCCGTCATTCCGACCTGCCTGAAGTTTCCAGAACACACCTGTTCCCTCCTGTGTCTGTGCCTTTGTGCCTGCTCTTCCTGCTTCCTGTAATGCTTTTCCCCTTCCTTATCTGCCTGCTGAACTCCTATTCGCCCTCAGGACTCTGCCCACATGTCCCTTGTCTGAAAGCTCTCCCTCTCCTTCCGCCTGAGACCCTGGACGGCACTTGGAGAGATGTTGCCCTGGGCCGGGGGTGTGCCCAGGACAGGAAGTTTGGTGGCAGGAGGGATATGAGAATTCAGGTGTAGGACGGCTGTTTGCTTAATCTGCAATCCTAAGAGGCCTGAAGAGGGAGCAGGCGGCTGTCTGGAGGCAGGGAGAGAAAGGCAGAGAGAGGGAGAGGCCTGGGCATCTGCTGGGAGGGGAGCTGGGCTGTTCTGGCCCCTGGCTGCTCTGTCCTCTACCACTTGCTGTGTGATCTCAGACAAGTGACTTACTCTCTCTGAGTCTCAGTTTCTCAGCTTTAAAATAAGGAGTAGTAACAATACTTAATCACAGGGCTCTTGGGAGGATTAAGTGAGACAGTCCGTTTGTGGCCCCGCGAGCCACAGGCGCTCAATGACTATCAGCTGTTATTACAATTATGGCAGCTCTTACTGCTGATGCTGGGCCAGAAGGAACTACCTTGCAGTCAAAGCCGGAGACAGAGCTGACGCCGGGCACTTGGCTCTTTTGTCCAGGGAGCCCCCGCCCCCACTCCATAGTCTTTTTCTTTCAAACACCTTGACTCTGTTTTCCCTCCGTCATCTTCACCCACCACTCTGTCCTCTGCTCAGAGGTGCTCAGGGAACCAGGAGGACGGTGGCGTCCCCTCCTGTGGGAAGGCGTCTCCTCCCCGAGTCCAAGCACCGTGCACACACCCACCACATGGGATCTCACCTCCTGGCCTTTGCTTATGCTGTTCCCTATGCATGGGATGCCTTTCTCTCTTCCTTTGTCCAGCCAACTCTTACTCAGCTTCTCAAAAGATATGTCGCTTCCTCCAGGAAGCCTCCTCTGACTGCCCTCCACCACCATGACCCTGGGCTTTCCTTGAGCACAGCATGTGCCACATTCGTCCACATGGGGAGCTCCTCCAGGGCCACGACTGTCTGATGCTTGTCCCCAGAGTCACCTGAGCACAGGGCTGGCGCAGGGCAGTTGGCGAGTGCAGAGTGGGATCTTCTCATCGAGATGAGGTCAGAGAAAGACTCAACTGGTCCGAGTCCTTCATTACCACCCTTTGGTCTTGTGGGCGAGGGAGCTGGGCACCTCTCTACCCGCTGGCTCTGACCCTCAAGAGGGTCCTACTGGACCCAGGGACCTCACCCTGGGGCCAAGCCTCCCTCCTGCTCCTGACGGGACCCCAGTTGGTGTCTCCAGCCCAGAACCTCCCTGGAGACTAGGCCTTAGCCCCTTCCCCGCGCTTTCACCTGGACACGCTGGAGTCCTCGGCCGCTCCTCTCCCACCTGGACAGCGGGTCTGGAAGTCGTCTTATGTCCTGCACACACTGACCGGGCAGCCACCCTCTGCACTTGGGCCGAGGTCTCCAAGGTAAATATTTGTGGCTTCCAGTGAACCACAGCCCTGTCCGGAGGCAGCCTTGGGGCTCCAGCTTCCTGAGGTTGGAGAAAGGAGGGTCTGGCTGACTTGAGAGGTGGGCGGGGTGCAGGGCATGTGTCAGGGGAGCTGGACCAGACACGGTGAGGCCTGTACAAGGGGCTCCCTGCCTTCTGGACAGTCACTCCCAAGGGGTCAACGATGAGAACAGTAGCAGTGACGATGCGTTAACGCCTAGGATGTGGCAGGTGCTACCCCAGGCTTTACATCAGTCCTGTCGGTGGAGCCTCGTTCTCACCAGGGTCAGCGCTGTTATCCCAGCTTTGCGGGAGGAACTAGCCTCACACAGTCAGCCAGCGGCAGAGCCAGGATTCAAACAAGACCTCTGACTTCAAAACCCATCTAGGGGTGACTCCACAGCTTGCTGGACACAGGGGGCTTCTGGGGACAGACTGGGTTCAAGTCCTTGCTCCACCATGTCCATGTTGTGTGACCTGGGGCACGTTCCCTAACCTCTCTGAGTCTCAGTTTTTCATCTGTGAAATGGGAATGATGGTTGCACCTACCTCCTATGGTGCTGAGAGGAACATAGTGGATATGGCTTAGAGCATGGGTCTTGGCACAAAGTAAGTACTGGAAAACGTGAGTAGTTGTTGCTGTTACTGCATATAATAGGACAAGCCTTTGTTGAGAGGTTATCATCATAGGTTAGTCCAAATGATTAACTTGGAGGAAGGCAGGAATTGCCTGCTCACCCCTTATTCCTAAATACATCCAAGGACTTAGGAATGCACATTTCCAGGAATTAATTCACTGAAGAGAATAGGTTTGAATCTCATTTTTGCCACTTTGCTGTGTAACTGTGGCCAAGGTACTTCACCTCTCTGGGCCGTCAGTGTCCTTATCTGTAAAATGGGGATAATAGTGACCCCCGCAGGCTGAAGAGGTGCTCACAGCACTTAGCACAAGCTTTTCTCCATTCTTTCGGCAGCGACTAGCACCTGCTTTGTCTTTCCTGCATCTTCAGGAATCCCGGTGACGATTTGTGGAGTGGATGAATAAGGAGGCAGGACCGTGATCAAGGGGACAAATGAACAGCCCCACAGGGTCCCTGTCACCCACTACCTGGTGCAGGACTGGGCTCACTTAATCCGCACCCTCCCCAGAGGCTGGTCTGCAGCCCTGGGTTTACTGAGGGCACCTGAGGCTCAGAGAGGTGAGTGACTCGCTCCAGGTCCTGCAGCCAGAGGTGCCAGAGCTGGACTTGAGCCCAACTGCCTAGTCCTGACCACGTGCTCTTTACCACCACGCTGTCCTTCCCCTGCGACTCTGGGTTACTGTTGACGGTGGGATCCAAATGTGGCCTTTCGGCACAGTCTGGGGAATCGTCCTTGTAGCCCCACTCAGTCTAGAAGCCGGGACTGTGGTTCAGACCTGGGAGGGCCACTGCTGAATCCTGTCTCCATGTGCAGGGGGACAAGTGGGGGCGGTGAGTGCCACGAGGCCGCACAGTGTGTGGCGGGGCCCTGGCTGGTCTCTCCTTCCTGGAGTTGTCAAGGGACTAAGGCAAGAGCATCTGCCACTCTGCCGCGTTTGTGAATGCGCCAAAGGCCCAGAACACCGAAACACCGATGCTTCGGGGGCCAGGGAGGCCTCCAGGAGGGACCCTGCCGGTCCTCTGGGCACCTCTCCAGAGAGACGAACGTCCCCTCCTGGGCTCTCCAGCTGGCCGCGCCTGCCACCCGTGGACAATGTCTCTCTGTACGATGCCTCCACCCAGCGCCAGGGCCTGGACCCGCATCAGCTCCTGCTTCCTCCCTCTCGGCCCCGGCACACTCGCCAGGGCAGCAAGCGTGACTGCGCCTCTGTGGCCCAGCAGGCCGTGGAGCCGTGTCTCACAGGAGCCCTGCCCTCAATGCCGCTCGGCCCCTCAGGCTGCTCAGGGCCTCTGTGTCCTGGCCTCACCCCTCCGGCTCCCAGGCCTTTGCCTTCGCTCTGTCCTCCTCCTGGAGCACCTCATCTGCCCCCTGCAAACTCCATCTTCCTGTGAGGGCAGCAGGAGTGGGGAGGCGGCTGGAGTCCAGCAGATGTGGCACAGTCCCTGCTCTCATCTTGTCAGGTCTGCGGCTGTGGGACACCGCCTTCTCTCTGGAAGCTTCTCTGTCCTCAGTGGTAAAACGGGGCTGTTTTGAGCATCACATAAGATGATATGAAATGCTTGGAGCATCAGACAATTTAGTAAATGATAAATGCTACTATTATTATTGGAATAGTAGCATCCCTGACCTTCAAGGCCCAGTTCGGAGGAGCATCTGCAGAAAGCTGCCTGATCGCTGACCCCCGGCCCTCCTATCTTCTTGCCCTCCTGGGAGCCCCCAAAGTGCTAACCACTTACTCTTTTGGGGCTCAGATCCCCTCTGTCTTGAGAGATATCCATTTTCTCCATCCATCCATCCATGCATGCATGCAATTATTGTTCATTCATTCATTACTCATTCTAGTCTCCCTTCCATGCTGAGTCCCTTCTACCAAAATCCAATTTCCACCCAATAGCCTGAGTCAACTTTTAAAAACGTTGCTCAGATCTTGTCATTCTTCTGCTTATTAAAACCCTCCAAAGGCCTCTGCAGCTCTTTCATGAAAATCCAGGCCCTAAGAGGCCCTGCGTTGTTGGCTGCTGTCCACCTCTCAGCCCTCATCTCTCACCATTGTGCCCCACTCTCTTCTCATTCCTACCTCGGGGCCTTTGCATGTGCTGAGCCTTCCCCCAGGATTGCTCTTCTCCCTGCTCTTCCCCCGGCTGGCTCCACATTCACCAAGTCTCAGCTCCGTGTCCCTTCTCTGGAGAGGCCTTCCCTGGCCGCTCTGTCTAAAGCAGGGCTCTTCTTGCTCTTCTCTCACTGCCCCCTGGTGCTGTGCTCACCAGCACTTACTCGAATCTGAATACTCAAGTGTCGTCCGAGGCACCACAATTCCACAGATGCTGTACACCAAGAAGAGGGGCCAGACACGGTGCGAGCAGGTGGTCAAGAACTGATTGCAGAGCTCGTGGGTCCCTCATGTGGGGGCTCCTGACCCAGATCCAGGCAATGAAAGGGTCAAGGGGGCAAAGGAAGAAGACCTGTGAAGACAGGAGGCAGCTGCGGTCCCCTCTCCACTCTCCCGGTGAGGAGAGCAGCGAGCGTCCGCACCCAGTGCAGGCCCAGACGGAGGGGGCTTTCCAGGGACAATTTAGAGGCTTCACAGGTGTGTCCCCTGGAGTTGGGATGCGTAATGGACTGGATTCTGTCTCCTGCCTGAGAGAAGCAGGCTGACGAGCTGAAGTCACGGTGGGCAGAGTGGCTCTGTGCGTGGAAAATCATTGCTCTCTGCTCCCTTTGGACGGGGTCGAAGCTCGTGTGTGTGTGTTTTCCAAGGGCCTAGTGTGGACCTTGCAGGAGAGAGATCGGTCTGGGGCTAGTGTAAGTCCTTCCTAGTACCATCCCCTGGGCAGATGGGCGGATGAGGAAAGGGTGCCCGAGAACGAGGGGTGGCATGCAGGGCGCTCAGCCGCTGGAGAAGCTCTGCCGGCGTCTGGGGTTGCAGCTTGAGAGGCCAGGCAGGAGGTTTGAAAATACCCCCATGAAGGTGCCCACAAGACTCAGCTCTAAATACTTTTTGGCTCCCCAGGGAGTAGGGAGCCGTCTTGCAATAGTATCAGTCAAGGGAAACCTCGCTGGCCGCTTTCCTCTCCTTCCTGCCTGTGCTCCATCCCTGGATGGAGTCAGAGAGAGGGAAAAGGGGTGTGTGTGTGTGGGGGAGAGAGAGAGAGCGCCTCCTCTCCTCTGTTCCTCTTAAGCTGGTCTGTAGAAGCCTCGGTTAGGGGTGGGGAGAGAGTCTGATGTTAAATCAAAGCTGGGCGCTCCAACACCGCAAAGTGGCAGAGTGGAAAAGACCATCTTCATTTTACAGATCACTAAAATGAGGCTCAGAGAGGAGAAAATAGGGTGTCATCACCCCCATTTTCCAGATGAAAATGGTTCCTGAAGAAGGGAAGTGACTTGTCCAAGGTCCCATTAGCTGTAAAATGTGGAGCAAGGATGTGGACTCGGATCTGTCTGAGTCTGGAGCCCACACTCTGTCCCCTCTGTCCCATCGCCTCCAGCTGGGAAGAGGGACATCCTCTCCTGGGAAGTCTGTGATCCTGCGGAAAACCAGGAAGGGTCTCTGAGGACACGGCAGGGTCAGACAGATAGAAATCAGGAGGACTCGCCAACTGTTACTGTTTCAGACGGCAAGAAGGAAGCCACTCTTGGGTGGGCTCAAGTCTTCAATTTAAAAAGGCTCTTTGTTGGTATCAAAGATGCCACCAGAATGGCAGAAACACTTCACCTCTTGTGCCAATTCCAGTTGCTTGGTAATGGCTGTTGGAGAAGTGCTCAAGCGTCTGGACTCAGCAGAAGAGCATGTGATGATCTATTAGCAATGTCTGTCGTGAGCAGTATAGATGCTGCCTTCTGGCTGCACCCACCCCCGCATCCTTGTTGAAGATTTGGATTCCCTTGCAAAATATCAAAGAGATAACAGAGTGGGGAGGAAATCTCTAGACCACGTGGAATTTGCCAATGCCTTTGGATAAGTCAGTTCTTCTCTCTGGGCCTCAGTTTCCCCAGCTGTAAGATAAGCATGTTGGGCTCCGTGATGCTGTGGGTCAGGCTGAGTCTGATAACCTCTGCTTCTAGCAGAGGGAGCTTGGTAAATATGCAGCGAGGACTGCCCTGTTCCTGAGGACAGATTTGCTCTTGGGGATGCTCATACCCATTGACCTGGGGTGTGCATAGATTCTGTCCAAGGGGATTGCCCAGAGGTGCAGGCAAAATGAACTGTTAGGATCCCCACTGCAGCCTTATCTGTAACAGCCCTGAAGAGGGACCAGCTCAAATGTCCAGTAACAGGGGATTTATTAAATAAATTGTGGGCCACCAGGTAGACATCACAAAACAACATAGAGAAGCCAATGGAAGGTTCTTAGCAGTGAAAGAAACAGATTCTTCTATTTTTCATTAATTTTTTAAATCTAGAAAAAACATTGCAAGAAAATGTAGCAGAATGGTAACAATGCTTATTTCTTGGTGACGTCATCACAGATGACTTTTGCCATTTTCTTTGTATTTTCAGAATAGAAAAATTTTGCCCTGAATACAATCTTTTGATCAGCAAACAACCCCATGAAATGGCTTGAGAATGAGTAAATAAAGGTTGGGCTGGAGACAAGGGGGTGGAGGAAGCCTCATTCCTCTCACAGAGCTGGACCACAGCCCCCACCAGCTCAGGATTCCAGGGAGTCGCTGTGATGACAGCTGACAGCCGCAACAAAAGCCCAGTCATGCAGTCCCAGAACCACCCAGAACCACCGGGAAAGAGAGAAAGAAATGCGTGCTGGAAGCTCGTGGGCGTAATCCCTCAAGTGGAACAGGAACAGATAAGATTCAGTGCCAACCAACCTTGGCTAAGCCAGACTCATGGCTCTGCCAGGAGACAAAGACCAGATATGCTCAGTGAAGTGTATGGGGCTCTACAGGGACAGAAAGAACAGACTTGGGTCACGATCAGGGTCAACACAGGCAGAGGGCTAAGCGCTGTGATTCCCATCGACTTGGGCAGCGCGTGATCAGGTGGAGGTCAGCTGGCGGTCAGTTGGCATCAGTAAGTGCTCTAGGAATGGGAGACGCAGCCCAAGTGCTGGCGCCGTACCTGCCCCACGTGGGAAGTGCTTGATGGAGGTCGCACAGGGATTTTTTACCAGGGCTGGATCAGTGAGACAAATGCTGGAGGAGCGTGGGACATGGGAAAAGGTGTGAAATGATAGAGCAGGTGGTGTGACCATGCTGTGATGGAGGTCACACCCGCCTAGTGTGTGACAGTTGCCAACAGCCCAGAGGCCCTGCAGCACCTGACTGGGGAGGGGGATAGTTCAGAGCAGGCCTCATGGCAGAGGAGACATTTGCGCTGGGTTTCGGGGGTGATGATAAGAGGCAGACAGGGAGGGTTAGGAGAGGGGGGCTTTCCAGGTGGAGGGGCAAAGGAAGGAGGGTGGGAAAGAGTGAGTCTGGGGGCTCATCTGAGCCTGTGATGGAACAGAGCTGGTGGCAGTGAAGTTTGCTGGGGCCATTTCCAGCAGAAGTCAGACCCAGGGTTGGAGGTGAGATGGGGGCAGGGGATGGGAACTGAGCGCCTACAGGGCTGGGGTCCTCGTGGCCCCTTGCATGCCCCAGAATGCCACAGGCTGCAGTGGAGCCTCCCTCGGGCAGGGGACCAGCAAGTCTGAGCCCCAAAACTAGGCCTCCAGGACCCTGCTTGTCTCAACACTCGCGCCTCAGCTCTCTTGGGGGCCTCTCTCTCTCTCACACAAGCTGGTTTCTCCATGTCTTTGTCTCTTTCTTCCTGTCCCCTTCCCTCTGTGTCTCTCTGTGTCCCCATCTCTGTCCATCTCTTGGGTGCCCCCTCAGAGGCCCAGGAGGGAGCTGGGGAGCCCTATGGAGACCATAGGTGTTGGCACTTTGAGAGGTGACCCCCCTCCTGTGTGACCTTGGGCAAACAACGTCCTGCCAGAAGGGGCTCAGACCCCGTCACTGAACAGCGGCTGACTTTGGCTCAGCTGTGGATGTTGGAAGAGAACCACCCAACCATCTGAGCACTTACTCCTTTCCCAGGCCCTGTTCTAAGCACCCCTTAACTCATTTCACCCTCAACACAGTCGTGCTGCTGGGAGGTGAGCTGGGACGGTGCTCGAAAAGTGCTTATTAAAACAGGGCCTGGGACCAAGTAAGGGAGCTCCTAATGTTAGGATTTCTATTATGATTATCGCAGGTGTTATTATTGATAGTGTGTAGCTGTGACTGGGTGAAGGAGAATTAAGAGGTTTTACAACCCAGGGGATGTGATGATAACTGTCCTTTAGGAGTTTCTGCCTGTCCTTAGAAACAGGGTCTGGCTGTGTGTGTGTGTGAGCTGAAACATGGGGAGGTCCCCTAGGAGATGGGGGTCCCTGAATCGGGTCTTTGGGAGTAGCTGAGTCCCCAAATGGGGAGCCTCAGTTTGGGGGGCTCAGAGGTTCAGCCTTGTCTCCCCGCAAAGGGCCATCTGCGGAGACAGACTCTCAGGGGCAGCGCCCACCGCAGCCCAGCCAAGCTCGGCTGTCTCCAGGTCAGGAGGGTGGGGACGTCCTCACCAGCAGCCCAGGGCAGGGTGAAGAGGTGCCTACATCTGAGCTGAGATGGCTTTGTGGGGGCTTGCGCAGTTTTAGGGGTCTGTCCCCAGTATTTCTCCCTGACTCCCTCATTGTCTTTAGTAACCCAGGACTGGTGGGACAGACAGACACAGTCAGCCAGCAGGTCCGTTGGTCAGTCAGCTGATTGTATTACATAGCCTCTGTGTGTGCACACAGTTCTGGGTGATTGAGACGTAGCAAGGAGCAAACAGATTGCCCCTTGCCCTCCTGGGGCTCCCATTCTCCTGGGAGACAGAGAATGAGCCAGAAATAGACAAACAAATATAAAAACACAGGGCTTCATGGCCTCAGTTGTGAGGGCAGAGAATAAAAATAAACAACATGTATGGAATGCCAGAACTATGCCGCCAGAGCATCAGGAGGGTTTAAATGGTTTCATGAGAGTGGTTAAGTGGATTTATGTGTTAAAGGAGGGGCTGCCTGAAGGGAACTAGATGCCCCCCCAACACCCAATATCCCCTACCTCACACACAATACACACACACACCCCACACACCCACACATTCCCCCACATGCACATCCAACACACACCCTCACCCAAGACACACACACGCCCATCTCCCCACACCCAACACACACACCTACACTCACACACCCCACACCCAACACACATACCCCCAACCCCCTCCCACCCAACACACACACCCCCAACACACACACACTCCTCACATGCCCATACATACTCATCCGCCACATCCAACACCACCCCCCACACACATACGCAACACACATGTACTCCCCCACCCTTCCCCACGTAAATCTCTCTTCATTTGACTTTTATATTTCACCTGTTTGACTTTGGAACGCAGTGTTGGGGGTTAATGATGTGTGAAGGAGGAGCTGCCTCAAGTACAGTCTAGGAATGGCTCTACCGTTTCCGAGTCTCACCACCTGCCAGACCAAGCCTTCAGCCTGCGAGTTCACTGCTGTCACGAACATTATCCAGATAAGGAAAGGGAGGTGCAGAAGGGCAGGGTGACCTGCCCAAGGTCACACAGGATATGAACTCTGGTCCATCTCGCTCTGAAACTTGCGCTCTTCGTCTTTCAGCCATCGTCTCCCAGATGTGTTTTTGTCTCACCTTCACCTGCCACGTCTGCCTTAGCGTTTTGCAATGTCTGCCAACCCCTGGGATTACTATTTACTCAACATGCGTTTTGGCAAATGGAATCATGTTTGAAAACTTAAATACATTTGATTTTCTATTTCTAGCAAGAAATGGTATAACACTACCAAAAGTGAGAAACAACATCACTTCCCATAAGCAGGAGGTGACCTCACGACTATAGTGATGATAACGATGGCTCTAATCAAACTTAATGAGCACTTAAGCACCCTTGGCTTCTATTGACCCATTTCACCCCACACTGATGCCTGGAGGTGGGCGATGTTCTATCCTCATCTGGACAATGATGTTTGGATAAGCCCCTTCACAGAGGCAAAAGACTTTTCCTAAAGTCACAGTGGAAACAACAGAAGCACGTTGCTGGACTCTGGCTAGCAATGTTGCCTGCTTGAGGTGCCTGGCGAGAAGGGCCCCAGTGGTTGGAGAGGTGTGGATGACATGCCAGCATTCCAGCGAGCCTTTCACACTGGAAGAAAGAGTAGGAAGGCCAATCACTTTCTCATATCCACCCATGGTGTGGGAGCAGCCCTGCTTCTGGAAAACCCGGCACCAAGCTATCTATCCTGCACCAAGAAATGCTTTGGAGCTCTTTCTGAGTGTGTGTGAGCCAGATGTCAAATCTCTTACTGTGTGGGCGTTACTACCACCTAAGTAGCTGAGATAAATACAGCCCATGGTTAACATAGGTTAGCATAAGGGAAGCCATCTTGTAGAAAGAGGCTATGTTGGAACTGTAAATGACCCTGATCCACCAGACACCTCCCTGACTTGTCAGTAATGCTCTAGTTTGCACATAGCCTAGATGAGTAAACACCTGCTTGTGAGAAATATGCATGCTCTGCTATGTCCATAGCCCTGGCTTACACATTAACCTCCCTATTGTGACAAGGCGATAACTTTGTTCTTGAAGTTTTCTCAGGAATTTAACCACCTCCGGGAAAGAGCCCTATGCTGAGATCCATCACTGGTGACAGGAGAAAGAGATGATCTGGTGTCTCAAGGTCTACTATACCAGCTGGTCAGTATTCCAAGACCTCCTTTTTCAGCCCATTTACCCTATATAATTGCTTCAAAATTTTGTAGTTTTAAGATGGTTCTTTAAGACACTAGTCCGCTATCTTCCCCCTTGCTGGCAAGCTGTAATAGAAAACCCTTTCTCTCCTACCACCTTGCCTCTTGACTGTTGGCTTGTCTTTGCAGTGAGTAGAAGACCCCTTTTGGTGGTAACAAATTTGGCAGCTCAGATGGCACTATAAGTCCTGCTCGTGGGCCAGTCAACCTCAAACAGGCAGCCTGATGGATAAGTCTCTAGCAGCTGCCGAGGCCCTTTTGTCTCAGAGATTTGGCTTTCCTGCTTTCCAATACCGATGCCTGCTGCCTCCTATGCTGACTGTGGTAAAGAGAGAAACAGCTACGTCTGGCAAGTCCAGAGGCTCAATCAGGAATAAGGTAAGTCACTCGGGGATGCTCCAGGACTCCCTTCCCCTCCATCTGGGGTCTTGCTGTTTATGGTAGGGCCATCTGGGCAGGCATTTGAAGTAGAAACAGTTGTAGGACTTTACCTGAAATCTGGGAACTAGTTCACTTTTGTCTGGTTTACCTGGTGCTTACTGTGTAGGTGTGGGATACGTCCGATTTTGTGTAATAACAATGGGAAGTTCACCATTGGTTCCCCGAGAAAGCCCCTTGGTGCAAATTTTGAACAAATGGTCTGGTTATAGCTATGAGCCAATGACTAAGAAAAAGATGATTTTTTTTATTGCAATACTACCCGGACACAGTATTCCCTAGGGTCAGGAGAGAACTGGCCAATTGATGGCTCACTGAGCTGTTACACCATCTTACAGCTGGAATTGTCCTGTAAGCAAGCTGGTAAAGATGATGAGGTCCCATATGTCCCGGCCTTTATGCTGTTATATCAAGATAAGAAAAGGCAGGGAAAGATTTCCTTATGGTACAAAGAACAAAAGGAGAGAAGGGACCAGTTTTACAGGAAACTCAGGAAGATACGACAATCATTCAAACCCTCAACCCTCCCCCAGCAGGACGAGCACAAGCTCCCGCTGCCGCCCCCTCCTGCACTCAGCCCCAGATGGCAGAAAGGGGTGTTTGTTCTGACGAAGATTGAAGGGGCCTGGGGCTCCTTTGAACCTAAAACAACCTAGTCATGTTTCCCCACAGGAACTCCAGGTACAATTGACAGTGGGGAACAAGCAGACTGATTTTCTAGTGGGTGCTGGCACCACCTAGTCTTTTTTAAACAGAAAACTGATAAAAAAAATCAACCAGGTCAACTCCAGTAACTGGGGTTTCTGGCGAAGTCCAAGACCCGTCATTTTTTTGGTTTTGTTTTGTATGTTTTGGTGAGGAAGATTGGCTCTGAGCTAACATCTGTTGCCAGTCTCCCTCTTTTTGCTTAAGGAAGATTGTTGCTGAACTAACATCTGTGCCAGTCTTCCACTATTTTATATGGGACACTGCCACAGTGTGGCTTGATGAGTGGTGCTAGGTCTGCGCCCAGGATCTGAAGCTGCGAACCCCAGGACACCTAAGCAGAGCACACAAACTTAACCACTACGCCGCCACGCTGGCCCCAGATTGGTCGTTTTTATAGCCATTAGAATGCCAAGTGGGAGACCAGATTCTGAAACATAGTTTCCTGTACATGCCCAGAATTCCGCATCCCACTTTTGGGCCGGCTCCTTTTTGCAAACTAAACACACAGGTGACTTTTGCTCCAGGACGGCTAGACATGCAAGTCCCTCTGGAACAATCTCTAAGATTACAGATGGCCTTGATGGGAATCTCTGAATCGGAGCCAGAACTATTACCACCTGAAATCTTCAAGGAGGTAAGGCCTAAGGTAAGTGGGACCCCAGGCAAGGCAAAGAATGCCCAGCCAATACAAATACCATTAAAGGAAAAGACAGCCAAGCCTAATTTAAAACAGTACCTGCTGAAACAAGAAGCCCAAAGAGGCATACGACCCATTTTTAGAAATTCCTGGAGACAAGACTGATTAGGCCCCATCAGTCTCCATATAATACACCTATTCTCCCAGTGAAAAAACCTAACGCCAATGAGTACCGCTTTGTCCAGGACCTACATGTCATAAATGAAGTGGTTCAGGACTTACACCCTGTGGTACCTAGCCCTTATATTATATTGACAAATATACCTGGAGAATATGGTTGGTTTTCAGTTTTAGACTTAAAGGATGCATTCTTCTGTGTACTATTGGCTAAGAAAGCCCAATAACTGTTTGCTTTTGAATGGCATGATCCTGATAGTAAGACAACACAGCAATATCGTCAGACTGTCCTTCCCCAGGGCTTCAAAAATTCCCCCACTTTATTCAGGGAAACCTGGCTAAAGATTCAAGTCATTTAAAACTGAAGGATGGACTACTGTTACAACGTGTGGATGACCTGCTGGTAGCGAGCCCCTCTTAGGAACTATGTTTAACAAATACCATCAAAACTCTAAGTCACCTGGCTGAATGCAGATATAAAGTCTCCCAAAGGAAAGCTCAAATCTGTAAACAAAAGCTCACTTATTTGGGGTTCTTTAGTTCTAAAGGGCAAAGGGAATTATTGCCCAACCAGAAAAAGGCAATTGCCTGCCTGGGCCCTCTCAAAACCCCCCGACAATTGCGAGGGTTTCTGGAATGGTTGGCTTCTGTTGGATATGGATTCCTAATTATGGACTTATTAGTAAAACCTCTGTATGAAGCCCTAAAAGGCTCAAAACCTCTGGACTGGACTAAAGAATGTCAATTGGCATTTGACACCATCATAACTAAACTGGTAACAGCCCCAGCTTTAGGTCTGCTAGACCTAGAAAAACCTTTTAATCTTTACGTGCATGAGAGGCTGGGCATAAGCCTAGTGGTGCTAACCCAACAGCTAGGGACCCTTCCGAGACCTGTGACCTATTTCTCCAAACAATTAGATCAAACGGTAAAAGGCTGGCCTCCCTGTCTCAGAGCCGTCGCTGCTACTTGTGACATCCTGCAAAAGCCTGAGAAAGTCACTCTAGACCAACCCACCACTGTCTATGTACCCCACCTGTCCTCACCTTACTGGAACAGAAGGGAGGAAATTGGCTCATGTCAGGCAGAATGGGCAAACATCAGGCCATCATGCTAGATAACCCAAATGTCAGGTTGCAAGTCTCTTCAATCCAGAATCCGGCCACCTTACTCCCCAACGAAACTTCACAAGCAACAGGCCATAACTGTTTACAAGTCATAGAAATGGTTTATTCCAGCCAACCAGACCTAAAAGATCGACCATTTGAGGACCCTGAACTGGAGCTGTTCACAGACAGCAGCAGCTTCCTGGATCGGGGTAAGAGATGCACCAGATGTGCAGCTGTGACTTTACGAGAGACTTTAGAAGCTGCAGCCCCGCCTCCAGGAGCCTCAACTCAAAAGGCAGAAATCATAGCCCTAGCCCGAGCCTTACAACTATCTTGGGGAAAAAGGTGACTGCTTATACAGATTCCGGTTATGCATCTTCAGTGGTCCATGCCCACAGGGTGATCTGGAAAGAAAGGGGACTCTTAGCTGCTGACAAAAAGAAATTAAACATGCTACAGAAATATTACAGTTATTAGAGACCTTTAATGAGCCTTCACAAGTGGCCATAATACACTGCCCTGGTCACCAAAAGGGCGAAGCCTCTATCGCTAAAGGAAACGGGCTGGCCGCTCAAGCAGCCAAGAAAACAGCCAGAACAAAAGGCTATGCCATAACTGGCCCTTTGCTTCCTCAAATAAACTTGTCTGAGTATCAGCCAACTTACTCAGAAAGGGACTCAGAATGTGCAAGAGACTGAGGTTTCCTCTCAGACCCGCAGACAGGCTGGAAGATGAACGACCAAGGAAGAATTCTTGTGCCTGAGGCTCTCCTCTACCCGCTCCTAAAACGGGTGCATGAGAGCACTCATTATGGGAGAGACGATACTTTACACTGGGCTCAAAAATGTATTGTGGGACCTAATTTTAAAAAGACTGTGCAACAAGTAACTAAGAGTTGCATGATTTGTGCAAAAGATTACCCCAAAACTGCTCCAGGGCCTCCACAATGAGGAGTCTGACACACAGGGGAATGGCCGACGGAAGACTGGCAGATGGGCTTCACCCGAACGCCCCGCGCTGCTGGAGATTACCGATTCTTCCTGGTACTGGTGGATACGTTTTCTGGGTGGGTGGAGGCTTTCCCCACCTGGTCGGAGAAGGCTGCTGAAGTCATCCAGGTTCTGTTAAAGGAGATCATTCCCAGATTTGGCCTGCCTAATACCACACAGGGTGACAATGGACCTGCTTTCGTGTTTCAAGTCACTCAGCAGGTTTCCAAGACATTAAATATTAGATGGACGCTACATTCAGCCTGGAGACCCCAGTCTACAGGAAAAACAGAAAAGATGAACTCTAAAAAAGAACATTGCTAAAATCCGTCAAGAACCTCATCTCACCTGGGACAGAGCATGGCTGTTGCCCTGCTGCAGATTAGGGTGGCTCCCTGAAGTGGGCTTAAATTGAGTTCTTTTGAAATTTTATACACTCTCAGGATTTTCTTTTTCAGGTGAATCACCTGAAGCTCTAACAGATGTTGCAGTCACAGCTTCTGTCAAATCCTTAAGTGCTGTACTGACTTCTTTTCATGAGTTTGCCTCTAACAGGGCAGCTTACCCATCTGATGTGCCCCTCCATCCTTTCCATCCTGGTGGCCAAGTACTGCTGAAGACCTGGAAGGAACAAGGACCTGAAAACCAGCTAGCTGGAAAGATAAAAGTCTCATAAGAGAAATGGAACCTTAAAAAAGAACTGAGTGGAAATCTTAGAATGTAAAGATAAAAATAAATTCAGTGGATAGGCTCAACAACACAATGGAGTTGGAAGAGGAAGTGGTCAATTAACTTGCAGATAAATCGACAGAAATGATCAAAAATGATAGAAAAGAAAAAAAGGCTGAAAGAAATGAGCACAGACTCAGAGTTTGTGGGACTATAACAAAAGGTCTACATTCATATGATCAAAGTCCCAAAAATAAGAGGAGAGAGAAGGTGCAGAAAGTAAATTTGAAGAAATGATGGTAACAATCTCCAAAGGAGTCTCGCTTTCAGGATGGCAGCATGAGGGACTCAGGGGGCCCATTCTCCAGTGAAACAAATGTAACTGGTGAAAACTACAAAAAGCCCAGACTTCCACTTTCAGCTTTGACATGTAAAGAGCTTGGAAGCTGTCACTCCTATCCTCACAGCAAGAAAAGAGCTCGACAAACTGAAAATCAACAACTCTCTCAGTTTTGTCAGAGAAGTGAGGTCCTAGGGCAAGCTGCCATCCTGAAATCTGGAGAGATAGATGAACACATAGAATTACAGGCAAGATCAGCTTACCTGAAGGTGAGGCTGCTGAAGCCAGTAACTGAGAGGGACCCTTCAAAGATCATTATGACAAATGTCTGAAAACTGAATGTGGACTAGCTTGAGAATTAAAAACTCCTGGAGACCCAGTCTTAAGGTCTGTCTACCATTTTGTCAGAAATCCTCAGGGAAAAGGCTATTCAGATTGACTGGGTGAGATCTGAGTCAGGTCAAGTAAAGACAGTCTTGAGAATGGGGTCTTCCAGGGAACTAACAGGCAGGTCAAATAATGACCATTCTCTGGGAATGAGGCTTTGAATTTGTCCTGACCCCCTTCTGCCTCCCCCCAGTGGCTGCCAGGCTACTGATTTTCACCAAGATTGTGGGCTTTTGGTTTTCAAGTCTACTGTGGAGCTGCAGAGTGGGAGATGGGACTAGGGTAAGCTAAATGCCACAAAGCTCACTGTTCTCACCAAGATTCAGCAACTTTATTGGATAAACACCCCCTAGATTGCTGCAAGCCTCTGGTTAATTTCAAGAGTTCTGAAAAATTTGGTTCTGACATTTTTTTTTCCACACCAGTTTTCTCATTGCTTTTATGTAGGAGAGGATTTCTGAGGTCTTTCGTCTACCATTGTCACTGATACCCTACGAGAGTTTTTAGAATGTGAAAGTATTGTCACTATTGAAGAGCCAAAAATGTGTTATGATCAACCTGGCCACCTGCCAGACTGTTTTACATCCAGGGGAGTCTTAGACTAGTTAGTTAGGAGTTGAAGTTGTTAGGGGAGGGGAAAGAAGTCCAGGGGAACAGTAGGAATATACTATCCAGAGATCTGCAGTAGCTGTGTGTCCAGACGGGAATGAAGTTTGATGTCACCATCAGAGGCCAGCGGTACCAGTGCTGATGGTCCCAGGTGTATGTGCCTGTTTTTATCCACTTTGCTTCTTGGGACCTCAGTCATGGGGGCCTCTCAGTAGTCCTGACCTAATGCCTGCCCAGAAAGGACATGAAGGTAAATAGTTCCTGAATCCTCCCTATGCCCAATCAGTCCTGATTGTTGGTTTCCAGTCTGGAAATTCCTTCTGTGCTTCAGGTCACTGCTGAGGTGACATTCACAATGATCATTCATCTGCTTATGGGATTTTACTGCTCATCCTCAGCTCAAAGATCTTCTGCTTCTGTGGGCCTGGATGATGCTTCCTCTCTTAGGTCCTCACCTGAAGACACAAGCTTGTTTCCTACAACAAGCCTTCTGGCAGTTCTGAACTATGGGACTGTCTTCCTTTGGTGCCATGTTGGTTGGTGGCAACAGTAGGTAGAGAGTGATGGCTCTGGGCCTGATGACAGATGTTTGGCAGTGGTTGAGAAACACCAACCTGAATCTGCTTTCTCGAAAGGTCATTGTAGTCTCCCAAAGGGCAAGGGACACAGTTTTCTGTGAGTTCTGGGATGTTTCGGTCCTTGATTGGCCTTTTTGTCACTCTGACCTTGTGCAAGTCATTCTCATACCCCAAGGCCTCAGTCTCCTCATCTGTCGAGTGAAAGGGTTGGGCTGGTCCTCTAAGGACCTCAAACAATGATAGTGTATTTATTTTTTCTTCGAGGGGACAACCTTCCCCAGCCCTGTTCTTCTTCTTTCTTGCATCCAATTTTTCATATATCTTATCTGCATTCACAATCTCAACTTCCTTACATCCATTCCTCTTCTCAGTTCCTTAAAATAAGACTTCTTCCAAAAATATGACTCTCATCCAGGGCATCGATAATCTTTTTATTTACAACTCCAATGACCCTTGTCTATGCCTATGTGTCTCAAGCCTTTAGCAATGAACACTTTGGACCACTTTGTCCTTCCTTCTACACTTCCGTGTTGTCATCTTTATCATCCTCTTGCTGAGAACAGAAAAGAGGTCAGTACAACTGGATGCTTGTAAGCGAAAGCAGAGCAGTAGATGACTTGTGTATCCATCAGCTTCCTGGACGTCTTCCTCGGGGTCTCCCAGGCAATTCCACGCAGAGTGGCCACAGCTAAAGGTGTAAACTTTCTGCTGCAACCAAGTCCTCCTTCTACATTTCCAGTTACCTTTGGGGTCACCAACCTGAGACATGGATAGGAGCCTCAGCTGCTCCTTCACTCTTCCAGGTTCATCTCCTGAACCTCTCTCAAATCTGCCATTTTCACTTCTTGTGCGGTATGTCATCATCTCTGCCTTGAGTGTTACTTCTGCCCCCAACCCTCTGTCCACCATTCCTATGGACACCAGAACAGTCAGCCTGAAATCCACACTCATCTGGACATCTCCCTGTCCTGCTTAAGACCATTAAGGTCTCCAGTGTAAGGTCCAAACTCTGTTCTATGGCTTGAACCACCCAGGCCAGGGATTTTTCCAACCTATTAGCCCTCAAGTGATGGTTAAGAATGACAGGGCTCCCTGTGCAGGGGAAGAGCAATTTTATTTGGTGAGGAACACAGAATATAACACATACCTAGTGGGAAAGGAGGGGGAGCAGTTTCCTGGGAGAGAACGCTGCTCTGGTCCTCAAACAGCAGCCATGTCATTGTGCTGAACATGGGACAACCTTTTGTGAGCCCTCAGAATTGGGCACGGAAGGGTTGAACAGCAAGAAATGGTTCCATTGGGAGAAGACCCCAATCAGAACGGAGACCAAAGGTCACTGACTCTTGTTGGTAGTGGCCCATCATCAAACCCGCCCTCCAGATGGAGGGGAGGAGGCTAAGACTCTGGGGATAAGGGTCTTGTCTCAGCTACAAGGGTAGCCCAGACCTGGGATCAGGGGCCTCCTTGTACATGTATTTCAGTGAATGTGTGTCTGTGTATCCACATGTACTTGTGTGTGGTGATGAGTCTGAGAGTGCTGGTGTGAGAGTGTGCCTCTATATGTCTGTCTGAGTGACAACATGTTTGTCTGGGCATGTGTGTATATCCGTGACCATCTGTGTTTCTCTTTGTAGCTATGACGCAGTGCAACCTGTGTCTCTCCATCTCTGTCAGCATTTCTGTGGACGTCTCTGTGCATCTCTGTGTGTGTCTATGTGGCTCTTTGTTTCTCTCTTGAGATGTCACTCTCCCAAACCCCGTAATGCCCCCAAATGGGAGCAGCTCCAAAATCCTGGGGAGTGGGCAGCAGCACTCACCAGCTCAGCAGAGGCCGGTCCCTTCCTGGAAAGCCTAGACTTTGATGGGAAAATCCAGCCCACAGACCATCTTGTCTGGAAAATGGAAAAACAACAACAACCACAGACCAGAGTGATGGTGTCAGTGTGAAGGAGTCCAGGGATACCTCATGGTCCCCTGAGGCCTGGGGCCAGGGAATGGGAACTCTGGAGATCCGTCCAAGCCCATGCAGGGGGCCTTGCATCCTCCACCAACCAGCCCAGCTGTTCTCAGGGTCAGGGATGAGGGAGGAGACAGGGTCTATACCTCAACATTATCTGGATAATTCAAGTCATAAAAGAAACTCAAACTGAGGAGAGTTGAGGCTGGAGGGAGCTAGCATCCTATGGTGTGCAGGGGCAGAGCTCCTCAGGGGAAATCACTGCTCCTGTGGAGGGGAAGCCAGGGCTTACCCACAGTGGCCTCGACCAGCCTGGTGTCCAAGATTCTGGGAACCTCTGTGAGCAGAGGGCACCTGACCCAGGGGCGGAGAGGGGAGTTAGGCAAAGTGGCACTGTAGGGGGACCCTGGGAGCAGCAGCATCCCCAGGATGGATTATCTGGGGAGATTTTCTATCATTTCTCTGTGTCTGAGAGTGTTTGATTCTCAGAAACGCCACATCCACACTGGGCAGAGGAGAAACTGAAGGCTTGTGTGTGAAGTGCCATCACACAAGGAGCCATTGTTCGCTCTGTGACGTGACATCTGTTTCTAAACAGGGTGGGCTGCTCTGGGAGGGGTAAGTTTCTGGTTATAGGAGGCACTCAAGTATGGGCTGGAAGAGTGCTCGTCTGTGCCATAGGTGGCTGGACTTGGAGCTTCTCAGGGCAGGGGTCAGTCCTTTTCAGCTGCAGTGTGGACAAGCAGTGGGCCTGGTCCAGAGCAGGAACAAAGCAATGCATTTTGAAAGATGGAAAGAAGAAACACGCACAGATGGGTGAATGGAGAGATAGACTGATGGAAGGAATTTACTTATCAAGCTGAGGAGCTCAGAAAAGCTCACCCCAGGGGCCTCTTTCAGCCTGATAAGCTCTAAGAGCCAAGGATCAGGAGCCCCCACTTCTACCCACTTACCTTGTCCTGCACCAGCCCAGGAAGGATCTTGCTGAGTCTTTCGGAGAGGCAACGAAAGGGGACGGGGACCCATCTGAAAGGGAAAAGCCATGGGGAGATGCAGAGGCCTGGGGCTGGTATGGAGAAGGCTTCAGAGGGGCCACTGTGCCCATGGCAGTCTCAGCACCAAGTAACTGAGAATGGGCCTTGTCCATCCACACCCGCATGCCAGCAAACACCAAGGGGCCTATCCAAAGGGAGTCACATCCTACCCAGCAGTGCACACAGTAGGTGTGTGTAGAATAAACACATAGTTCCAGTACACAGTAGGTGTTCAATGAGACTTGTAGAATCCATAAATGGATGCACAGTGCATAGTATGTAGTTGTCATGAAGATTCAATGAGATGATGCATGTGAAGCACAGTATATGTGTTCAGTAAGTGTGAGCCACGATGATGATGACTCCTGCATATTATACAGGAGTCAGTCTCCCTTGAGACAATAACTGGAATCAGTAACCAGTTAATTCCAGAGTAATTTTACCCCTTACTGGGACAAAGCACATTCACACCGATTATCTTAGTGCATTCTGTCAACAACCCCGATGTGGCTCCATATTACAGTTATCTGAGGAAGCTGAGACTCAAGTTGGGAAGCGGTGTCCAAGTTCACACAGGAAGCCCTCCACCTCTCTCCATGCCCCTCTGGTAGGTGGAACTTGAACTCAGATTTCTTGTTGCCTAATCCAGCAGAAAATTGGTCAGTCCAGCCTCAGAAGGGATAAGTGACTATTTACCCATCCACTTACCTTCTCATCTACCCCTCTATCCTCCCATCCATCCATCTTCCCTCCCTCCTATCCATCTTCCCACTCTTCCACCCTCCCACTCATCCATTCTCCCATTGTTCCATCTTCCCAACCATCCAAAGTCCCATCCTATTTTGTCTGGGCAGGAGAAGCCACCTCTCTGGCCTCAACTATCAGGCAGGGAGATTTGCGGGCTGCCAGCGGAGTGAGTGCAGCTGCCAAGGACCAGTTGGATGTTATGCTGTTTGTCTGTCAAAGGTAAGAGTTCTGCAGTGATGTTTAGCTTCACAAACAGTTTTAACAGACTTCCGACCAGGGGCCTGCAGAGGAGACAGTCTGCTACCACGTTCCAAGGCAGAGGAGGCTTTTCTCCTTGCCAGGAATGCCAGCCTCATCTCACTCCATATAGCCCACACCTGTGCTCACCTCATTTCCCAGTAGGGGAAACCAAGGCTCAAAGAGGTCAAGAGAGTTTCTCAAGTGACCCAAGGTCACTCAGCATAGGAGCAAAAGAGCTGAAGTTGGAGGCTCATGTCTGCTAAACTATATGCCCCCTTTTTGGCTCCCCTTGGTCATCAGTCTCCTTTGGTGAATCATCTTCTCAGCCTCCCTTGGAGCCACTCACACATTCACATTGAGGGTCATGCCCAGAGGGATGGTGACATAGAGATGACGGCCACGAGGGCTCCGCGCAAGGCCAAGATCCAGCATCTAGGGGTTAGTGATCTTCGCACTGCCCAGGGAGCAACACTGGAGGGAGAAACATTCGGTCCTCTAGCCCCAAGCCTAGAAATCACGTTTAACCCAACTTTACCTATCCCAGAGGTGGAGATACCCATGGGGGACTGTTTTGCAGCAAAAGCCTGATGGGTTTTGAGTTGCACATCAGTCTTTCCCAACCTCCGCACTGCGTCAGATCCTGACACGCACATGACCCTCTCCAGATCTCAAGTCCACGAGCTATTCCAGGATAGAGGTTGTGTCTGGGTTATATTTGTATCCTGTATGCCAACTTAGAGACTTACAAAGAAAGGGTCTACTCCACATTGGTTGACTTTGTGGATTGACGAACAGGTGGGTAGATGGATATGTGGGTGGGTGCATGGAAAAGTAAGCAGTTAGATGGAAGGAATGATGGGTGAATGGATGGACAGATGGGTAAGTGGACGAGTGGATGATATATGGGCAACTGGAGTAGGTCTTTCATAAACATTTACAGTTAGGAGTCACTCATCCTGCCATGACCTTCAATGGCAGGTCAATCAGCCATGTTTCTCATGGAGATTGAGGAGCAGGAAGTCAGAGAGAATGGAGAGAGGATGGAAGTAAGCCTCTTCTCTGGGCCGGCCACTGCGCCATGAGATTTATATTCCCTCCAGTCCCCCCAACAGTTTCTTTCTGTGGGCACCATAATCTTCTTTTTACAGATGGAGAAACCAAGCACAGAGAGACTGAGTGCCTTGTCCCAGGTCACCCAGCAAGTACATGGTGAATTTAGAAATCAAACTCAAGGCTATCTGTCTCTCTTCAAGTCAGGAGCAAGCACCTGAGTGGGAAGGAATCTTGGAAATGGCTTTGATCCAGCCCTCTGAAGGACTCAGACTTCTCCAGCTCCCTGGCATCAAGCTTTCCATTATTGCTCCTCGCATGGAGACCTCTCAGGTGTCTCGTGGGAAACACTGTGTTAGATTATTGCATGGACATCACATTGACGATATAATTGAGGAGAGAAGCTTACACTTTCTTGCTTATATCGAAGGCCACGTATGTTCTAAGGGATTCCACAGGCGAGGAGCACAAGATTATCATGTGTGATGGAAAAAGCCTTGACCTGGACTTGAGTAAATTGGAGTCAGGTCCCTTACTCCACATCGGTCAAGTTGTGTGAGCACAGGCTCCTTTCTGTGCCTCAGTTTTTCCATCTGTAAACTGGGGTTTATCAAATCAACCTCAAAGGGCTGTTGGGAGGATTATAGATGATACTGGGGACTCAGGACATGCTTCAGGACTGGGGGCAATTACTGGTTCAAGAGGGCTGTTATTCCCTACCAGACTGTGAGGAGGGTCTCAGACTGAGTCCTGGGCTCATGTTCAGACCCCCCCCGTCCTCCTTCAGGGCCACTGGGTGGGCTGTCAGATCTCCACTGGGGGTTTTCTGCTGGGGACAAGGCCCTATTTCAGGGCTACTCACTCAAGGATGTTCAGGAAAGGCATTGCTGAAACCATTTTCCCAAGCAGGCCCCTAAACAGGCCTCTGGAAGTGACTCCTTCAGCCTTCAGAGCATCCGAGAGTGGAAGATTTTCGAGACTGCCCAACAGACCCTCAGAGAGCAAGCCATGGCTGAGAGCTGGAAAGTGGTATAGGGGTCCTCGGGGGTCAGATCGGATAATTCCAAATCCTTAGCCCCACTCCCCCATTCATCCCTGCCCCCCTCCCTCCACTGGACAGCTGAACACACACACAGCTGAAACAGGAAGTCACAGACTCTCACTTACCACTGCTCAAGCTTCCGGGAACATCTGGGATATTCACTTCCATGTCCGGAATCATAGACGAGGGCAGAGTTGGGTCCAGGGGTGAGGGCACGGCTTCCAGCAGGGCTGTGGTCTGGGCCAGGAGCCCGCAGAAGACAATGAGGGCCCCAATTTGAAACATCTTCTCTCTTCCTATCTGAAACCAGAGCAACCAGTCCAGCATGACACAGATACCAGAGAGGAATTGATCCACCTGCGCCCTCCCCCAGAACACCAGGGAGAGAAGATCCATAGCTAACACTGCTCCCCATTTCCTCTGAGCCAGGCCTCAGGGTGAGCACTGCACACTCAGTAACTGACAGCATCCCAACCACACCCTAAGACGTGGGCACTCATCACTCGCATTGCACAGGTGAAAAAATGGGGGCCTAGTGAGCTTAGGTAACCTCCCCCAAGGTCACAAGTACACAATGGAGATGGGATTTAGAGCCAGATCTGTTTGACCCAGAAGCCTCTGTTTAAACTAAGTGACCATCAGATTGACTCTCCAACTGGGCTTGCTCACAATGGCTTGAATCAGACAAAGCATTTGAAAAAGCTAAACATGCTAGTGGCTGAGGGACTGAACTGCTTTGCCACTATCCCCATTATGTCCTTTGGTCTGGGTCCAGCCCTCAATGGTTTGTGGAAGTCCTTGCAAGTCACGAAATATCAGAGCTCACACCTCATAGCCACCATTTCACCCAGACCAGTGCTCGGGAAATCCTGGGGCCATCCAAGTCCTCCTTGCACAAGGAGAACCAGGGGACCAGAGAGGGGTAGTGACTTTCCCAAGGTCACACAGCAAATCGATGGCAGACTTGTGGTTGGAGGTATGTCTCTGAACCCTCCTATCACCCCCTTCACACACACACACACACGCTATCTTTTCTTCACCTTTCTCCTTTCTCTTCTCCCAAAAGTGAACGTGGACAAACTTCTGGGGCAACCCCTGACGTCTGGCTGCCTTTTGCACCATCCTATCCTAGATGCCATCAACCCTCTCAAGGGCCTATTCTGCAGGCAGCACAGGTGTCCAAAGCTGGGACATGTACCTACACTTTGGAGACACCTGGCTGCTTTGGGCAAAAGTCCATCAACAGGCTGATTCGGCCAAAATACCATCATTGTTGTGTCTGGCTGGGATCGAAAGGGCTTTTTGGTCCAAAGAGCCTGTTGTGGCTTCCCGGGGGAGGTGAACTCGGATCAAGGCCTCTGAATCCCTTTTGGGAAACAGATCTTTTATGGGTCTAATGAAAGCTAAGGAGCCTAGTCCCAGAAAAATGCATCAAAGTGTACAAAATTGGGTGATTTTAGGAGGTTTGTGGATCATGGTCTGAATCAAGTTAAAACTCCTACTGTAGAGATTCTGATTTAGGGCATGAAGAGCAGACACATGAGAGAACCCGAACGTGGAATTTCTGCAGTGTCCCCTGCAGCCATGAGCTCCCCATCACCATCAAATTCCCTGCTGCTGAACATTTCTACTTTGAGGTTACCTGTCTCTTAGGGAAGCAGAGTGAATGACCATCCCACACCCCCAAAAATGCCCAGCTCTGTTTCTCTTGAAAGACCCCAATGAGTGATCCTAACTGCAGTCAGCCAAGGCCCGGCCCACAGTGAGGAGCCTGGGACCCCTGCCGCCCTGGGCAGCGGAGCAGAAGCAGATCAGGCAGGTCTCACCTGGGCTTCTCAGAGGTCCTGGCGGCTGTCCTGGTCTCTCCCCTCCCCTGTTCGCTTCTGCTGAGGAGGCAGCCTCTTTTATACTGTGGGAATCAGGAAATGTGCGATCAGATGATGGGTTTCTAGATAATTCAGAATTTTGCCGTCTGGTGGTGTCCTTCAGGGCTCTCCAAAGTAAATAATTGCCAATCACATTAGTAGGTGGGACAGTTAAGCCATTTGATCAACAAGATAAACAGAGAACAACTTGAGATGGTGATGCTGCTCAAGACATCACGGTTTCATGAGTGGGGCTCAGGCTGGGGACCCACGTTCGCAGGTGGCCTGGAAGATCAAATTTGGAACACCAGGAGAGGCAGGAACTGGAGCCAGGAAGGGACCTCAGGCTCCTATCTAGGCCCTTTTCCATTCCTGGTTCAATTCTTTCTCTCCAAACTGTCGAAGTGTCAAAAAGAGAATCTGTCCCTGATTTCCCTACTTCTGGGACATCTGAGTCCCTCTTGCATGACAGTTCCATGCTGGGGACGATACACCCTCACCAGAACTCTGAGAGGGAGGGGCTGCTGGTCCTCCTCCACAAATGAGGAAACTGAGGCCCAGTGGGACAAGTGCCCAAAGACACAGGGAGGATGTGACAGAGTCAGAACTCAACTCACTGGATGATAATAACCATACAAACAGTGTCAACAGCTGACACTTGCTGAGCTCTTGCTGTATGCCAGGCCCAGCATTGCTTTTCACACGCGGCATCTCATGAATCCTTGTGAGTTTGTGTGACATGGGAATGAACACCCACATTGACAAGGGGAAACTGAGGCTCAGGGTGTGAGTTGACACATCCAGAGTTGCACAGTGGGATGGGACCGAGGCATCTACACTCCAGTCCTTTCTCTGAGTCACTGAGCTGACGGACAAAGATGCCTTCCAAACACTCACTGACCATTTTGCTTTGCTGCATCCTTGAATTTCACACTTTCCTGAAATTTCACTTTTATATCCTGGAAAAGTCTTTCCAGCTTCCCAGGCCTGAGGGATGCTGTGCATCCTGGTCTCTACCTTTACCCTTTCTTCCTCCCTTCCCCAAAGGAAGTAGCAGCATTTGTCCACACCAGTTGGGCCTTTAGAGTCTGTTTTACAGATGAAAGTACTGAGGCATGGAGAGATCAAGGTCTTAGAGTGGCGAGAGCATGTCTTGCCCTGTGGAACCTAACACCTTATGAGCAAAAGCAGAGAGAGAAGGAGGAAACACACATTTACTGAGGATCCTTTATGTGCGGGGGGGTCTCCATATTTGAACCTCGTCTTTTTAGGAGTAGTTGGTATTGTTTTCTCTCAATTGTCAGATAAGATGACTGAGGTTCAGAGAGGGTGACTACCTCACAAGGACACACAGCAAGTGAGTGGTGGAGTCAGAATTCACTCTCGTGTCTGATTCTCCGGTAATCAGTGAGCCACACTGCCCTCCCTCCCTCCAGGCCTTCACTGGAACCACTCCCACTTCCTGAGAGAGTCTGGCCAACTACTCTGAGGGGCCAGGGCGCTGGCTTTGAACTCCATTATCCATTCAAGCACTTGCTAGAGTCTTCCCACAGCTTGTATGCTGTCAGTCATCCTCAAAGGGGTCCTAGTTTTTGTTATCTTGGTGCAATTCTGACACGTCCCAGTTTTTATCTTGGCGCAACTCTCATGGGTGGGGTCAAGTTACTACTGTCTTTTGGGGAAACAGAGGCAGATAAGTCAAGGGACTGATTAAGTCTGTGCGGCCAGTTACTGGGCTCTTACAGCCTCTGATTTGAAGCCAGGAGGCGGCTTCTGTTATTCTGGCAGAAAAGGGACAGATTTGGGCACAGATGGCCCTGCTTCAAATGCTGTGACCCAGTCAAGTCTCTCCAAGTCTTGAGCTCCAGTTTCCACATCTGTCAAAGGGGAGGGCGATATCTACCTCACAGGGCTGTGGGGGATAACGTCGGGGGAGCTGGTGGGAATCCTGTCCATAAACTCACGTGTCTAGACATTTTTCTAATATATCTATACTTTTGTTACCATATCAAATGACATTTTGCTGGGCAACAGAAACTTCCCCATTTCCCCCTGGGATTTTCTTTCTCTTCTAGAGACTTCATTTGTGCCGAGGCATCTGAAGGAGGCTGCCCTGTCCCTGTTCTGACTGGAAATACAGAGACATCCACATGCCATCTGGTCCCCGATGGGGGAGACCCTGTGCTTCCCTCCTGTCCAGATGCCTCTCTGATTTAGCATTTACTTCTCATTCCCTTGTTAGACACCCGGAGTTTCTGCTGTTTCTTGATTTGTTGGGCAGGACCAGGGGGAGCCAGCCCAGCCCATCTACCTGGACCCCTCTGGACCCTCCAGTTACCCTTCTCTCCCTGGGGTCTCGTCATCTCTCTCGGCTCTGGAGGGGAACAGGGGCAGATTCACCCTCTGTTCTTCAATCCACCGACTTAGGTTTTCTGTGTTCCTCCTCCCACGCCAGGTTTTGCCTGGGGAGTCGCAAGGGCATGAGACACTTTCCAGAACTCACCAGAACTATGTTCTCTTAATTTCTCTTGGATTCTCACACTCCACCAACACAACATGGGGAGTGTTTTAGTCTTGGGGGCAGGAACCCTTGCTTCAATTCATTGTATATGTGCTATTCTTGATGTCACCTATGCTCTGAGATTTGAAATTGAAAAACCAAGACTTAAAAAACTCTTTCAAAAAAATTAACGTGCAGTCAAATTAGTTTTTTTCTCTTGGTGCACATTTCTATGAATATTAACTCTTGTGTGGGTTTATGTAGCTGCCATAATGATCAGGATATAGAACAGCTCCATCACCCCCAAAACCCCCTCTTCCCGCCCTTTTATAGTCACACCCTCCCCCACCCACTGATCTGCTCTCTGTCACTACTGTTTGTCAAAGACCCGGGCTGTGGAAACTCAAAAGCTTTCTCTCTGCTTCTGCCAAAGTTGCCCTTCCTTGAAGCCACAGGGCTGCATGTTCCACTGCCCCGAGCAGGGCAGGAGTCGTGGGGCGTGAGGAAACGTGGAAGGCTATGCCGCTCACATTTGGAGACAGTGTTTTCCGTGTTGGTGATGTCAGTGCCTTCCCTATGTGTTCCTCAGAAACTGCAGGGGGTGCTCCTTTCTTCCTGCATGTCAGATTGTGACTGTGGTGAGAGCCTTTACTGGTATCGTTTTTTGAATCAAGAGATCCATTTATAAAGGGAGGAGTTAATTTTATTTTTCAAGTGGCTCTGACCTGTGCAAGGTCTGTTCTCTAGAACGTGGGAGTGGGTTGCTGGTTCTGTTTCCTGGGAGGAGGGTCAGGAGGGGGCTGAGTTGGAGGGGGGTCTTCCGATGGCTTTAGAAACCCCAGTGGTTTTTTTGAGGGGTAGAGGGAAAAAAGCGTTCACTGAGAGCTACGTGCTCCAATTTTGATGAGAAAATAATAAATTTTCTTAAGCAGAGTTTGCTTAAGTCAAGTTCCACTTACCTTGGAGATTAATCTTCCTCCCTACATTTACAGCTAATAATTATAATAGCTTTCTATGACACACTAGCACTTTATCCCATCTCTAAGAACCCTGTGGGGGCACTGAGGCTCAGGGAGGACAGTGATCTGCCCAAGGTCACCTCAGAGGGAAGAGGTGATGTCAGACTGTCCTTGGGGCTGTCTGGTTTTCGTGTTCTTTACTTCAGGAGCAAGTTTGCATCTGAGAGTCTTCAGTTCAGAAAGTGCCCGCTCATGTTCTCTGGAGCCTCCCCACCCAAGAAATCAGGCAGTCGGGATTCCAAGTCCAGCTCAGCCAGGGACGTGGGCATGAGGCTTTCCTTCATTGAGCCATGGTTTCCTCATCTATCATCTGTCCTCATCTGTCCTCATCTATCGTCTATGTGGAGCTGACGGCACCCACATCCAGGGCTGGGAGAGGGTTACGTGGAGCTACATGCAGCACGCAGCCCAATCCCTGGCACAGAATCCGAGCTCTGCAGTGGAAGGGCCTGGAAGTTACAGGCACAGACAGGGAGCGCTCGGGCATGAATCTGAGCACTCAGGGCTGAATTTCTGCTTAAATTACACCCCAACCCAGTATCATAATAGAGGTCCACTATGCAACAAGCTTTTTCAGGAGAAGACACGTTGAGGTCATGGCTCCAGGAACCTTAAAATGAAAGCAAAGAGAATGGGAGAAACCCAAGGAGGCCCCTTGAGGAAGGAGACCCCCAATCTGTCCAGGATGGGTCAGGAGGAAGGCAGACAAAAGCAGCCTTCACTGAGGGACCAGGCAAGCTCGCTGGAGGATGGGACCCACCCTCCCATGTTTGCTCTTTGAATCACGAGCAGGAAAATCCCCATAAACTCAAGGCTGTCAAGGGGAAGCATCTGAGTGAACTTGGGTGTTTAGGCTTCCAAATCCCCAGCGAAGCATTTCTGATTAGGGAGTCAGAATTGAAAGAGCTCTCTCCATATTTTCATCTCTGACCTCTGGACACTTCCTTCTCTGAGCTTGTCAATCCAGCTGAGCACGTATTTCATCGTTTCCCCTCAGCGTGTGGGGAGGTGTCAGAAGGAAGGGAGGGAAGGCTGCAGGGGGCATTCACAGTGGTCAGAAGTGTAGGCTCTAGAGTGTGGCTGCCTGAGTGCAGTCAACTTGGTCTTTCCTGGCTGTGTGACCTTGAGCGAGGGACTTTCTCTCTCTGAGCCCAGTGTCCTCATGCATAAAATAGGATAGCAGGTTTGTACTTCATGGGGTTGCTGTGAGGATTTGCTGAGATGCTGAATGAAGCTCTGAGCACCCAGCTTGGCACACGCCAAGTCTTAACATGAGTGTGCTCCTATTATTAATACCTCTGTGTTATCTCCCCTTGATTTCTCAGTATACTTTCCCTCCCCTTGGGTGGAGGAGGGAATCAATACTTAAGAATTGAAGAGTCATTAATCAAATAATTAACAATGAATCAAATGACGTTTAATAAGCATTTCCCATGGAACTAGCACACAATAAACATTGCAAATTTTTCCACATACTCCTACAAACATCCCGCATGGTAAATATTTTTTATTTTAAAAATTTTTGTTAGGGCCTGGCCCTGTGCTGTGGAGGTTAAGTCCTGTGTGGTCTGCGCCATTTGGTTTTATAAAGTGGTCGTACGACTCACCTCCCACCCACAGTGTGAGGGCCCCTGTTGCTCCACATCCTGTGAGATTTCTGTTCCCATTTTGCAGGTGAGGAAGAGCAAAAGGGAAAGTGCCTTGTCCCAAACCTAGCTAGTGAGTCATAGGACCAGCATTCATCCATCATTTAAGCTCAGGTATTTGCTGAGCTCACACACTGTGCCAGCCCTGCACTGGGGCGGGGGTCATTGGTCTCCCCAGTGCACACGGTCCACACCCTCATGGAACTGCTCTTTGGACTGGATTGAATTTGAACTCAGTGCCAAATTTATGCTTTTCCACTCCGTCACCCTTTCTCTACACTCCCTTGGAGCCCAAAAAGTGCTTGGCATGTAGGAGGTGCTCAATAAGTGTGGGTGGACTGAATGAGGGAATGGGAAATCTCCACAGGGCCTTCCCTGCATTGATGAGTAAACTCATAGATGGGTTTCTGGCTCCAAATTACTGGAAAAGAGTATGTTCTCAGATACTTCTGGGCTGATGAGCAAATGCAGGCATATTTAGTATCAAGATGGACCTTCATCAAGTTTACTTCTGGAACCTAAACCTCAGGGCCCAGGCTGGGGGACCCCTGCACCTTCAGAGCTAAAATTTATTATGGGAGAGGACGGGATGTCCACAGGGCCTGTGGTCAATGTTTTCGGGTCAGTGGAAGCCACAATCTAAGGAAGGCGTAAGGTCCCAAGGTGTGGAATCTCCCTCTAATAATCATCAGTGCATCGCTGGAGGACACTAAGTCTGACATGTGGGGGGTTGGCTGTTTCACAGTTGGTTGAGTTCCTGAGCAGCAGCCTGTTCTGTAAGGAGAAGAGGCAGTGTCACTCACCAGCATGTCTGTCCCTCCAAATCCTAGATCCCCACTGAAGGGGACTCTCATCCATCCATGCTGACCAAGGGCCAGTGCCAGGAGCACTTGTGTTAGAACTCTTTCCAAGTGATAGCTAGTGATGCGCTCCTTGCTGTCTTCCATTCTCGAGACTGTGAGCCCCGTGAGGGCGGGGACCGTATCTGTTTATCTGCAGCTCAAGGGGGTGGTCTCAGTCTGGGGTGGGGCCAGTGCTCCCTAAAGGATTGAGTGGAAATCTTGGGAGAAGCCACAAGCTCTGGTGAGTGGTAGGTGTGAGTGACTTGGTGGGGCACAGCCGGCTTGGTAGGGATCCCCTCTGCTGTCCCAGCTTTCTCACAGGACAGTAATGGTCATCATGATATTGTCACCTCTAAGAGATCTCAGAGCACATGCAGACCCCCCTGAGCAGGCCTCGCTGGGAGCTCCATGTGGGGCACCTCCTCCAGCCATTTTCCAGTCCTGAGTCCTCCTCCCTGGATGGACACACAGACTCACCCATGAGGCTTTTCAACAGTTTCACATCCAGCTGCCTGAGGACTTCACCGGTCAGAGGACACACCTGGGCCAGCAGCACAGACAGAAGGGTCAGACCAGAGACCGGGAAAAGAAGGCTAGAGGCCTGTGGCTAGAAGCTTAGACTCCACTGGATTTCCACAAGCAATCATGGCAAGAGTGCTCCCTTGTATTGATCGCCAACCACATGCCATGCACAGCACTTTCTTGCTTTGTCTCTCTCAATCCCTGTGACATCTCTATCAGCTAGGGACCATACTGGTTCCCATGCTACAGATGAGAAAACTGAGGCTCTGCAAGGCTAAGTCACTTGCTCAAGGACACCCAGCCAGTAGATGGCAAAACTGAAATTTTTAAGAGGTCTTTCAGGTTCTGTTACCTAGGGTTTGAAACTCTTTGCTGGGCTGCCATTAGATATGCCCCGACCCTCACACTCAAGGATACCCACGGAAAAAATATTTTTCTCAGGCTTACCTGACTTTCTACCTGGTGTGGGATAACTTTTTTCAGATTGTGTCTGAGGTTGCGGAGAAAATGTTTCATCTTTGGTGGGCAATCTCTAGAAAGAGAGGCAGATGTACAGAATGGACAGATAAACATGGGCAGTATAAATGCCAGGTGCTAAGTGTTGAGTACACCTCAGACAGTCGTTGCATCCTCTGCCAGCCCTGTCCAGGAGGCATCACCATCAGCAAAAAAGGGCGATTCAGAGGGATGATGCCACTTGTCTGAGGTCACATGGCCTGTAAGTGTTGAATAGACTAGAACAAGGTCAGCAGAGCTCCAGGGTCCACAGTCTGCCCCCTGCACTGTCTTGTCCATGAGCAACTGGTATGATCTAGGCATTCAGTGAAAGTCAGATGAATAAATGAATGGACATCTACCTAAGACTTCGTTGTTTCCAGCATCCTGGAATTCCAGAGAGAAACCTGATGTAAATCTTGCCCTCAAGGGACTCAGTGTGCTGAGGTTGGCAGACTTGGTCAGCCGGGGTATGGATCTTCATTTACCTGTTTTTTCTGTCTTGTTCACCACTGTATCTCTGGCATCAAGCACGCTGTGCCTGGCACACAGTAGGCTCTCAGTAAATATTTGTTGAATGAATGAGGGATGAGGAGGAGCTTTAGAGAAGAAGGGAAGGGTATTCCAGGCAAAGGATCAGCACGTGCAAAGGCAAGGTTGTGTGCAAATGCATGGCGTGTTGAAGGAGGGATGGGTCCTTCCAAGAGACTATAGGGCAGAGAGCTGCAGAGTAGGGCAGGGGAGAGCACAGTAGGGCCTTGAGTGACATCATCAGTTTGCTGTTCATCCAGAGGGCTCTGGAGAACCACTGGAGGGTTAGGAGCAGAGGCCACAGACATGACCAGTTTTCTGTGCTAGAAAGTTACTGCTGCTGCAGGAGAGAATGCACTGAAGTAGGCGAGGTCTGAGTCGGGGGAAGGAGGGGGAGGCTCTCACAACTGTCCAGGTCGTGGACTATGAGCCGGGGGCTGTGGCTGTGGGATGGAGAGAAAGGGAGCAAGTGGGGGCGGCCAGGAGGTCACTGATGGGAGCGGGTGAAGAGGGGCTGTGGGGAGTGAGGAGGGAGAGTCTGGCTTCTGGGAGGCGGCAGGGCCGACACTGAGGTGGGGACGTGGGAGGAGAGCAGATCCTGGGGAAAGGGTGAGATCCGTTTGGGGCTCATCCGGGAGGTGGTGGAGCTGTGTGGCCGCAGCTAGGAATGGTCACCCTGGGGAGGGGCAGCTGGGACCTTACTGAGTCAGGACTGTCATGTGGACGCTGCCGGGCTCCACGCCGCAATCGCCTATCACCAGATCCCTCCGGCCAAACTCGTCTTTCTCCAGCCAGAACTCCACAACGAGGTTCGTGTGCACATGCGCCTTTATGATCTTGTCGTTGAAGGGCCTGGGGACAAGAGAGAGGAGGAGGGGAAAGGGCAGGAGACGGAGGAAGAGCAGGGGTGGAAGCAGCTGAGGAGAAGAGTGGCTCTTTAGACAAAAGGACAAACCGGCCCCCTGGGCTCCTCCTGGCCTGCATGTTGAATCCTGCAGTCGGTGATTATGAGAAAACTGCTATGAGCCAGAGCGGCTTCTGAAAGTCCTTTAAATAGACCAGATTAGGGGCCTTTGGAAATTCAGAAGCTGAGAGTTAATCTTATTTTTAAAATCCTCACCGCTTAGCTGCAGCCTCCCTTTCCTTGGGAGCAATGGATGTTATAGGATGGTTTGAACAGGAGGAGGAAAGGATGATAAGATAATTAGAATTTCCCTTTTTTTAAGTCCGTTAGTGATCTCACGTAGGTTTAAATGAACAAATGACCTGCCCCCACTGACCACTGATGGCCATCCACATGCCAGCTGAAGAAACCAAGGAACAGAGACATGCAGTGACTTGTCCAAGATCACACAGCCAGTGAGTTCAGAATCCAAGATTTGAAACCAGGTTGGTGTCAGATAGATCTGGGTCCCCAGGTTTCCAAATTCCCCTCCCCCGCAGATGCCAGGTTCCCATCAGGAGGAGCAGCACCCCTCAGACCCCACTTCTGTGTGACTCACAGTCTCATGTCAGTGTCGAATTCAAGGGAGAAGTTTGCAGAGAACCACTCCTTCTGGAAAGACATCCAGATCTCGCCACAGTCCAGCTGAATGTTGGTGATGTTGGCGCTGCACAAGGAGAGAGCAGAGGCCCCGCAAGAGGGAGGGACCACAGACGTGAAGGTCTTGGACTGAGAAACAAGCCTGGACCGTCTGTAGAAAGGGCCCGGCAGTGGGATTTGGAGTCAGATCCTTTTACAGCTGCTCTGAGGGCAGGAACCCCGGGCTGCACGCTGTCCCAGGGTCTCCTGATAGATACAGCTGATCTGTGCAACCCACAGCCAACTGCAGACCCAGACCCTGGGCTTGTTCTCAGACCAAGCCTCCCCTCTCACAAGACGGCCCCACCATCAACCAGGTGCCCAGAGCCACACCCCAGGAGCTATCTGTGACTTCTCTCCAGCCCTCACTTCCACATGCAACCTGCCAGAGAATCAAGTTGTCTCTGCCTGCAAAATATATCCTGAACTTGGCCTCTTCCCACCACCTCTGTCACTTTCACCTGGTCCAGGTCACCATCACTTCTTGCCTGGAGATGCTCTAGTTTCTGGCTCCTTGTCATGAACTTGGTCTCTCTGCAAACTTTTCTCCATGTGGCAGCCACAGGGGCCCTAACACTCCGTCACTCAACATTCTCCACTGGTTTCTCACTGCCCTTGGAATAAAACCCAAACGCCACACCATAGCTCTTAAGACTTGCAGGTCTGGCCCATCTGCCTCTGCGACCCCATCTCCTACCATCCTCCCCCTTCTCACCCAGCCACATAGGACTTTTTCTCTTCCTCAAACACACCAGTCTCTTCCCTGCCTCAGGGCCTTTGCATTCTCCACTCCCCATTTCCTTCAAGTCTCTCACTTCCTTCCCTTCATTCAAGTTTCTACTTAAGGGTTACTTCTTTAGAAAGGCCTCCTGATCAGCCCCTCACTCTCTCACCCCTTACCTTGCTAACTTTCTCTTGGATACATCCCTCCATCTGAAATTAGTTGTTTACTTCCAGGGCCTATCTCGCTAACGAGGATGCGAGATCCAAAAACGCAGTGACCCTGTGTCTGGTCTATAGCTATATTCCTCACACCCAGCCCAGGTCCTGGTATGCAGTAGGCGCTCAACAAATAATTATGACAACTGTTAAAGGAATGAATGAAGAGAGGTGATTGCAACTGCACACGTCAAGGAGAACCCTGTTGGTGAGCACTGGTGCTCATGAAATGGAGAGAGTGAGGGATTTGAATCAGAGAGATGGGAGCTCGAGGCTGCAGATGCAATTGAGCAGCTTGGAGAGTGGGAAGCTGAGGGACAGGGGAGGTGAGCAGGACAGGCCCAGTTCTGCATAGTTAATGGAGTAACCAGTGGCCTTGTGCAGCAGAGAAAGCTCCCAACCCCTCCTGTGGGCGGGGACAGTTCTCATGCCCATTTCACTGATGAGGATCAGAGGCCCAAGCTCAGGTTGCTCAAATGCCTTGCCAAGAGTCCCACAGCTGTCAAGCAAGAGAGTGGGGTTCAAATGTCTGACTCTAGTCCTGAGGTCCTTTGGCACCCCAGATGTTTATCCAGGCTATGTTCTCTGTGTACCGTTGTTATAGATGAGGCCAGAGTGGTCCAGCAACTTCTCTAAGGCTGGTGGCAGAGCCAGGATTTAAATGCAGAAACTTTTATTTCCAAGCCTTCACTTTTAATTACCCTGATAAGCTGCCTCCCCAAATGACCCCTTGTTTTGGGGTACTTACTCGTCTTGTATTGGGCCTTACATCTCCTCCTTCTAATCTTCCTTTTCCTTCCCTCTTCACAGGCCTTGTACCTCCATCCCCTCAGCTCTGAGTTCTGACCCAGAGCTTTACAAAAAGTTCCTGGGCCAGGGCTGGGGTTCAGGGTCTCACCTGCCTTCTTGACGCTGCTGAAGCTTCATGCTGCTAATTAGCCAGCCCACCACCCCTGGGGCCATCTGGCCTGAGACATTCAGACTGTCTAGGAGACAGATATTCCGGATTCGGCCTTCTGCGTTGTGCTTCATGAGGCCCTGGGAAATAACTGGCAATGGACAAAGGACATGGCACAATGTCATGGAAAACATGGGGAGTTTGGAGTCAGGAGACCTAGGTTGCAGGCTGGTGCACCCATTTCTTGCTGAGTGATTGGTGCCTGTCATTCCCCCACCCCCAACCCTGAGACCCACATTCTTGATTTGCGAAATTTACTTTGCAGAGTTGATGTGATGCACCTGCAGAGGGTCTGGCAGGCCACGCTCCTCAACGAAGAGGTTATGGTTGAAAGTTCCCCCAATGCCATATTGCTGAATCTGGGACACAGAGCCTGGCATACAGGATGTAGATCACAATAAATGTTGAAGAGAAACATAGGTGGGCAAACACTCAGCTGCAGTCCTGAGACAGCTGATAAGAGCCTTGCAGACTGGAGGCCTACACCAACTGTAAGCCCCTGAGCCTAGAAATCAGCCATCCTGGGGGCCTGATCACTTAACAGGAAAATTGCCACAGGAATGTGCCATTAGCTGTTGCAACTGACTGTTCTGGGGCTCCCCATCTCTGATAAAGTGACTGAAGGGACCATACCAGCCACCTGCAGCTGAACACTACAACCAGCTGGCCAGGGGGACAGCCTAGCCTCCTTGGGCACCAGCAGCAAGAGCAACCCTGCCACAACAGAAGGACACAAATAGCCCATAAAGAGGACACTCCTGGAACATTTGGAACTGGTGACGAGTGGGAAGCACAGGGCTGGGCCTCATAAGGCATTGATTACATAAGGCCACCTCTCCAAGGCCCAGAGATGTAGCTGACCTAGCTAATGCACATATATAAGCAAAGAGAATGAGGCAAAATGAGGAGGCAAAGGAATATGTTCCAAGTAAGGGAATAGGACAAAATCCCAGGAAAAGAACTAAACAAAACAGAGATAAACAATCTACCTGAGAAAGAGTTCAAACAAACAGTCATGAGGATGCTCACTCATTGTGGGAGAAGAATGGATGAACTCAGTGAGAACTTCAACAAAGAATTGGAAAAGATAAAAAAGAAACCTATAATAAGTACACAAAAAATTAAGAGAAAGAAACCCAAACATAATACTAAAGAAAGCCATCAAACCACAAGGGAAGAGAGCAAGAGAAGAAGAAGGAAACAGAGAAGAACTAATAAAAGACCCAGAAAAAAAGTAACAAGATGGCAATAAGTACATATTTATCAATAGCGACTTGAAATGTCAATGAACTAAATCCTCCAATCGAAAGGCATAGGGTGATCGATTGGATAAAGAAATGAGACCCATGTATATGCTGCATACAAAAGACACTCACAAACTGAAAGTGAAGGGATGGAAAAAGATACTCCATGCAAATGGCAATGAGAAGAAAGCTGAGGTAGCAATACTTATATCAGACAAAATAGACTTTAAAACAAAAACTCTAACATGAGACAAGGAAGACTACTACATAATGATAAAGGGAACAATCCAACAAGAGGATATAACACTTGTAAATATCTATGAACCCAACATAGGAGCACCTAAATATAAAAAGGAATTATTAAAAGACCTAAAAGGAGAATTAGTAATACAATAATAGTAGGGGACTTTAACAGTCGACTTACACCAATGGATAGATCATTGAAACAGAAGATCAATAAGGAAATATTAGCCTTAAATGACACATTAGTCCAGACGGACTTAATAGATTAATACAGAACATCCCATCCAAAAAGTGCAGAATACACATTCTTTTCAAATGCATATGGAACATTCTTCAGGATACATCACATATTAGGCACAAAACAAGTCTCAGTAAATTAAGAAGATTGAAACAATACCAAGCACCTTTCTGAGCACAATGGCATGAAACGAGAAATCAGCCACAGGAAGAAAATCAGAAAAGCCACAAATATGTGGAGATTAAACAAAATGCTACTGAACAACAATTGGGTCAATGGAGAAATCAAAGGAGAAATAAAAAAATACCTGGAGACAATTGAAAAGGAAAATAAAACATGCCAAAATTTATGGGATACAGCAAAAACGGTTCTTAGAGGGAAGTTTATAGCAATACAAGCCTACCTCAACAAACAAGAAAAATCTCAATTAAACAATCCAATAATGCACCTAAAGGAACTGGAGAAAGAAGAACAAATAAAGCCTAAAATCAGTAAAAGGAAGGAAATAATAAAAATCAGAGAGGAAATAAATGAAATAGAGACTAAGAATACAATAGAAAAAGTCAATGAAACCAAAAGCTGGTTCTTTGAAAAGATAAACAAAATTGACAAATCTTTAGCTAGACTCACCAAGGAAAAAAGAGTGAAGGCTCAAATAAATAAAATCAGAAATGAAAGAGGAGAAATGAGAGAAGACAGCTCAGAAATACAAAAGAATATAAGAGAATACTATGAAAAACTATATGCCAACAAATTGGATAATCTAGAAGAAACGGATAAATTCTTAGAATCATACAACCTTCCAAAACTGAATCAAGAGGAAATAGAGAATTTGAATAGACAAATCACCAGTAAGGAGATTGCAACAGTAATCAAAAACCTCCCAGAAAATAAGAGTCCAGGACCAGATGGCTTCCCTCGTGAATTCTACCCAACATCCAAAGAATACTTAATACCTATCCTTCTCAAACTCTTCCAAGACGTTGAAGAGGAGGGGAGGCTTCCTAACTCATTCTATGAAGCCAACATTACCCTGAAACCTAAACTAGACAAGGAGAACATGAAACAAGAAAATTCCAGGCCAATATCACTGATGTACATTGGTGCAAAAATCCCCAACAAAACACTGGCAAATCGAGTACAACAATACATTAAAACAACCATACACCATGATCAAGTGGGATTTACTCCAGGGATGCAGGGATGGTTCAACATCCACAAACCAATCAATGTGATACACCAATTAACAAAATGAAGAATAAAAATCACATGATCATCTCAATAGATGCAGAGAAAGCATTTGACAAGATACAGCATCCATTTATGATAAAAACTCTGACTAAAATGGATGTAGAAGGAAAGTACCTCAACATAATAAAGGCCGTATATGGCAAACCCACAGCTAACATCAATCTCAATGGAGAAAAACTGAAATCTATCCCTCTAAGAACAGGAGCCAGACAAGGATGCCCACTTTCACCACTCTTATTTAACATAGTATTGGAAGTCCTAGCTGGAGCAATCAGGCAAGAAAAAGAAGTAAAAGGGATCCAAATTGGAAAGGAAGAAGTGAAACTTTCACTATTTGCAGACGGCATGATTTTATATATAGAAAAGCCAAGGAATCCACTAAAAATTTTAGAAATAATAAATGAATATGGTAAAATTGCAGGATACAAACTCAACATACAAAAACCAGTTGTGTTTCTATACACTAACGTCAAAGTATCAGAAAGAGAAATTAAGAGTACAATTACGTTTACAATTGTAACAAAAAGAATAAAACACCTAGGAATAAACTTAACCACAGAGGTGAAAGATCTGTACATTGAAAACTATAAAACGTTGTGGAAAGAAATTTAAGAAGACACAAAGAATGGAAAGATATTCCATGCTCTTGGATTGGGAGAATTAACATAGTTAAAATGTCCATACTTCCTAAAGCAATCTACAGATTCAATGCAATCCCTATTAAACTTCCAACAGCAGTTTTCACAGGAATAGAACAAAGATTCTTAAAACTTACATGGAAGAACAAAAGACCCCAAATAACCAAAGGAATTCTGAGTAAAAAGAACAAAGTGGGAGGTATCACACACCCTGATTTCAAAATATACTACAAAGCTATAGTAACCCAAACAGTGTGGTACTGGCACAAAAACAGACACATGGATCAATGAAACAGAATGGAGAGCCCAGAAATAAACGCACACATCTATGGACAGCAAATTTTCAACAAGGGAGCCAAGAACATACAATGGAGAAAGGAAAGTCTCTTCAATAAATAGTGGTGGGAAAACTGGACAGCCAAATGCAAAAGAATGAAAGTAGACCATTATCTTACACCATACACAAGAAGTAACTCAAAATGGATTAAAGACTTGAATGTAGGACCCAAAACCATGAAACTTCTAGAAGAAAACATAGGCAATACACTCTTCAATGTCAGTCTTAGCAGCATATTTTCAAGTATCATGTCTGACCGAGGGAGGGAGGCAATAGGAAAAACAAACAAATGGATCTACATTAAACTAAAAACCTTCTACATGGTAAAAGAAACCATCAGCAAAACAAAAAGACAACCTAACAATTGGGAGAAGATATTTGCAAACCATATATCTGATAAGGGGTTAATATCCAAAATATGCAAAGAACCTACACATCACAACAGCAAAAAAACCAAGAACCCAATTAAAAAATGAGCAAAAGATCTGAACAGACATTTCTCCAAAGAAGATATACAGATGGCCAACAGGTGCATCAGAAGATGTTCAACATCCTTAATTAACAGGGAAATGCAAATCCAAACTACAATGAGATATCACCTCACTCTTGTCAGAATGGCTATAATTAATAAGGCAGGAAATAGTGCTGGAGAGGACGTGGAAAGAGGGGAACTCTCATACACTGCTGGTGTGAGCGCTAACTGCTGCAGCCACTATGGAAAACAGTATGGAGATTTCTCAAAAAATTAAGAATAGAACTACCATACGATTCAGCTATTCCACTGCTGGATATTTATCCAAAGAACATGAAAATAGGGATGCGTCAAGACACATGCATCCCTTTGTTCACTGCGGCATTATTCACAATAGCCAAGACTTCGAGGTGACCTAGGTGCCCATCAAGGGATGAATGGGTAAAGAAGATGTGGTATATACACACAATGGAATACTACTCAGCCATAAGAAATGATGAAATCTGGCCATTTGTGACAACACGGATGGACCTTGAGGGTATAATGCTAAGTGAAATAAGTCAGAAGGAGAAAGCCAAATACCGTATGATCTCACTCATAAGTAGAAGACAAAAACAACAACAATCACATAGAGACAGAGATTGGATTGGTGGTTACCAGAGGGGAAGTGGGGAGGGAGGAGGGTGAAAGGGGTGATTAGGCACATGTGTATCATTATGGATGGTAATTAGTCCTTTGCTGGTGAACATGATGTAATCTACACAGGAATTGAAATACATAATGATGTAGACCTGAAATTTATATAATGTTATAAACCAGTTACCACAATAAAAAACAAAGAAACAAACAAACAAATAAATAAAAAGTAGGTGGGCAAATAAGGAGAGAAGAAATGCAAATCCTCCCACCCCAGGCCTGGAATAAACTGCAGGACTGAGTGGAGCTACCAGCAGAAAAGAACGAATCCCAAAAGGAAGAGAATTTTAAAAGCTATGGACATACTTAGGTCCTGCATGTCTTGGCTCTAGACTCTCCTGCCCAGGATGCGGGCCCAGCTCTGACGGACCTTGGAGCTCACCACTGGACACATTGATTTCACTGACTTGACCCTCCCTGTGATCAGGTCCCACACTGAGACCTATGGGTTACTGCAGAAAGCACTGTTATAGCTCAACCCCCGCATCCCCAGGGCCAGCTCCCTGACCCACTTTCAGCACCTTATGTTTACAAGAAAGTATGTCTGGAGTCACAGATCTGGGTTCAAATCCAAGTTCTGTCAGCAACCAGAGTGATGATTTCCTCATCTGTATAATAGGGGCAGTGAGAATACCAATTTCATAGGATTCTTGTGAAGAACATTGAGACCATTCATGCAAAGAATATTTATTGGGCATCTACTGGGTGTCAGGCCCTGTGCTGGGCACTAAAGACACAAATCAGTTTTCTGTTTAGTAGGAGAGACATTCATTAACCTAACACTTTCAAGGGTAGAGTGGAACTGTTGGTACGCCTAGAACTCTTAGTAGTCCTTGGTTAATGATGATACTAGCTCAGGGGAATTTGTGAGCACCCTTCACTAGTAGTTGCCAATGCAGTATCCTTTGATATATCCATCTATCCTTTACCTACTCATCTATCCAATATCCACCCATCAATTCATCCTTCCATCCACCCTCCCATCCATCCATCCTCACATCCATCCATCCTCACATCCATCCTCCATCTATCCACATATCCAATATCCATTCATCCTCCCATCCATTCTCCCATCCATGCACTCTCCAATCCATCCTTCCTATCATTCCATCCATCCTATATTCCCATCTTAACTCTGTTTTGACTCAGGCACTCTCTCCAATTCCTGGTCCAGATGAGCCTGTTGATTATCTGAGCCATTACTACACGGTGACTCTTTCAGGTTTAAAGTTGGCATGTGACCCAGGTTGGCCTTATTAGCCTAAGCAGAAGATCTTCTGTTTCATGTTTGAGAAAAATGTGTCTTCTCTTTCTCCTACTGATAAGGAACAGGACAGCCTGTAGCTGCAAAGGCCACTGGCCTCCATTTTCCTACCACACGGGGGACCAGCAGCCTGAGGATGAAACCAGGATGATAGTGGAGCTAAAAAATGGACAAAATCCAGTTCTGGATCGCAGCTTTGAGCTGCTGATTGAACCCAACCTGGATTTTGCCATGCCATTGACTTTCAGTTACATGGTATAGCTCTTTTTATTGTTTCAGTCAGGTTGAGTTGGGTTTTCTGTCACTTGCACCTAAGCATCCTAACTGATACATGAGAGGTGGTTGTAGCGATAAATATATTCACAGGTGGAAAAGCACTTTGCATGTACTTTCCTTCATTTAGGTCTCAAAAGCAGCCCCATTCTAACTTCACCCATTGTACAGATGGGGATACCGAGGCCCACAACAACACAGGAATGTATTTGATAACCTAATTGAAATGGATACATTGATGACAAACCATAAAATGCCAAGTTATGATGAGGGAAAATGGGAAACATTCATAATCTAAAACCATTAAGAAATAGAAATAGCAACTGAGGATCTCATTCTCAAAAAGCTTTTGATCTAGATGGTTTTATGGAAGGGTTACAGCAAACTTTTAAGAAGAGGTAATTGTGAGAGAAATTAGAAAAATAAGAAAGTGCCAAATTTGTTTTATGAGCCTGGTACAAATTGCCTAGCCTCAAGGACAGTACAAGGAAAGAAAGTCACACATCAAGTTTAGGTATGAAAAATGTGCTAAAATCCTAAATAAATCGTTAGCTAAGAAATCTAACAGCTAATAGTATATTGAAAAATATCCTATTACCCTGTAAAATATCATATTTTAGTATGCTACATTATAGATACATTATAAAAATAGTACATTATAAATATTTCATTATAGTACATTAGAAAAATATCATATTTATTCCAGAAATGCTAGAATGGGTTCAACATCAGAAAATCTATTAATATGTTTTATCACATTAATGGATTAGAGGAAACAACGGATTAAATCTTGTATGCAGAAAAATATTTGTTAAAGGCCAATACTGATTTATGATTCAGAAAAATTCAGAAAACTAGGAATGTAAGGGGACTTTCTTAACATGCTGAAAACTATATTCCAAAAGTCTACAGGAAATATCATACTTAGTGGAGAATTCTAGACACATTCCCACCCCATAGGAGTCTTAGCTATACCGCAAGGTATGAAAGAGTCACAGAAAGTATAAGGTTTAGAAGAGAAGAGAGAAAACTGTCACTATTTGCAGATGACATAACCCTTTAGCTAGAAAATCCAACAGAATAAATAAGACAAACCATTAGAACTAAGAAGAGGTCAGCAAGGCTTTTGGACAGCAGATTAATTTTCAAAAATCATCAGCTTTCCTCTCGTGTACCAACTAGAAAATATAATAGAAAGTCAGGGAATATTTACCGTAGCAACAAAACTATAAGTTCTCTAGGAATCAATTTAACAAAACGTGCTTAAGATGTTTATAGGGCTTTAAAATTCTATTAAGGGTCATACGGTAAAATCTGAATAAACTGAGAGCTATACTAAGGTTGTGATTGTGTGACAATATTGCGAAAATGTTAATTCTCTCTAAATTAACAAACAAATTCAATGTAACCCCAATCAAATTTCCAGATGATTTTTTTTTCTCTTTTAAGGAATTCAACACATCCCAAAATTCATTTGGAGGAAGAAAGGTCCATCAGATAAAACCGCATTTTACAAAGATGTAGTATTTAAAATATTATGTTATTGGTGTTGAAACAGTTACAGAGACACAGAGTACAGAGCTCAGAAGGGAATCTGTGTGTTTGGAAACTTGATGATGAAGCAGACGGGCTGAGAAAATGGACTCGTTACATGGAGATGGGGGAAGCTGGCCCTCTAACTCATGCACATAAACATACATAAAGATGGCCTCCAGATGGACTAAAAACTGACATGTGAAAGGTAAACTGGAAAGCTATTAGGAATAACAAAGCAGAATGTGTCTGGGATAGGGACAAGGGCTTAGGACTCATCAAACAGAAACCATAAGATGAAATTTTGATGAGTTTGAAAATATTCTTGTTCAATGTAGGACCTACAAATAAAGTGAATAGATGACATTTTGGGAGAAATGTTAGCAGTGCTTAGACCTGCCAAGAGACTAATGTTAAGAATAAATTAACATCTCCTTAAGTGAAGGGGAATAAAAGAAAAAGAAAGGAAAGTAAACAGAAAAATGGTCAAAAGATAAGAATAGAGAATTCAAAGAAATCAAAATGGCTAACAAAATTTCAAGAAGATGCTCAAACTAATTAGGTCAAGTCAAGTTAAAACAATTAGACATCACTCAACTATACATCAGACTGGCAACAATTTGAGAGATGGAGTTATGGACTGAATTGTGCCCCTCCACCCTTTACATATTGAGCCCAGCCCTCCAGTGTGACTATACTGGAGCCAGGGCCTTCAAGGAGGTGATCAGGGTTAAATGAGGTCATAACGGTGGGGCCTAATCTGATAGGACTGGTGTTCTTCTAAGAAGAGGAAGAGACACCAAGATGCACTCTCTCTCTCTGTGCACACACATAGGTGAGGACACAGCAAGAAGGTAGCCATCTGCAGCCAAGAAGAGAGGCTTCCTCAGAAACCAATGCTGTGGGCACCTCCATCTTGGACTTCCAGCTCGAACTGTGGGAAAATAAATGTCTCTTGTTTTAGCCACTTGGTCTGTGGTATCTTGTTATGGCAGCCTAAGTAGACTGGTTAAGATGGATACTCCCCAGAGTTGGGAAAGACGGAGAGACAGTTATGCTTGTTTATTACTGGAGCCAGTGTAGACAGGCACAGCCATTCTAGAGAGCAATCTGGCAGTCTTTAGTTAAATTGAGTTAGCACCTGCCCAAGTGCCCAGCCATCCCCTTTCTGGGTATATTGCAGAGAAATTCTCCCCCAGATCCTAACAGGGACCCGTGCAGGGATGTTCATCTCAGTGTAGTTTGTAATAGTGGGGAACGAGAGACAACTCAAGAGTCCATCCCAAGGGGAATGGCCAAGTGGTGGTGAAAAGGAGGAATCTCATGGACTTCTCTGCACCAGTCTGAAGCCAGAGACGTCAACAGCAGAGTGTCCAATGAAAATAATAAAAAACAATGATATCTATATGGCAGTACCATTTATGTAAATCAAAACACTGCATGTTTCATTTTCATAAGGATGTGGACATACTTAAACACATATATTAAACACGGTGCGGTGCCTGCCGGGGAGTGGCAAATGGGAGTGAGGATGAGAGGGAAAGTTGAAAATACATAAGATAAAACAAAAAGGGACTTTGTGGTGATTCGTGACGATGATGACGTGCTATGAATTGGCATATGATCAGCTCAACCTCAATTTTCTGTACTTGAGGTGAGGTCTAAGGAAAAAAAGAAGAAAGGAGGGGACGTGACTGACCCGAGGTCACCCAGCAAGTCAGTGGTGGGCCCAGACGATGCTTCCCCTCCCACCCTGTGACAATGGGCAGAGTGCGGGCTCAGCTTACGTCTCGCCAGGGCAGACTTGCTGTCCATGTGGGCCTTGGCCAGGCCAGGCCAGGGCTGCTCGTGCAGGGCCGAGGGCAAGGCCAGCAAGCTGAGGAGGACCAGGAGCCTCCAGAGTGGATGCATCTTCGATTCTGGGACCTGCAGGTGTCAAGAAGGGTCAGATGGTACCCAGGCTGATGGCTGTGTGGGTGGCCACCCGGAGGGATGGACTCATGGTTTTCCGTGGGAAGATGACACCAGAGTCAACCCCAGCATGCTGTGGGGAGGTGTTGTGACGGGCTCTGGCAGCTGTCCCTGGGGCTTGCTCACATGGTAAGGGCAGCAGGTGGAACCCTGTGGGGAGGCCAGGGCTGCAGAGGGAGGCCTTGTTGCTTGGAGACGCCCAGCAGAGCCCACTGTTGGGTCATCTAGCAGGAGTCCTCTCCCAGACCCTGCACAGGCTGGATGTTGGTGACTCTCAGTGAATAAATAAAGGAATGAATGAACGGGTGAGGATGGCTAATCCCAGGCTCTCCAATGGGACTAGGACTTTCTTAAGGGCAAGATTATCCTCAATGCCTGCCATGATGCTTGCTTGCCAGAAATTACGTGCTAGTGAATGTTTGTTGAGTGACTAAATGACTGAATACATGAATGAGTAAGGATGGCTGATCTGTGAATCCCCTACCAAATTATCAGTTTCTTATGGGCAAGGTGTGAGTCTAATTAATCCTCATGTGCCCCGTACCTCCCTTGTTTACCATCCAGTAGATACTAATGAATGTTTGTTAAATGATGCAAATGAACGAATGAATGAAGGAATGATTGGGTGGATTGATTCATGGTTTGTCGATAAGACTTACAGGAGGGGCACAGAGAGCCTTGAAGCCAAAGCATTAGGTATACCTCATTGCTCTGGGGTTGGGTGTAGGAGAGAATTCAGTGCAAATCTCCCTGTCCTCCCCATGTCAAGAAATGGCACCACAGCCCATCCAGTTGCTCTGGCCCCAGCCCTGGAGTCCCCCTGACTCCTCTTTCCTCATCTCCCACAACCATCTGTCAGGAAATCCTATCAACACTTGTGGACTCTGACCACGCCTAACGAATCCTCCTCAGCCACCATTTTGGCCTGAATTACTGCAGGGGTGTCCTACCTGGTTCTTCCCTGGGGCTTGGTCCTACCCAGCTTCTTCCCCTGCCCACCTACAACCTCTTTTGCACACAGCAGCCTGAGCAATTGTTTTAAGACCTATTCAGACCATACGCTCCTCTGCTTAAAACCCGCCGAAGTTTTCTGTCACACACAGGTAGGGTCCTGCCCGAATTCCACAGAAGCCCTGGGATGGTCAGGGCACTTCACTCGGGTTTCCTAAGAGATTCTACTGAAAGCATCAGTTCAGGGTGACTCTCTTGGGGTTCATGTCCCCTTGGGGCTGCTTGTAGAATATCGGTTACTTTGAAATGTACTTTTCTAGTCTCCCTGGACTTGTGTAACCAGTTGGGATTCTGTTACTTTTTGTCAAGAAAATTGGAGAAGAGTGGGCACTGTTGGGAGGAGCAAACCTACTGTCCTTGGCTCTTTATTGGTCTGAACATGGGGGTGTGGGGAGTTGTCAGTCCTGCCCCACTATGGGTTGTGGTTCTCAAGGCCGAGTCTAAAGAAATGACAACATGGAGGGTGTTGACATTCTGAGCCTGGTGCATGACAAGGGGGCAGGCTGGCACTGCTCAGGGGTGGGCCTGGGATTTGGAGCCAGCTTGAAACATCATCGCGCGGTGGTTAAGAGAGTGGGTTTCCGAGTCACACAGACCAGGGTGAAGCCTGGCTCTCCCTCTTGGCAGACTCAGTTTCCAGTTCTGTAAAAGGAGGGTGATCATAGGCCTAGCCCTCTGGACAATATCACAGCCTCTCTGTCCCAAGGCCCAGTCCACACTTCCTCTTCCAGACAGCCTTCCCTGACTGCACCCAACCCCTTGGCCTCTTTCCCATCTGTGCTCCTGCAGCATTGACTGCCAAGGTCCGATTCCCGCCTGTCTTGAGAAACTCTACCTCATGCCAGGAAACTCGAGGTGGCACTGGGGTGAGAATCTGGGCTCATCTCCTTGCCAACTGTGTGGTCCTGGGCAAGCTCCTTCCCTTCCCTGAGCCTCCGTTTCCTCCTTTGCAGGGAGGGGTGTGTCTCCCGGGGCTGCAGTGAGGATTAGAGGGGATGTTACTATGGTTGCTGTCATCCTCATCCTCATCCTCACTTCTCTGAGCCTCAGCTTTCGCACCTGTAAACCAGGGAGGCTGGCAGAGTGAATGCCACCAAGTACAAAGGACCCAGACAGGGTGCCTGGGACAGTGCACAGTGTGTCAAGGAGCCACCTCTCTCGAGCATGTTTGCATATGAGAGCACGGCTGTTTTGGTAACTCCAGCAGGCAGGAATCACACTTGGGGCTGAATGGCAGCCGAGGCCGTGATGGTCCCGAGCCTGGAGGGAACTCGCAGACATTGGATCAGATGATGGGCTTTGCTCTCGTTCATTCAACAAACAAATAAAGCCGCTGAAGTCATGGAGTGCTGACTAAGTGCCAAGCACCATGGGCCCTTTGGATCCAAGGGAGAGCAGCCAGGCAGGTTCCCCATCCTCAGGGAGCTCACACACCCGTGGGAGACTGACGGTCTTCAACTATCCCTGCCGTGGGCATAGGATTGTGCAGGGTGGCCCTGCCCATGAAGGGGAGGTGGGGGTGCCAGGCAAGGGCACAGAGAAGGGAGCCCTGGCCAATGGGGAGAGGTCACCAGAGAAAAGATTTCCCTGGGGAGGTGGAGTTAGAGCTGACATTTAAGGGAAAAGCTACAAGGGAGCTGGACATCCATCCTCGCACTCCTCCTGCTGGTGCTTCCACAGAGGGTGCTGGAGGAATGGGGGACGCTCCTCCATAAGCAGCCACCTACAAGGATGGCGGGGCTGACATTTATTTGGGGCCCTAATTCACAGTCTGCTCTGTGCCTGATCTCCTTCAGTCCTCGTGCCACACACGAGGGGATGGGAACCCAGATGAACCCAGTGGCCGGCCTGTGGAGTCCCAGCTGGGATGAGGCCAAGCTGCCCTCCCAGCCAGCTCTCCTGAGTGGAGAGACGTGGCTTCCTTTGGAAGATGGAGCAGCCGCACGCCCCAAACCTCATCCCTTCGCAACCTCCTTTACTAGTTCAGATAACTTTCCTTAGAACAAGCTTCTTTACCTTTTGGGGGGCCTTTTGAGAATGTGATGAAAACTGTGGCATGCCTGTTTAGAAAAAAAAAGTACCTAGCTAAGAAATGTTGCTCACAGTAGCAGGATTCACATGGTCCTCCCGTGGTGTGCTCTCCTGGGTAATTGCTTTCAAGCAGTTTGACTTGCATAAAAATATATTTATCCGTGCAATCATTATTTACTGTGGGCCTACTATGTGTCAGGCACTGCACTTGGCTCCAGGCAATAAGAGACCCCTGCTTCTCCAGCAGCTTATCATCTGGTGAGAGAATCAGAACAAGATGAAATAAACAATACATGAAATAATTACAAATTGACCTAAGGGGGAAAGGCGGGCGAGACTGGGACTAGCAGGGGGCCCACTTTAGACCAGGGGTGGGGAAGGCGTCTCGCGAGAAGGTGGCATCTGAGCTGAGTCCAGGAGGAGGAGACTGAGTCGGCCTTGGGTGTAGCCAGGGGATGGCGTGTCTGGCAGATGGAACCACAAGGGCCAAGGCCCTGAGGTGGGAAAGGCTCAGGTTGGAGGAACAGAGGAGGGCGGGTGTGGCTGGATCTGCTGGGTGAGAAGCTGGCGTCCGTGTGCCCGGTAGAGGCCCCCTCACATCCACGGCTGCAGGGAGGGGCCGTCCCGCAAGAAGGAGGCAGGAGGCTCCCCTGGCAGATCCCAGGGCCAGGCAGGCTTCTGCGCACCTGCGCCCTCTGGTGGTTGTAAGGGTGGCCGCTTCCCCGACTCCTTGGGCTCTAAGGCAGCTCAGGTCCCCAGCTGCAGGCAGAGGTCCTCACGCTCCAGGGGACAGCAGAACGGCTGGAGGCATAAAATGTGAATTCCTGCATGTGACTCAGGAGGGTCTGGGGCGGGCGGTTTAGTCCGTTCTTTGAGAATCACTCTTTTTAGGAAGGGGATTCATTATGAAACTGAGGATGAAGGAGGTAACATTTCCCTGGATCAGGGTGAAACTGTGCCATGTACCCACAGGTGAACGCAGGAAACAAAATAACCAAAGTTTCTGAGCTCACCTTGCAGAACAGCAGGGGCATGGCTAAGAGAGGAGCTTGCTGACAGCCCCCTGCCTGACTAAGCATCTTGCAGGAACACTGAGAAGCTACGATGACTGATTGTGACCTTTAGATGTCAAAGGCTAAAAATCCACCACGCACAACACAGAGAATGGACAGTCACCCTGTGCGGAGGCCTCAGTACTTCGGCCCCTAAAGCCACATGCTCCCCCTCCTCTACCTAAAACCCCAATAAAGTCTCCTGCTTGTAGCTTTTTGGGGAGCTCAGGATTACAGCGTTAGCTGCCCATTCTCCTTGCTCAGCCCTTTGCAATAAAATTCCTACTTTCTTCCACTACACCTGGTGTCAGAGACTGGCTTGCTGAGCATCGGGTGAGCAAAGTCACTTCAGGTTCAGTATCGATTGTTCATTTAGGCATCCATTTATCCCATTCTTAATAGAAATATACATATGTTTAACAGTCATGGAGGACTAAAGACTGGAACTTTAGCCCAAAGATGAATTTCCCTAAAAATGGGAGTGGGATGGGAGGGGAGTAGGGTCCTTTCCTGAATGGAATATTGGGTTTAATAAAGGATGATGACACGCCTCTTCTAGGATCTGCGATGGCCTGGAGAGGGGGAAGGGAAAGTGGAAAAGCTGGAGTTTCTGGGGACATTGCAGTGTTTTTTTTGGGATGAGTGGTGCTTGTAAAAATGCAGATTCCTGGGCCACCCCTGAGCAATTGAATCAGAGTCTTTGTAGGTGGAACCTGAGAATAAGCTTCTGGGCAATTCTGCTGCATATGGAGCATGGGGATCCTTTAGCTGAAATAAGAATGATGATACATTTGGGCACTGACTGTGCTCGAGGGGCAGTCTAAGTACTTTACTGTAATGCCTTATTTAACCCTCCACACAACCTTTTGAGGTAGGTACTGTTATCATTGGCCTCCCTTTGCAGAGGCACAGAGAGGTTGAGTAATATCCTTAAAGTCACCCAGCTGGGGCAGAGTGAGGCTAGAGCAAGAGCCAGGCAGCCAGACCTGCAGGTGGGAGATCAGAGGACCTGTCGCTCATCCTCCATCAACTTCCCCATCCCACACCTTACTTTACTCCCCAACATCATC